GATACAAAGATGGAAAACTTGATAATGTGACTATTTGATTACAATATTATATTCATAGTGCTTATAATGAAATTGCTTATTATATCATTCTTTATAAATAGTACCTTACAGTTTGCTGAACAAATAATCACTATTAATAAATAAATAAATGCTCTTTATTTCACTCCAGAGTGTATCTGTTGGCATTTATTCCTAATCTAGTAAGGATGAAGGGTACACAGAGAGAAAGAAATGAATTAGATTTCGGAAGGCATACTAAAAAATGTACCTAATTACATGGAGTTCGTGATGTCCAGCGAACTGAATATTCGAAATCTGATCAAAAACGATTCGAATCGTTTTCGGCCAATATTATCTACATAAAGCGGAAATATCCTCACGACCCGATATTTCTCTAGCCTTCATATTGCGATGAAAAAGGGTGTCTCTCCTAATGCCGAGGGTATATATCATGCGTGGTCATGACTGACAAGTTATTATTGGCAGTATATGTTTAGAGAGAGTACATAAGGGAAAAAGAGCAATTTAGTATCCATAGAAAACGATAGTTCCATCAATGCAAATCAATTCGAACATTTCAAGTCAGTAATCGGGAAGCACACATTGTGGAGGTTTTATGATGGCAATACTTAGTATTAACCATCTATTAACAAGACAAATAACTGCACTCTTGCATTCTGATGGCTGGTACAGTAACAATAGGTTCATCTAGGGATATTATCATCATCAAACTAGCTACATTTTTGAAATTTTTGGGCAACAGTTTTATTTATATTAATGTTTAATAAAAAATTGCACAAATTTAGACTAGTGATAACAGGGTTAAAAGAGTATATACAGGCCACACATGCCCTATTGAAACTGAATATATAAGAATTGAGTAAATAAGGTATTGGGAGTCTCTGTAATTTTCAACTTTCAACACTCATATTTTAGGGAGGCATGTGATTTCCATCCTCCATTGATAACTCTGGAAACATAGTTATACAAAATATCATCAGTATCATTTTAAATGTAACAGCATAATACGTTATTACAATATCGAAATAGGATTTTTGGAGGATATTCGTTTCGACAAATTATACGATTCGAATCAAACAATTATTCGATTTTGGACAGCCTCATGGAGTAAAAATAAATAAATAAAAATAAATTAAAAATCTAATGAAACATTTGATATTGCAAATATCAATCCTAGACAGAGTATGGCTAGGTCATTTTAGAGAAAATTGGACATTCAAGAAGATTTCAATCTTGTTATTTTCAACATGTAAATATAATAATGTAGCTATGCAAGCAATGCAATAATCGAATGATGTATAAAATCTGATTGAATAATTTTGGAGTAAACTTTTCGAATAAATCTCATTAACAATAAGCTACAAACAACAGATAGTAAGGCGAAAGTATGTTTTATTCAAAAAACACGTTGAAAATACGTGGATGGAACGTAAATATCCAGAATAAAATAATGTGAATATCCAAAATAAGGCGGGCAAGATCAAATCTAGCAAATATTTGGTGCTCCCGAAGTATGCGGACCAAGATGGCGGACATCGGAAAGTAACATGGGTAACAGGTTAGGGTTAGGCGATAATTTTTTTCCAATTTTCTTTATTTTAGTCCTATTATCAGTTCGAAGACTAGCCAAGAGCCTCCCGTAGTATTTATAGCTAAAATTATGGCCTAACCCTAACCTAGTACACATATTACATTCCGATGTCCGCCATTTTGGTTCGCATATTTCGGGAGCCCCAAATATTTTTATTATAAATTAGCTTCACGCCCCTTGCGTAATTTAGAAACAGTAAGACTGCCAGTTAGCACAAGAGATACAAAGGATCAAATTGATGAACCGTCTTCCAGTTTTATTATTCCTCCACTGACAGTCAGAAATTATCTTGTATGTATGTATGCACCAAACGCGCGATGTATACAAAAGACCATACTGGCCTAAAACACGAATGTGCGGCATGCACTCCTATTGATAAGTATAAAATACAAAAAATCAAATACGAATAATACACTCACTTATACAGACGGTTGTGCAAGGTGGGTGTGTGGTAACAGGGGTAAGGATGGAGTATGCGAAACTGTTTGTACGAAGGAGTTTGTGAGACAAGATATCATAGAAACACTACATATATACATACCGTAATAATAAAATTAAGAATTTGGCCGTAAAAAATACAACATCCTTGAGTGATCTTATGCGCCCTGTGGCCGATGATTCCACAATAACGCATTTTTCTTGTAAAAAGTAAACAAAAATGAACCCCAATTAAAAGATGGATATTATAGGCACAAATATTCACAAATTCAATAGTCAAAGCAGCTCACACGATAGTCTCATATGAACGTCTTCCATTCAGATACAAATGCACCTGTTTCAAATCAACACAGTGGATTAATTAGCATCGACGTAGGCTATCAAGCGTGACGTTGTTAATTAGGTAAGATTCTGATTCAACAATCACAGGGTAGACCAGCAGGCAGGACAGGTGTTGTAGGGGAAAGCGAGTCGGCGGCCAGGAGATCAACGCCATAAATAGGCGACAATGGGAGGGAACTGGAACCGACAGGAAGCGAGAGAGAGCAGCAACAAGGAGGATGGGGCAAGTGGAAACAAGGGCAGACCGATCCGAAGGGCGGGCAGGCGTCCGAGGGGGAAGGGGGCCGAGGCACAATATAACAAACAACAAGCTTGAGCAACAGTATAAAGGAGTAGACTAGTAGACGGTGCCACACAGAAGGAACAGCCGGCCATTCAGGCGGCAGAGGGAGGAAAGGCAGCCAACGGGCAAGAGAGCACCAGCGTGCAGCAAGGAGATGGAGCGAGCGGGAACAAAATCCAGAGCGGTCAACCACAGACAGACCACACCAGCCGCCAAAGAAAAATGCAAACACCAATGATGAAAAAATAGAGAGTGAGTGAAAAAAAGAGAAGCGGGGCAAATGGCGAGGCGCGCCAGCAGTCAAGTCATTTAGAAAGAGTAAAATAAATAATAAATAGGTCAGCGAGGCTGGAACAGCAAGCAGCCAAGAGAATCAGCGAGTCAAAATATGTCATTCAGGGGAAGTAAATAGAACAAGGAGCAAAAAAAAATAAGTATCAAGAGCCCCCATCTGAAAACAAGAAACAAAAACAAGAAAAATAGTATATATGAATCCTATATTACCCACAATTTCCATAAAAATCATTTCCTGAAAGAAACTTGGGACTGTAAAACCGTCTGAAGCTTACTGCGACGATGCAACGATATCCAAACGATGAAATTAACACGAGTTCGCAAAATCAAAGCGAAAGATAGCCCTCGCGCTTGGTGGACTAAAAACCATGTTCGCGATATCACGATTCACAGAGTTTTTGTTTGAAATACCGTCACAAACAAAACAAAAAAACCTTCTAACGAAAAATCTCTAGACACTGAATATGTCAAAGCAATTGGATTCAGGGGAAAGCGATATTTTCACAGCAGCTACACGATAACAAACAATTCATTTAGTGTCCAATAAACGACACCTGGCGCCAAAATAGGACATCAGCAAGGCCCCGAAGGAAAAAGGAATGTGAAAGAAAATTTCGAGGCTGGCTGGACCAGTAAGACACTGCTTCCCCACAAAAATCATGCAGAATAGCGTAACTTGAAAATTAGTAACGAATACTGAAATTTCGTTCTTATTCAATCTCAGATAACATAGAACACCAGATTAATTATTAATATTTTTATATGTACCCATGTACGGCACCAAAATATTAAGTGTCTAGGGCTTTTAGTAAAATGTAAACACTACTGTATGGTCGGACCAAGGTCGTTCTTGTTAATATATATGATTAAGCTGTCTTACCGACTCGCCGTGCTTTCCGGACTGGCAAGAGGCCTGTCCACCTGTTTAGATTCGCAAGGCCTTCTCGCATGTTTGTCACCAGTTGGGAAACAAATTTACTACCCAGAGTCGACCAAATAGTCGCAATTTTGATGCCTGTCCTGCGAAACACCCAGAAGAAGCTCGCGGAACATAGTTTGAGTTGCTGTACTACAGTTTAATTTGTATATTTCATGTTTGTTGTCATACTATAAGGCAGCAGTCCTAAACTGCTGTTATACTTGTTGGGGTGCACGTCGCACAATTGTGTTTTTAGGCCATTCCACTAAAGTCTTGAACATCTATCCTGTCGCTGTTATACTGATTCGTTATTATGCGGATACTGTTACATTTTTGAGGCAAAAAAAAATACATACAATCCTCAGTGGGGGCGGGGAATTTCGAATACCTGATGTTTTCAGAACGGAATGTTTTTTTCGAATGATATTCAATTGTATGTGACTTTTTATTGTGATGAGTCCTCAAGGCACAAAAATTATTGGAACATAGAATCCATAATTCAGACAGTTCGTTGAGCGTTCACACACAATAAGAAACGTGTTTCACCAATAACTCACTAGAAAGAAGAGTCCTATATTTGCCTGAATTGCATTGTAAAAATATGGCTTCGATAAAAAAAAAACACAAGATGGCGGCGATTCAAAATTTTCGTCTGGACAGATTCGAATACACTATTCCATTGAAATGCCCAGTCTCAACCTTCTCATCAGTGTAAATACGAGAATGTGGTTGAACGATCCGATTTACTCAGAAATCCCTCATTTACAAAGAACAACTAATTTTCACAACGCAAAGTTTATTAGATGAAAATACACAAATAACGATCGGCAGCAACAAAGTAACAAGAGGGCAAGGACTTGATATTGCCTAGCAGGGGACATATCTAGGGTGTGGCAGCCATGGCTTAGACATGGGTCAAAACGCCAAAAAGTCTCAATAAAATAATTTTAAATTGTAAATAATTCAAAACTCGTGTTTTGGTGCTCCCAAAGTATGCGAACCAAGATGGCGGACATCGGAACGTAACATGGGTAACAGGTTAGGGTTAGGCGATAATTTTTTTCCAATTTTCTTATTTTAGTCCTATTATCAGTTCGAAGACTAGCCAAGAGCCTCCCGTAGTATTTATATCTAAAATTATGGCCTAACCCTAACCTAGTACACATATTACATTCCGATGTCCGCCATCTTGGTTCGCATACTTCGGGAGCCCCCGTGTTTTTACTTAAATAATAATGTACCGAGATGTTAATTCAACAACATTCGTTGAAAATTGTTAGTCAATGACCTGGGGGGCGCATCGCCATGGGTGCCATTTCACATAGATACGCCACTGTTGCCTAGACTAGACGGCCTAAAAAACTGAATCTGAGCCTAAGAGCTGAAAAAAGCAAAAAGTCAACATCGGCTCTAACAAGTCTAGAATATAATGGTTAGGAGATAAACAACTTTGAAACTTCCAGAATGGTTGGATTTACCAATAGCCATAAAGGATCGCCCTCTATCGGTAAAAGTTATATACATGAACAATTTAAAAGAAGGTGTTTGATGAGGTTTTTGTTGGCCTAAGCTTTATGATTCAAACTATATGGCAATTGTTAGTTTAGCTCATTTTAAATCCAAGTATAAAAAATAATACCAACTTAGATAAAACAAAATAATTAATTTAACGAGGGAATAATTTCATTTTTCCACGAGATTTGAATTCCTGGCCATCTCATCTGAAGACAGCTCTCGATCACTGAGTCCGAAGTTCGGTTCCCACTCTCCTGCCAATCAACAATGACCGCCGCCCCTTCATGGAACAAAACCTGTAATGATTGGTTGATAATTTTAGAGGCGTGGCTGAGTGAGCCAATGGGTAAATCAGCTAAAGAAAGGTATCCTGATTATTAAAACCATATCTGGAGAAAAAAAAATCGAAGCTTGCTATAAGATTGAGCTGTTTTAGGATTTTCCCTCCCCAGATGAATACAAAATTTAGGGTCTAGCAAAGTAAACGCTGTACAACTCTTTAAAAAAACACCAAACAGAAATGTGATGTAAAATTTTTAAGTTTTTTAAAAGAAAGTCTGTCTGACACCAAATGTAAAATACTTTACAGACTCGTCGTTCAGTTAAAATAAAATCCACTCAATTTTCAACTAAGTAGGTATATCTCATGCCAAATAGCGTTCTGTGCAAGACAGACTTTTATTTGAAAAGAAAATAATAAAAACTTGGGCTGTATTGTTACATCACATTTTTTTTTGGCGTTATTTTAGCAGCCCCAGCATTTGTTTTCACATTTCAAACCCAAATTACAATTCCCATCATAGATGTGAAACAGTAACTGAATGATGAGCAGTGGTTTGCTATTTGTTCGGATCGCCCTGTCATCTCCCCAAAATAACTCTTACCATCCTATTTATTCTCAAATGATCAAATCCCCCTAAAAAAAATCCCTATATACTCTCAAACCCATTTGTTATTGATAATAAAGATCTGTGGTTCGCTAAATAATTTTTCCATCTTATCAGCTTCACTTTTGTACTATACTGTGGGGATACTCAATTGGCGGACCGCAGTCCAAATCCGGACCTTTCGAGTAATTGATTCGGACCGCGCATAATTCCTTATTTTAGATCATTAGCCCCACTTTTTGAAGTTTCCTTTTATAAAATCACTTTTATTGTTTTGAATATATATGAAAAGAACTATAACATCATAATAAGCAATTTTCATTAGCAAATATTCATTAGCAGGTCGAGGAAGTGCGCGTTAAGGGTGTCAAAATATAATATCTGGAAAAAACGGACCCAAATATTTTTGAAGTTTTGTTGCGGATCTTTGGGGTAAATAAGTGAGTAGCCCTGCTATACTGCATCATCAAATCCAATCCTTCCCAAAAATCACGCTCCCAGACGCGACTTACTTTACTATCTTGTGAAGACTGTGTTAATCCGTTATAATGAAGAACCAGAAATGAATCAGGGACCGACTTCTTGTCCTGTAAATTTTTTTATGCAAAATGAATATGAAACAGAGATTCATCAATATACAGAGTGACTATAAAGTTGAAATATAAAAAACTAATCATTTTTTTGATTTGTAGGGAGACTTTATTGGTGCAGTATTCCGGCCAAGTAATGTCGGACATTTTTGCAGAAGTTTGTGTCAAGTATGGGCTCCTAGAAAAAAATGAAGACTGCTGATAGAAGAGTAGGAAGGGACCATCAATATGCCTATATATATTGAGACATTATATATGGCTATATGGATAAGAATCTCTAATACAAATCTAGTATTTCACTTTTTGACGACTTGAAAAACTTAAAAAATCGAAACAGATTTGTGATATTTTTCAGATTCAGGCAAAATTTCTTGTCAGACAAAAAAGTAACAAAACTTACATCGTCTGCAAAAAATTCATTTAAAAATTTTGACTGTAAAATAACACCGAGTTCTTCTGGATCCAGTTTCTCTTGAATTATTTTAACACTGAATATAAAGTTGGATATTATTATGAGTGAGAGAGCATGATTAAATTTCATATTTATCCCGGGAGAAAGAGGAAACCCAGTGAGACGGCTCTATCATATGGCGAACCACGGCCTCTCGTCTGGTTACCAGTCCAGGTCGGGTATGGGATTAGTTAGCAAGGTATTTGTTTTCATATCCATGGATTTGATGGTATAGGAAGCCGTAAGAACAAACATACGGCGACAAGTAAGTGCAGCAATCTTATTGAATATAACTATCCCCCCACGGAATTCATGGTGGCAACTGACTCTGATGACCTCCCCAAAGGTCGTATTGTTGCTTCCCAGTCGTATACCGAAAACATCTGTTTATTTGTAATGTATGTAAGTATGTATATATTGTTTTCTTGGTTTACCAAAACGAAATAAACTCTTTCTCTCTCAATTCGAACCTGTGAACCAACGCAGGGTAATCAGAGGAGCGGAGGCGAGCGTATTTCTAATGTTTGCCTGATGCGCCACATAAAGACTAATATACTTACTATTCTGGTTCTGCAACTAAGTCTAATCTGGTCATGACATCGGGCAGTAAGACAGCAGCTATGAAGCCGTTATCTAAATATGAAAAAGTCAGCGTTATTGCCAGTATAGATTTACGGAAAATTTTATTTAAACAATTAAAAAAAGGTGTGGCTGATGAAGGATTCACGCCCTTTTCAGGGTCTTATTTCTGAATGATCAGAACTTATTCAGAAGTAAAGGATATTTTTCTCCAAGCCAAGTTGCAGGCGGCCACGGATGCCAAGATCTACACGCACTCACTCGAAAGTAAATGAAACTCCTCCCTGAGCAAGGGTTACAAGTAACCACAGAACGAGAATAGCGGTCGGAGACCGAAGACTTATCGATCGAAAGTTAGGGAATCCCCCAAAACAGAAACTGCGGTTTCGATTCAACCGCTCTTACTCCATAGTGATACCGTGTGTCCCATCACTAATTAATTAATAACTCGCTAATTATACGACATAATTCACCCAAAATCAATTGGCTTCTGGTCCAAGATATGATGAATGCACATGCAAAACCACGCCTTCGTGAGATATCGCGTGTACCTAACAGACAAACAAATACCTATCAACATACTTACCGATAAAAATCGATAAGTAAAAAGCTAGTGAAATAGGATTATAGTTGTGCATTACGTGCATTGACTCGAAGGTAATAGTGACTCATCTCCGAGTGAAGTTACCACTGCAGTTCAAATAGCCACTAAAAATACCGAGTGACTGAATATTTATCATTATGACTGAAAAAGGGTGTGGTTAAGTATGCGTGACACACCCATTTTCAGGGTCATATTATTGAAAAAATTTCCTGGCAACTTTCAAAGTGTTCATATAATTAAAAACACAACTGCAAAATCAATAATTTTGCAAAATGATGAAATGTATGCTTTTTTCTAAATAGTAAAATATTGCCAGAAAGTTAATAAGCCTATTTCTCCAATCTTGTAAGCTCTATCATTGTGACAGGAAAATGGGCGTGGTTAACAAGGAGACACACCTACCTTCAGGGTCATATTCCTGGAAAACCTTCATAGCAACTTCGTAAGGTGATTCCTGAGCCACTAAAGCAGTTTCTAATGTAAATAGCAGTGTTAGATGAGTCTCGCTTCCAATAATCCATATTGGGTATCTGAAATGAAAAAAATATTTTCTTTAAGACAGGATTATCCAGTACAGGGTGGTGCAAGGTTGCCGGCTCCGCGGGTCACAAAATTATTCTTGCATTGTCTGCGGGCCACAATAGTGCCAAGGATAGGTAAACAGTGCAATACAAAACAAACACTTTTATTGTGCAAACACATAGTTATCAGACATAGCCATTCTAATCTTATAGAATCCACATTCCATTTTTAGTTTTCTATGATGCCTATATTGTAAGCATATATTCCCGATCAAAGAGATGGAAAGCCAGATAATAATTTAGACTTCCAAGCACCTCATTCGACTTCGCTAGTTGCTTCAGCTAGCCATAACACTAGTCAATTTAGTGACAATTTAGTGACAATTAATGATGTAACAATATGTCAAAAGATTTTTCTGATTAATTTTATTATGAAACAACACAAAATGCGATTTTTTGATTACTCTCCGAATGTGACGCGGGCCACAGATAATGGAGTGGCAGGTCACATGTGGCCCGAGGGTCTGGGTTTGGACCACCCTCATCTAGTGGTTTAAATCTTTTCCCTAACTTTGATTACCCACAGGTCTGCAGGGGATAATAATGTGCGAGAGAGTTGCTGGACTAGGTGTTAATTTAGTCCTGAATCTCATTTTATATTTTTAAAATTACTTACTTTGGTCGCTTCAATGATTCCCCAACGGAGCAGTATCTGAATTTTTCAAGTAACGTTAGAAATCCTATGTCACATTGGCAAGGTATTCCTCTTAATTCTGAGAAAAGACGAGAAATAAAGAACACAGGATTTACATATTTATCCCGGGGGAGAGGAAAGACGATAAGTTGTCTCTATCATATGTCGAACCACGGCCTCTCGTCCAGTTACCAGTCCATGTCATGTATGGGATTAGTTATCCAGTTGTTGTTTTTCGGAAGCACCTCACCCATGCCAACTCTCTCTTTCCCCACAGTGTTGCCTGAACAATACAGGGCTTTGTTGAAAATGACTGCATGAAAGATAATGAATAAAAATGAAACAACTTACGTAAGCCGGATATATACTTTATCCCGTCCCAGACGTTTGAAACAGCTTCTCCACAAATCATTAGGTTGATGAGGTTTTGGCTGAAATTATAAAGTGTGAATCAAGGAACATATATCCTCGATTATAACCCAAGTTAAAAAAATTAGATTACATATCCCTTGTTCAAATCCCATACCCCCACCTCAACCCAGGATGTAATAAATTGGGTATAGGCCAGTGTTCTTCAACCTTTTATATTGTGGTATACCTTTTACAAATTTTCAAGAACTTTGTATACCTTGCAAATACCAATGTTCATTTAAAGCTTAAATGAACATTAAATTTTAAGCACAGATTGTAGAAAACTCAAACTGACGATACTGCAACATCACCATGCAATCTAATGGGCTACTGTCTGCAAACTGTATAGTAAATGGTTTCAATTTGGCTGACGGCCGTAGCGTCAATGGGAATAGTGTTCAACTTGAATCAAACGGCGTGCATGTCAGCCGAAATCATCAACACCAGACATGTGCCTGCATTAACTAGAATAGATAAATTGTAACATTGTGCTCAAGTCAGTTCCTTAAATAAATGACATTTTATTTTTCACGTGCGCCATGCTTGCATTGTTGTCTCCAATTGATTACTATATTATTGAATATATTAGAGTTTAGAATCCCTGACTTAGGCTGTACACCCTTTGTATACCCTTTATCAGATGTATACCATACTTATGGTTCGGTATACACTTGGGTATACCGTACACTTGGTTGAAGAGCACTGGTACAGGCAATAAATATCCTTACAAATATTAGCAGCTCCATATCTGCATGAAAATGGCCACATTCGAAGCAAAAGGCATAAAAACCGTCATAGACCTACCTTCCATGTCCGTGTATCGAGTCAATCAAACAAACATCCTGACTGTCCATCTCATTCCGTATATTCTCTATTCCCTGACATGAGAAGATAATAAGATTAGTAAAACAATTATGGGTGTCAATAGGGAGGTCCCAAGTGCTGGTAGTAGTGTGGGCCAGGCTTGGGTGGCATTAGGTCACCATTTATCTAATACTCAAGATCAGGGGTCACCAAACTACGGCCCACGGGCCAGATCCGGCCCGTGGCGTCCTTTCTTCTGGCCCGCAATAACACATAAAAACTGGCTATTTTTTTTCTAGGGGATGTTTCCACAAGCATCGGTTTCCTTGTTCCTTTGGTAACATTGGCCAATCAGCAAGATGCAAAAAGTGACATAACAATAGACCCTTTCGCATCTGCTCAGACTTTGGTCACTCGGAAAGATTTTCAGTCGTGGTTAAAAACAAGACTTCGTTTTTTTGCAATTTTGAATGCTATTCGTTAGTTTTTGATCGTGATTATTAAGTATGAATCCAATTAGTCAATAATCATCTGCCTTCTTGGAAATAGCTTTGATAAAATAGGCTAGGTATAAATAAAATGATTCCAACTCATCTAATCTAAAAATAAACACTCACCCTGGTTAAAATAACTGAGTATAAAAATGACAAAACTCCGTATTTTTGTGTTAACTTCTCATATTTTGAAGACAAACTTGAAATCAAATCTTCTGTTGAAGAACATGTGTGTAGCCTGCAAGTAGAATTGAAATTTGTCACATTTTTGAAGCACGTGGCATTCAACGTAGATAAGCCGGCGCTCCAGAAGTATGTGTACCAATATGGAGGTAACTAATTTTGTTTGCCTACATTACATCAAGTTGTGTAAAGGGAATGAAACCTATGTGCATATTCACTTGGATAACACAGACAGTTCCCGAACTCATAATAGAACTAAAATAAAGAAAATCTGAATAAAATTAAGCCCTAAGTCTAATCTGGTCCACATACTACGTTACGGTGCCCGCCATCTTGGTTCACATACTTTAGTACACATTTTGAAACATTCTTCGTTTCAGTTTACTCACAATAACCGTCAGTTTCATATACATAATGCAAAATAGTGAATATGCAGGGAGCTGACTCTGATGACCATATCCCCTTCTGTATGACAGTGTTCAGAGCGGATGTTTGAGAAAGCCGAACAAATATATCCTCACCTTAATCTTGAATGTTTTGAAAATTGTTCTATTTCTTCATGATTAGCAGAGTCACAGTGTTCTAAAGTTGGAAATAATAGGGTATGGACTTGTACTATTAAAATTATTAATTACCTTCTGAAAATCATGGACTATTGTTAAATACTATTGTTATGGATATTATGTTAAAACCCCAATGCCCATCACGTCAGTCAGAGTGTAATAAAATTGGGTAGGCTACACAAAGAACTGAAATGGATTCGGAAACTCTAGTCTTAAAAAATTATATCAACTCCTAGTGGCTGCTATCTAGAGCTTTCTTCGAAGTTGAGGTCTCAAGACGTAAAAGAATGACACTTATTAAGAGCAGAGCTGTGAACCGTTGGATCCTAAATTGTTACTATTAACAAAAAAATGCCTTACAACGTCCTCAGTTTAGACATTTTTTTTTTTTTGTGACCCAGGCGCGTAATAGAAAGAAAATCTGGAGTCATTTTTCACTTAGAACAGTGGTTCCTGGCCTTTTACATCTTGTGTCGTCTTCTAGAGGCATTAAGTACTCATGCCTCCTTATTTATCATACCAGTGGTATTTATAGTCCTATTTTATTTGGAAGATTTGAATTCTCATTATGTTCAAACAATTCATTCTCAATAAAAAGAAAACATGTAAAATAACCTTATTACAATTTTCAAATTATTCTGAATTAATGGTAAATGATAGGCAATAATAAACCATTGATTTAAAACTATAAGTAAAGGGATTTTTCTAGAAAATTGAATCGTAAAATCAGTTTTTCGCCTGGCATGGCTCTCCCTACAACTGCTCCAGATCCCTAGTTTCACAAAATAAATCAAACTACTAACCTGATTCATCTGGCGTTGTCCTATCTTTATCAAAAGTCACTAAAGTTATCGTTTTATTTTCTTGTGACGAGGAGGAACGTTCCAACATTTCACGAAGGGTTCGTAGAAATACTTCTTTTCTTTGTTCATCTAAAAAAACAAAGCAATACAGAGATAGAGACATAAAAGTGTTTGTCTGATGAGCGAGGTTAAATCGGTCTGTTAAAAAGCCCGTCTCGAAACACAATTTTCAAATTATGCTGAATTAATGGCAAATGATAGGCCAGGATAAATCATTGATTTGAGAAGGTACAAAAGACTTCTAGGAGAGAAACAGTTGAGTAAACTATAATAGACACATGTCGCCTGGGGCATGGCCAGGAATTATTAAAAGGGGATCACTCAAATTTCGACTTGCCTAGTTCAGGGTGGTCCAAATCCAGGCCCGCAGGCCACATGTGGCCCGCCGCTTCATTATCTGTGGCCCGCGTCACATTCGGAAGGTAATCAAAAAATCGCATTTTGTGTTGTTCGTAATAAAATTATTCAGAAAAATCTGTTGACATATTGTTACATCATCTTTTTGATCAGGAATATATGCTAACAATATAGGCATCATGGAAAACTAAAAATCGAATGCAGATTCTATTAGCCGGGGATGGTTATGTCTGATAACTATGTGTTTGCACAATAAAAGTGTTTGTTTTGTATTGCACTTTTTACCTATTCTTGGCACTATTGTGGCCCCCGAACAATGCGGAAAAAAATGTGTGGCTCGCGGAGCCGACAACCTTGGACCACCCTGGCCTAGTTAGACAGTAAAAACTAGCTAGCCAGGGACCAGAAAACATGGGTTTTCAGGAATCTTGAGGGTCTGAAACGAGTTTCAAGCTATGAATAATTGCTACCAAGGATTAAGAAAAAAACTGTTTTTTTCACATTTCACAATTCACAAGAGGGGAGGATTAGCATCCCAACTCTCCAAACATGAAAAGGCTCACCTTGTAAATTTCTCCAGTCACAATTATTGACTTCAGGTAAATCCTCATTATTCTCTGGAGCATTGAAGATCAAATTTTTAACGAAGAACGCTTGCACAGGTACAATAACTGCACAAGGTCCTCCGTGTCTTTGTGTCAACGCACAACGCTCATCTGGGCTCCATTCAAAACCTTGAAAACAAAACATCAATGAATTTATATCCAGGTTTTGTTCATAGATGCTTCTGGCTTGGTTAACTCACTCTGGATCAGTGGCGTCCCTTGATCATTGACTGAAAATTTTTTACGACTTCTGTACGATATCATTCAATAAGTAAAAATATGAGTTTTAAATATTCCCGATTTGAAATTATTCTATTGAAACATTTCACGATTTAATCTTTTGCGCCCCTTTGCAAATGGCGCCCATGGCACGAGCCATGGCTGCCATACCCTAGATACGCCACTGCTCTGGGTCAATTAAAAAAAGAACCTAAATTAGTGACTGTCAAGATCCAAAATTGCAAAATAATAATGCGATGATGAGATACTTTTGTTCACCAAATTTCACCACAAACCACAATTTGACAACGCACAACTCTGGTTTGGGCTCCATTCGTATAAATTTTAGTTCAAGACGATGTATACAGAATGCAGTATTCGAGTCACCATTTATCGAAGACTTAAAGTGGCTCAGTCATCTAAATGAAATAACTTGAGATCATCATATAGTGTTTATCCGTAAATATTACCTAGCCTGAATTTTAAAATTGTTTTTTGATATAAGCCCTCACGTTAAATCAAGACCTAGTCGATAGTGTGGTTATTTTTTACTTGGTCAATATCAAGAAATCTCCCTTGCATGTTTTAAATGATTAGTCATTTCTAAATAATCTATGTTTAGCAGTTTATTTGTAAATGGATATCGGTTTTCATATTTTGTTCATTTGAAACTCTTGTAAATCTCTACTTTGTAATTTTTTTTTTGATAAATGAAAATAAAACACATCCCCAAAATAAGCCCGATGTTTTTTTTCGAAATAAAATTGAAATAAGAAACTGTCTTATTTTCGGAGAAACACAGTACTTCGTTGTACAAAATATTCAGAAGACTAACGACAGACACACATGACAGAAATGCAGAAAGATCGCCAAAACTTCAATTGAGGTGCAAAACATGAGATATAAATAAGAGTAGGCTACTGCATGGGCAACCTCACCTTGTGCCAAAAAACACAAGATAACTCTCTAATCGGTTTAAACTTGTGATAATACATGATTATATGTGAAATTATATTCGTAGAATTGTGGCGAATAAAATGCAATCATAGCGCTGAGCATAACCCAGGATGAAGTTGAAATATACATAAATACATGCTATCCCCAGTCTGGATTTCATGGCCTTTTTGAACGAGAAATCGGGCGTGCAATCAGAAATTCCTGCGTGCAAATAAGAATTTCTGGCGTGCAATTATAGCTCACGGCGTGCAAAACAACTGCGCTCGCGTGAAACTGACTTCGACCTGAGATACCTCTCATTACATCCGCATAAATTTAACGGTATTGGATAAACATAGCAAAAATGGACGTTTGACCTTTGACCCCCAAACGTAATTTCTACAGTTTGTTGCTAATTTTGAGAGTATTTGTGCGAATTTAGATACCGGTACTGTTCAGTACATTCGCGTAAAATTATTGGATGAAAATATGTTAAATCAGAGCAAAATCGACAGAATTTGTCATTAATTTGGAAGTGTTTTTACGTGGAATTAATGGATGAAAAATACGTCAAATCAGAGCAAAAATGGACGTTTGACCTTTGACCCCAAACATTATTTCTATATTTCGTCATTAATTTTGAGACTGTTTGCGCGACTTTAGATACCGGTACTGTTCAAAACATCCGTGTAAAATTATTGTATGAAAAATACGCTGTATCAGAGCCATAATTGGCCAGCGTCGGTGAGAAGGCGATCTTTCTCATGGGATTCCTATCATTCATCACGATATGGTGATTTTTGCTTAGCATTTTTCAATCATGCCAAATCTTGCAAGCTAGTATTAGTCTACAATTGTGAAGTAATAATTTTTTGGCATCTTTATATTACTAGATTATTGATTTAAAAACTATTTAAACCGATTTACACTGGTGAGCAATTGCAAATTTTCGGCGTGCAAAATTGAATTCGCCGGCGTGCATTATTGTGGAGCGCTAGCGCCCTTGGGCGTGCATATGCCATGGAATCCAGTCTGGTGCTATCCCACAAGTCCGGATATGGGAATAGTTGGCAAGTTATTTGTTTCAGATGCATGAACTTGATGGTGGAATAAACCGTAAACGACCAGACGTTATGTGAACCACCCTGCGGCAGCGAAGAGTCCAGTAACCTCGAACATAATTATCCCACATGGAATTTGAAGCGTATTAGGATAGGATTTACATATTTATCCCGGGGGAGAGGAAAGCCGATAAGACGGCTTATCCCTATGGCGAACCACGGCCCCTCGTCCGGTTACCATTCCAAGTCGGGTATGGGATTAGTTATATTGTTTGTTTTCGGAAGCATGGAATTGATGGTGAAGGAAGCCGTAACCGGCCAGCGGATACGTGAACCACCCAACGACGGCGAGGAGTCCAGCAATCCTCTCGCACATAACCATCCCTGCATGGGATTCGAACCTGCGAACCCATGCAGAGTAATTAGAGGTGCGGTGGCGAGCGTATTCCAAACGCTTAGCCCGTTGAGCCACACCGCCGCGTATTAATCACGCATTCACGCTTCAAGCATGTTGCACTAAGTTAATTTATATTTTCTATTTGTTAGTTCATCCTCCACTCTGCAACTGTTTGGCTTACGTTGTTCAATTGTCATGATAAACCAATGCTGAACGAAATAAAAAAAAGGATTCTGTTTCAGTGTTTTGAGATAGGCGTCATGTTATTGCTGCGAGCTTACAGTAAACACAAAGAGCAGAAGTATGAGAATGCTCACCTTGAGACCACCGTTTTATTATTGCTTCAGAAATATTTTCTCCCCAAACCAAAGACAATAAATCTTTTTTTAGCTCATCTGTTGGTTCCATCGTTTCATTTCTTTCGAAAAAATCTTCGATAAATCCCAAAATTTCAAACCTGAAAGCGGCAAAGATGAAAATTTGTAATTTACGATGAATGCAACTCAACCGTGACATCTATATTTTGACCTTTGCAGGAGTGGCTATTTTTAATTACTAAAAACCAAATTTAAAGCCAAACATCTTGCTTTTATGGACTTTAAAAAAAAACAATATTTTTATTTCTAAAAATGTTCATTACTGTGTAATGTATTCCGTTGTCGCCACTGTTATTATAAGTATTCATTGAGGCTTCAAATCGAGCAGATGCCATAAAATTTATAACATGTCACAAAAATAGTACTTTGCTGCCTTTTCCAATTTCAGATCTCATTCTTGTATTTCTTCGCTTTGTTGACGGTTTTTAGTTGGTTTGTGTCAGAAATTGACGATGAGCTACCAGCTTTATCGTAATACAACTTTGGGGAACAGCTTGCAAGAGTCTTTGGATGAATTAATACAGGTTTGTGTCATGATAACTATTTTGCAATATCTAATTTTTTTCTGTTTTTTATTCTGTTATTTAGGAAAAAAAAAGGAAACCAAAGACTCAATAAAGTTAATTATTATTTTGTTACTGACAACCACCTGTTTACTGAGCATGTGCACTCAAGTTATATGATTAGACTGTCTTATCTTTTTTCGTTCTCGGGATAAATATGTAAAACCTATGTTTGAGTGAGTGAGAGAGAGGAAAATTGTTTCATCAACTAGAAAATACGCATTGCAACAATAAAAAATATACAAATACACATGTTTATAGTAGGCTATATACTGGGGGGAGTGATACAACCATATGGTCATCAGAGTCAGCTCCCTGAAGCGGTTGATGGCTTCCTGCCATCTAACAGTTAAACTGGTTAATCATTCCCATATCTGTATATTGTCTTGGGATGCTTACTAATCTTGAGGCTCTGGTTTGTCATATGATTAAACCTCATAGGCTTTCTTTTCCCAAAATAAATAAGAAAACCCTGACATCTCCCTATTTTTCTCATATCAAGTCAATTTTTATTTTTGCAGAGTCAGCAAATCACGCCACAACTTGCACTCAGAGTTTTACTTGAATTTGATAAAGCGATCAACAATGCTTTAGCAGCCAGAGTAAAAACTAGAGTACAATTTAAGGTAACTATTTTGTGTCTTTTTAAATTATATTAAAAGCAATTGATTTTGGAATTGCAAGAAAATTATGATGATTTTATTGGCTCTCTGTTATTATTTTTAGAAATGACTTGAAGGCCTTTTGAGTACAATGGGGGATTTATTTATTCAAATTGAATATAATTACCTTTCAATCTATTTGGTGTGATCGAAATTCAGTTATCGAAGTCAAACATTTTTTACCATAGTATTCTAATGAAGAGATGTGGGGACACCCAGGAGAGGGGGTGCACGTCCCTGTGGTTGTGTGGGTGTGAATCAATTTAAAAATTTTGGGCTAGTGAACGTGTAACACTTCTTCTTGACAAAACCCAAATCTTATAATCTGTATGTTTTGAACCTTTCTAAGGTTTTGTTTGCTCTCCTGATTTCATAATCAGTTTTTATTTATTTATTTTTATCAATCATTTTATTGTTATGCTGATTATGGAGTCAAAATAAACTTATGCCTCAAAGCCCTTTTTAAATACTATGTAATACCAGGGAGATTTGACCTGTTGGGCACAATGTAGGCTTCAAATATTCAAATTGATCTGTTTGAAGTGACCTAAACTTCAAACGTTTTTACTGTAGTATTCTAGTGGAGAGATGTCGGGACGGCCAGGATAGGGCTGCATGTCTCTACGCACTCAAAAGCCTTTTTTAAATACTTATTCCAATTTCAGGGAGATCTGAACACATACAGATTCTGCGATAATGTGTGGACGTTTGTGGTGAAGAATGTTGAATTTAGGAATTCCGTTTATACAATCAAATGCGATAAAGTTAAAATTGTAGCTTGCGATGGAAGAAGTGAGTTTTAGAGGGAAGCATATTGTAATTAATTTTTGAGGGGTCTCCTCCTCCCATTCACTCTGCAGACTTTTTATGCGTAGAGAGGGAGGAATGAAGAGATTGAAAAAACGACAAAGGACGGGATTTGTTGAAAATTGTTGGACTTTTGGAACCATTATAATCAAATTCATATTGCAAGTCTAGCGTAATTAGGCTCCTCAGTACCATATAACCCAATTTATTACATCTCTGGTAATCTTCCTGTGGGCCACAGTTGATCTTGCAATGATATGTTGACTCTTTTACCCAATATAATGATGGTAAAGCATTTTCTGTATCATTTCATGCACAGCAATTTTTCGGAACTTGAAACGCATTTTTACGGTCTAATTAGAAATTTCAAACCTCCCTCTCCTTTCTGAAAATTCCTGGCTATGCTAGACATCCACTACTCAATGAAATCTAACTCACAATTTTTCTCATTTCTAGACGTATCTACAAAACCAGATGACTGAGAATGACATCACAATGAAAATCTGGAAATATACACTTATTAGGTGGACTTTAATGAAATATATGATTTGGTGGACATTGTTGCAATGATATATTTGATTACTGTGCCATGACTTTTTTCTACTAGTGGCCACTGATACTTATAGAGCTGTGGTTCCCAAACCGCGGGCCGACGATTTAATATGGCCCGTCAAACTTGTGTGAAATAGTTGAACACTTTGTTTTTTTCTTTCCACATTCTGAGTATCTCTTGTACGAAGCCCCCCCCCCCCACCAACGCTCAACCGAAGACTTATCGATCGAAGGTTAGGGGATCCCCCAAAACAGTGGTCTTACTCCATAGTGACACTGTGTGTCCCATCACTAATTAATTAATAACTCGCTAATTATACGACATAATCCATCCAAAATCAATAGGCTTCTGGTCCGAGCTAGGATGAATGCACATGCACAATTTGGAGCAGATTGAACCTCGCTTTTGTGAGATATTGCGTGTATCTAACAGACATACATACAGACAAATACCTATCAACATACTTACCGATCAAGATCGATAAGTAATAAGAAAATAAGTGATTATCAAGTTAGGTTTAGGAATGCAGATTGCACTGAAAATCCAAATCATCCATAGCCCCAACTGGATGATTACTGGTGGGGATGTTTTTCTCATATCTCACATTTTGCATTAGTGGCGGGAACTTTGTACAGAAAATTCCAAATTTATCCTAATCTGGGATGACACATAGCTATTTACTAAGAAGACTTAAATTCACTTCTTTGTATTTCAAGGTCTTTAATAAAATCATACATGAAAAAATGTTTAATCTTTGTGTGATGTGTTTTCATGAGGCTATTTTCAGTTTCATTATTACTATTCCTTGTATATGAAGCACCAAAGTCTTGGTGTTATGGTCCTTTAAAAACTATAGTGAATCCTTTCAGTGTGATGCATTGCGCTAACCCATTCAGAGCTAATTATGTGCGAGAGATTGCTGGACTCCTCGTTGCCATATGGTAGTTCACATCAACGCTAGTCGGACATGGCTTCCTTCACCATTAAGTCCATGCTTCCGCAAAGAAATGGCTAACTAATGCCATACCAGACGAGAGGCCGTTGTTCGCCATGATTAAGCCGCCTTATGTTCTTTCCTCTAACACAGGGGTTCTCACCCTTTTCTCTGTTAAGTACCCCCCGAGTCACGAAACAATCAACGCGAACCCCCAGTAATCATACACTAAACTAAATTGTGATATATTGACCTACAATTCGCTGCAACAACTGCCAAGCCGTGCATTTCACATTTTTGCGTCACAATCACAACAACGCAAGATCAGGGAAAATGTACGCCGAGTTTCAATTGGCAAATATTTTCCTCTTGTAGTTACTTTCTTTGTTAAAGGATATTAAAAAAAAGCAACACACGAAAACTCGACTGTCATCCAAGTACCCCAGGTTGAGAATATATGAAAATTAATTGGAATTGCATTCCCAAACTGGTGGTTGTTTCTCCGAACTGCATGAAATTCAAATGAACAAGAATGGACTAAAAAAGTTGACAGTATTTTTAAGATAAAACATTTATTGAATTGTACCATATTTTACTAAATGAAATAACCAATAACATTCACTTGAATTAAAAAGAAAACTAAAACATCAAGTTTTAATCAAATTGCATATATAATAAAAAATTGTATTATTTCAAACTTTGTTAACAGTACAGAATGAAAAATAGCATTTTAAAAAGAATTTAGTCAAACAAGTCGCACATAAGCACCATATACAGTAATAAAATGCTTTGTCGTGCAAAAATAGCAACATCATTGCATAATTAAAATTATGGTATCAAATTTTATATGAATCTGGTCTAGAGCTTTATTACTTATCGATCTTAAGATCGGTAAGTATATTGATAGGTATTTGTCTGTCTGTCTGTGTGTCTGTTAGATGCACGCGATATCTCACGAAAGCGAGATTGAATCTGCTCCAGATTTTGCATGTGCATTCATCTTATCTCGGACCAGAAGCCTATTGATTTTGGGCGAATTATGTCGTATAATTAGCGAGTTATCAATCAATTATTGATATAGTGATCTAGATTTTTGTAAAGCGAGAAAATTTTGAAACCCGCCGAGTGTGTGTGTGCGATGCGCAGTGCGCAAGTTACAAGAGCGGATGAATCGAAACTGCAGTTTCTGTTTTGGGGGATCCCCTAACTATCGATCGATAAGTCTTCGGTTTCCAACCGATATTCTCGTTCATTCATTGTACAGATTGGAAATTTACAGCTTATTTGCAGCCTTACGGGTGCTCTAAATCAGGGGTGCACAACTCAAATGGGGATACGTGCCAAATTTTTCAAAATAATCTTGTCGCGTGCCACACACAATTGTGGTATTGTAAATGAACTCCCGTAAAACAAACAAATTGCAACAACAATACATAATACCAAATATCTTTTCATTGAAACTATTTAATGTCTTGAAAAAAACTGCTGATTTTCATATAAACGTGATATTTCAATGTATATCATGAATTTTTTTTACAAAACCGTTCGCGTGCCACGTTTGAGCGAATGGCGTGCCAAATTTGGCACGCGTGCCTTGTGTTGTGCACCCCTGCTCTGAATACTTTATAACGGGGGTTCTCAAGCAAGGGCGTGGAAGAGCGCAGACAATTTTTCTGCGGGGGAACGTTAAGCTAATTGAAAATAGAAATATTTGGGGGCTCCCGAAGTATGCGAACCAAGATGGCGGACATAGGAATGTAATATGGGTACTAGGTTAGGGTTAGGCCATAATTTCAGGTATAAATACTACAGGAAGCTCTTGGCTAGACTTCGAACTGATAATAGGGCTAAAATAAGGAGAATTGGAAAAAAATTATCGCCTAACCCTAACCTGTTACGTTCCCATGTCCGCCATCTTGGTTCGCATACTTCGGGAGCACCAAATATAGTTAGATTTGATCTTACCTGCCTTATTGTGGATATTTACGTTCCATCCATGTATTTTTTGAATAAAACATAGTTACGTACACTATCTGTTATTTGTAGCTTATTGTTAGCTAGTTATTTCGAGGTGGGCGTAAGACTTGAAAAATTTTCTAAAAAAAGGGGGCGCGGCTTAATAAGTTTGAGAATCACTGCTTTATAAAAATTGGTTCACACGGACCAACCTCTGGTTTTTCATTCACAAATCCATGTATCATCATTGCATAATGAACAAGAGAGCTATGCTTAAATATATGGACACGTAGCGCCACCCAGTGGCAATAATTTTGATGACATCATAGCGAAAAAAAAAGTAATAGCCCTATGGAGAAAAATTTTATCTTTAACCACTGAAAATATCAAAGCAATTGGTCCAGTATTCAAAGAGAAAAGCGATTTTTTTAAAAATGGAGACGAAGACAAATAACAATAACAACAAAATTTTGAAACGATCGTTATGGCCACTAAACGTGTCCAAAAATACAGAATAGAATTACATAGGGAGATTGTCTAAGACATTATTTAAAATACAGATTTATAAAATCGTACCAAAAAACATTTGCATGACTCAATTGCATAAGTGTTAAAAATAATTACCAAATTAAAAAATTCACATTTGATCTTGATACCGTATAAGAGAATAAAACCATCCGTGTGAATTTTTATCCCAGGGGATAGGAAAGCTGACAATAGGATTGAGACATTGTTTCATCGGTACTCCCGAAGTACGTAAACCAAGTTCGGGGACTGGCCAAGTGACTCCCGTAGTATTTGAAGATGAAATTATGGCCTAACCCTAACCTGGTACCCATACTATGTTCCGGTGTCTGCCATCTTGGTTCACATACTACGGGAGTACGGTTTCACCTGCTAACCAGTCAAGATTTTTGTATTTTTCCCAAATGGGAGAAAAGTGGTCAAGAGATATGTACATTCACTAGAAAATTGGGATACTCATCACTGAGCAAAGTTACGGACAGCCAATAAAAAGGCTACGTGCGCTCATTCAGCATTAAAGAAGACTCATCTCTGAGCAAAGTCACAGACAATCACTGAAAATTTAAGGAGAGTGACAACTTAAAATATCGAGAGCTACCAGAACAATATAAGCCAACCCTAGCCTCTTAGAAAATATTTATTGACAATACACCAGCTTGCTCTGCTCCTTAACCCTGCTAAACCGTTCACAAAACCTTATTCAATCATTCAAAAATATTTGGGGTGCACGAAAAGGTTGCCACACCCACATCATATGCTACACCACTCATTAAACTACACCCCATTAATACAATCGAACCCCTCTCACCCAAGTTTGCACCACTTGCGTATCCAGCAATCTTCCAGGGTATTTTGACAAATCAACAATCTCCCCATTCACCACTGGGGTTTCCAAGAGCACAAAATTTGCATAATAACCGGGTTCAAGTCTCCCTATGGAATTTTCAGCAAAATCCACATAAGCAGCATCTGATGTGTACATATCAACAGCTTGAGAAAAGGTGACCTCTTCACCTTGCTGAAATGACCTTTGACCTCGGACCTGTTCTTTCAACTGGAACGACCCTTGACCTTTGACACAATCAGGTTGAAATATTGCATCATACATTCCTAATAAAGTGTTAGGAAACAGACAAGGGCTATCGCTACTACCTGCGCATGTGACGCCGTTATCGATCAGACTACGGCAGGGGTACATACATTTTTGAAGGGGAGGGGAAATCTTTTCTCGTGAGTATCTCGCATCCGCTGGTACATTAGTCGGTTGTAAGCTGGCAATTACTCCCAATTTCGCCATCCTGTGAAAAGTGGAAAAATTAAATTAAAGTTTTTTTTATATGGCTTTCACTTGAAAAATCAGCCACCATCGCACAAGTAACTTTAATATATTCTGGGACCAGGATTCTCTGCTTTATAATGGAATGGGGTTTAAGTCATTTTTTTAAATCAAACCGTTTTTCATCAAACAAACTTCGAGACGAATTTTAACAAACTCCGCAACCCTGCTTGATCAATTCTAATGGTCAAGTTATACCGTATTGTTTAGCAGGTCCTGCCGGAGGCGGAAACTGGGTCCTCGAGCCTTTTTTATATTTTAAAAACCCCATTCCCGTAACCCCTCCCATGCTACGCCTCTGAATCAATACCAGCCTCAAAAATAATTGCCCTATTTTGAGAATTCACAAAAAAAATGAACGATAAAACAGAACACCCACCTTTTTATTAAATCCAGATTCAAAAGCTGAGCGTGGACTATGATTGGTCGTTTTTCAGGAGTTATGTTCGCCCTTTCCATGGCAATTATTGCTGACTCAGCTGCTTTATCACCGATAGCGTGAATCTCAAGTTGGTATCCGAGGCTGTCAATTTCCTTGACCTGAAGAACAAGATATAAGGCTGCTTTGTCCTAAAAGATTTTCACACATAGAAGACACATACACATACTACAGGAGTACCCATAAAACAATACCTATACACATAGACATAGACACGCACATTAGCAACAACACAGGCACAGAATGAGAAGCATAGAATAAACCCCTAACGAAAAAATACTTACATAAGAAAAAACAAGTTTTCAGAAAAAACACACACGCACAAATAGAATAAAACACATACACATAAAAACAAACAGAAACCTATGATGAGCCACAAACACAAAAAACAGACACCCATAGGGTAACCCACATACCCACAGAATAAGACACACACACATGAAATAAAACGCATAGTATATGATAAGCACACATAGCAAATCGTACAAAAACATAGAAACAGTCACATAAGATAGAACAACCACACACACACAAAGAAAGAGCACACATGCCATGCAGAATAAAACACACATAAAACTCACCATTTTATCTAAATCATCCTGTGAATAGTATAGAACACCATAATTATCTTTCCCGTTATCATCTTTTTGTGGGTAGGGCAAACTCAACGCTGCAGTGTCGCTACCAAGAGCTCCGTCGGCAAATATTTTTACACATCTATGAAATAAATATTGACAGTGTGTACTTTTACATATTTGACATTTGCATACCTCAACTCTGGAGAAAACCCTGGAAATGGATTTGGAACCAAAGATTTTTCAATTTGATACCAACATGATTAAGTGCAACGTCCTACCTACTAAGACAGGGGTGTGCAACATTTTTTGTTGATGGGCCATATAACCGAACATCTACTAGATGGGCCACACAAAAAAAATTGAGTTTTTCCATGTACACATCGAATTAAAAAATCCTAACAATGCAAATTTCAATTATTTACCATTTTAGTGAAATATTTAAATTTCGAGTTTATGATTAGTGCCTGTCTGTAACTTTGCACAGAGATGCACATTACTTCTGAGTGCAAGTGCAGTTTTAAGTATTCTATGGCGTCTGCAGCTGCCGCAAAACCATGGCGGTATTTCCATACCATGGCCGCTACGGCCAAACCTATGGCGACTGACTTTTTAGCTGCCATAAACCAATGTCGAGCTGCCGTTACCGCGGCAGCAAATTGAAAACCAATGGCAGGTAAAATTTTGCTGCCGTAACCGCGGCAGGTGGGCCGTAAGGACAGGGCTGTCCCTTATGGTGACAAATATTGGGTAAGTTGGAACGTTTTTCTTATGGATACAGTGTTGATGGATTTGGGGTTAGGGTTAGGGTTTAAGTAGATATATTTCCGCATGATCAATTAGAATTTGGTACATTAGTTTGTGAATATACCGTTAATACTGATTACTGAATACAGAATAGCGCTATAAAACCATGGCAAGAGCTGCCGCGGTTCGTTCGTGGCAGGAGCTGCCATGAAGTGGTAAGAACTGCGCCTCTCTGAGTGAGTGAGACTTTGATTTAAACAAAACTTTTCAAAAAATTTTCAGACAACCCACCTACAACTCAAGTTTGAGCCATGAGTTTCTCCTGATTTAGTAGGCTTGTTATTTGTATCCATATCAGTGTAAAAAGTTGCAAAAAAGCATTGAATAGGCAGTTTCTCTTCTTTGGCAAGCTCAACATATTCATTCCAAACGTCTTTATCGAGGCAGTGAACACTAGTAATCCCGAGTTTAACGCATTCATTTAGAGCTGAGAGTATTGCTTGCTTAATTTTTGAGCTGGATCTAAGTGGAATATATTGTTTGTATAATATTAGCAAGTAACAACAGCTTCTTTTCGCTGTTGTTGTTGGGAAACGTCGCTTTTCTCCACAACTACAGCGGTTTTCAAATGGTGGGGTGCGCCCCACAAGGGGGAGGTAGACACTTTTTTGAGGGAGCGTAAGCTAATGGTAATTCAAAATATTTGTTAGGTTTGATCTTGCTTGCCTTATTTTGGGTTTGTACATTTCTTGGGTCTCGTGTAGTTTCGTACCTAACATACTTCTAGTGAGCGTATCGCAATAATTTTCTGACATATCAAGGGGCTGAGACGGGGTTTTCAAATTCTCAGTAGAAGAACTCACTAGAGGGCTTTATTTTTTCTTGTGGGACTTTTCTCCCAGTCTTAATGTTTTGTTGGGTGGACATGGGAGAATCGAAAATTCAAATTCAGGCTCCTCAAGTATGAAAAGATAACTTTGGCTCAGACTCTTACGAAAACACGCCAAGTTCCACACCTTGGCAACCCTTCCATTTTTTTTCAGATTTTCAAGTATTAAACATGGCCACGGATTATGAAAGTTCGAAACCAGTGAACTAGAGCAAACCGAATCAAAAATTACCTTGGAATTTTGAAATCCATCACAAGATCAATAGCTGCTTCTTTGAGAATCCCTGTCGGTTTTCCAGCGAGTGGGTGATCATTTGGGTACAAATCCACTCCTCCGCCTTTGATTTCTGTATTTTCATCAATGTCTGCCATTTTTAGTCCAACTGTGTTCAATACGGCGATATGGAATGAAGAGTGATAGACAAGTAATGGACGCTGATTTTCAATTTCATCTAAATCTTGAGCAGTGGGGTATCGCTCCATAACATGTTGCTCAAAACCGTATGCAACGAACCATGAGTTTCCTTCAGTGGGGTCATTATATGGGTCACTGAGCATGACCTTTAACCTTTCTTGCATTTGTTTTATCGAAGTCGGAACTTTTAAAAAAGTGTGGTCAGTTAGGTATGCCCCGTGCCATCTTATATGAATATGAGCATCATGGAATCCAGGAAGTATCCACTTCCCTTTACAATCTATTTCCTCTTTAACCTTCGACCTTAGGGATGGAAGGTTATCATCTTGTTTTCCACAAGATTCTATTTTACCGCTCAATTTGTCAAAAATCATCCAGTTATAAAATTGACTTTTGTCCGTACTTTTTTTGAGTCCACTTCTCCAAATTTTAGCATTGTGTATCAGAATATTATGCATTTTGATAAAAACAGGAAAACTGCAAAACATTGAGAATTCGGTCCTTTTTTTTAAACAATAAAGAAATAAAGACAAAATTAGCAAATGCAAAAAAACATATCATAAACATCTAATTTTCTATTCAAAATAATGCTTTGTATAAACTTTTCAACAGGTTCGTTTACTCTATATCAGTGGTTCTCATCAAACTTTTTAAGCCACACCCCCTTTTTAGAGTCTGTCAAGTCTCACGCCCACCTCAAAAATAACTAACAAATAGTTACAGATAATAAGGCGAAAGTATGTTTTATTCAAAAAACATGTTAAAAATGCGTGTATGGAATGTAAATATCCAAAATAAGGCAAGATCAAATATAAAAAATATTTTTATTCTTAATTAGCTTTACGCTTCCTCAAAAATGTCTACCCCCACCCCCCTTGTGGGGCGCGCCCGCCTGTTTCAGAACTGCTGTCTAAAATAATCTATTCTATTTCTACATATTATGGCCATTTTTATTTGCTTTTTAAAGAGAGCAATATCAGTCATTTTTATGTGGTGTTTTCACTATACAAGGCTTCGCACAAGCAAAGACGAATCTCCTTTACAACTGAATGAGTGCGTATAGCTCTCGATATTTCAGTGGGTACCCATAATTTTGCACTTAGAGATGGAGTGGGAGTGGTGACTCCTCTGCGGCCCATGGGCCGGGGCCACTGCCCATCGAATTGGGCCTCGGCCCTTCAGGCTATGGGCCCAGCCCATCTAGTGTGTAAAGAAACTATTCACTTGGCTAACACAGACAGTCCCCGAACTCACAATAGAACTATAATGTAAAAAATCTGAATTTTTCTTGTCCTAACCCTAACCTGGCACACTTACTACAGGAGTATATTTTTTTGGTTCGAATATTGACAATTTGGTAAAAATTGAAAATTTTGTTAAGATAATTGAATATTTCCTGATGGGGCCACGGCCCATCAAGCTATGGGCCACGGCCCATGTGGCCCAATTAGATGGGCCGTGGCCCGATTAGATGGGCCGTGGCCCAATTAGATGGGCCGTGGCCCCGGCCCATGGGCTGTAGAGAAGTCACCTCTCCTTTAGTAGAGATGAGTCTCTATTTATTGTACAACAAGCATTCTTCGAAACGCAGCCAAATTCTACAACTCAACAAGTTGCATATCACCATGTGATGTCACAGAATGAAAAAAAATCATCTACTATAAAATGTAATAAAGATTGTTGAACAATTAGTTGCATTGGCTTAAAATTAGTTATACCTATGTTTGGAATTGAAATTGAAAGAAATTTTCAAGAAATTGAAACAAAAAATTAGACAAACACATTTCGAGTCTAGTGTAGTTTTGTACCTGAAGTACTTCTAGTGGGTGTAGCATAACAATTTTTGCATAATTTATGTTAAACCTAACCCCCACCTGACTGCGCCATCCAAAAATAACTTCACTATGACGTCACAGTGACGTAATAATGGCCTTTAAACTATACGCACTGCCATCCGAGACGATCACCTGAAACTGCGAAATGGAATAAGCTATTTCTTTCGTTTTCTCGTCGCAACGATTCCAATAGGAAAGAGATCGCTGCCATTAGTTCTTCATCGTCGGCGCAGATGCCATTTCGGGCGATCGTAGATATACTTTGGCAAGCTCTATGACGTGTTTGTGACGTCGTAGTAATATAACTGTTGGATAGCGCAGTCAGGTGGGGGTTAGGATTGACATGTGCAAAAATCGTTATGCTACTCCCAATAGAAGTACTTTAGGTACGAAACTACACGAGACACCCCATTTCTGATCTGATTTCTCTGATTCTATTCACCTTTGGCTAAGTTGGGCCACGAAGAACTTGGAAGGTGGAGCAACAATTAAATAAAGACTGCAAGACACATGCATAAAATTTGATAGTTTTGTACAGTTAAGATGTTTTTCGCAAATATTGCCAGTGGCACACAAATATTTTTGAAATGGGATAAAAATGAGTGGTGGGACAATTTCAGGAAAACACCAATTATCAGGGAGGGGCATAGCTATAGGGTAGGGAAGAGGTTACCCCCCCCCCCTTTGAAAATTAATAAAAAAGATAATGTCTAGAAGCGATTCGACATGCACAGTATGGTCTTGTGCATACATCCCGTCTTCATTATTGCTAATTATTAACTCTTTTATATTTCTTTTGCCAGGCGAATAAACATACATATACATGCATAAAATGTGATATTTCTGTACAGAAGATATTTTCACAAATATTGCATTTCACTAGGTGTAAATAACTTATGTCTGTACCTGCAAAAACTTGTTCAAAGTGAAAGCGCAGAACATATTGGAACGGTACTTAAACAATAAATATCACACGAGCAAAACAAAAACGGGAATTTATAAAAGTAAAATTTCCGCCACACAGAGAAACACAAACGGGTAACACCATTCACGCATCCACATTCTCTCCTCAAATTCAACTCATCAGCACTCATCTTCTTCTCAATAACGTAGAACACAACAAGTTTCGAACCAGCGACAACCGAGAGACACCGACCTACATATGCCGCATTATCAATATCGAACCACCCGTCCGACAGGTTCCGTTTTTGTTTGCGGAGTACTTGCAAAGAATCCAATTTTTATAACCGCGAGATGTCAGTATTGACCAACAAAGTAAATGTTTTCGTTCCGTTATGAATGAAATCGCAATTACAAAATTCGTCTGCTCTCGACGAGTTGGATTGCTTGTTTTACGAGGGTGGTACGTGGCGTTCGAATCGAGGGGGACGCTGCTAATGTTATGCCCTAAAAATGGATGTACATAACATAGGTATAACACTGCATTCTGACTGATAATAATAGCGTCCGAGCCATTTTCACAACCCTCCGCTGCATTCCGTGTCAATCATCGTTGATTCATTAATTATTAACTGGAAAGACAAATTATGGTAGTGTTTCCCGATCTTAATCGGCTCCCTTGGCACTGGCCCTAGCACCTGCCATATTATTTTAAAAAAGGAACGGCGTCTAGTGAACTTCGGCCCATATTTATTATTCGATTAAAAATGAAAACTGAATTTTTTCATGAAGAACTGGAAGTACTAGAATGAAATGCTATAGGTTCACACATCTGGTTAACTACTCCCAATTTGAACATGGATTTTAAACCAGAAGCCGTATTTTGTCACACACGCTACCACCTACCTTATATATATACTCATGTCAATCATTCACAATCAAAAATTAGATTTCTGTGATGATTCAAGACCTAAAAAGTCTACCAGCCATCTTGTGAGAAATTAATAGTGCCCCAAATATGCATTACGCTAAGGTCACCATATTTGAAAAAGCAAAATTCCGAACAGTTTGTGACTATTTTCATGACGTTGTAGAAACTGTGGTATCGATTCATGACTCTATAGTGACACTGCGTGTCCCATCACTAATTATACGTCATAATCCATCCAAAATCAATAGGCTTCTGGTACGAGATATGATGAATGCACATGCAAAATTTGGAGCAGATTCAACCACGCCTTCGTGAGATATCGTGTGCATCTAACAAACAGACAGACAAAAACCTATCAACATACTTACCGATCTAAAGATCGATAAGTGATTAATCTTATAACAATATGGTGTAGCAGCTATCCAGGCAACTAACGACTTGTTTCGAAATCCCATCTTACAAGTTCAAAAATAAAACAAGTCAAGCTTATTCCTCTTTCTATTAATCACAGCCAATGGAAAAACTGGCAACATACAAATAAACAATATATCTCTAGCAAAAGAAAATAACAAAACAAGCTTCAGTTTGCACATTGAAAAAAATTCCAAAACCTTGCGCTCCAATACCGGTACCACATCTAAAAAACTATCACCAAGCTAAAAATTGATTTCGCTTCGGATCATATAACACAGTAACATGAATAAAACAAACAATGGCCCAATCAGTTTAAATACTTCATCGAGGCTACAATAACTTACGAGAAAAATGAACAAACGTTACGTTAAATCATAGCGGAGGTGTGCAACATCTTTTGTCAGTGGGCCATATATCCACTATAAAATGCGGAAGGCGGCTATCGCTCGAGACTTCCAGTAATAAAGGCACCAGGCAAAATGTTGGAATATTTAGCGCACAACAAGAGCAAAAAAAACAATGTATTCTAACAATTAGGATTTTATGCTTGATGGGGAAAATCTGAGTATTGAAAAGGACCACACTAAATGGCTTGGCTGGAAACCGCGGGGCGCCTGTTGCACCCATGAACGGCAAGATAGTTAGTAACTTGGGTACCCTGTTACTCCCTCCCCCTGGTATTTTAATCTATTTCCTTCGCCTCTGTTCATAGGATATTATAGAAACCGGGCGGATAACCCAACCAATTTATTTAAAAATTTGTGAAACAAACATAGAAGAGATCAATTTAACATAGGTAAATTAACAAAAAGTAATTTGAAGAACCGATCAGTCGTGACAACTTCATATAGGTTATTATTTTCAATAAAAATGAAAAAAAAAACATTTGCTTAAACTTTTGCTTCAATAGTTAAACATGGATTGCAGAATCTGCCCAGTACAAAATATAGCCGAAGATGAGCATGAGAACCTAAGATGTCAAACCAAATTTGCAACTACCGTATATCTCTGCATATAAGACGAGTTCAAAATTCAAAGGAAAAGTTGCCAAATTAAGGGGTTGGCTTATACACGCTTAACTCTGACTGCACTAATTCTTTTCTGCAACCATTTGCTGTGATAGATGCGACGGCGTATTATGATTCATAGGGTCAGCTTATATGCAATATATACGGTACGTCATATACGGTAGGTATGTTCAATTCCATAATACAGGAACTTAGGTCATAAGGGGATTAACAAGGTGATAAACTTACGGAAAAAGCCCCCTTCCCTTTCATCAATGGTAGGAATAAAAAAGTTTTTTTTAAAGTTTAACAAGGTGAGACTCGTTAAGAAATTGACACGACAAAATTGAAAATGATCAAAAAATTACATAAATGGCAATGTTCACTTTAATAATAACAGAAATAAATAAATTGTTTTGAATAAAAAAATGCTGAAATATGCTTTTTTTTTACTTAATTTGTACTCTGTTTAAATCCGCTACGCTTAGTAATATTTCACTTGTTTTTGATCTCGTTAATTTTGAAGATAAAATAACCTTTGCTTCTTTGCCATTGTTATTTTTTACCGTTTCCATGGTAATTGAAGTTTCATCGTCCTCTATTTTTGAAGAAAATTGCGTAATTGCTTCAATCTTTAATTCTGCTTCAGATTCTTGTAACACGGGCTCGTCTTCTGCTCCAACGCCTGCTCCTCGTTCTCCTAGTGACTTCCGCGCTTCGTGGATGGAGTTGCTAATGTTCTCGAGACTTCTAAGAGCTTGGGAGTAATCAATCTTCGCTTTGAGAGTTGTGCTTCCGCGCTTTTTACGAGCGCAACGAGGGCTTCAATTCGTGCGTTTGTTTGTTCCTTAAATTCGAAATATTTTCGTGATTTCATAATGTTGAATTTTAATTTTTTTTGCAAAGCGTTCATGTTTGATTCAGCTTTTTTAAACAATTCCATTTTTTCTTGATGTTCCTCCCCACTTGCGATTCGTTCCAATTCAGCATCGTTAACTTTCAAAGTTGCGTGATTTAACATTTCTTGCCAGGCGGTGTCAGTAGTGTCACCACCGTTTTCCATGCCTTGTTCGGCAACAGCGACCATTTCCCGTGCCGCGACATGCATACTCACAGCACGCTCGAATCTTACAGCAGCATGTTGAGTCTCTAACTGTGCTTCTTTTGCAACTTGTTTTGCGTCGTAAAACGGACGCGCTTTCGTGACACAATCTCCTAATTTTTTCGCTAATGAATTAAGTTGATGTGTAGATTCTGATAAGGCTGTTCGGTACTGGTTCCTGGTTTCACTCAGTTTATTTTCCAATCTATTTATCACATTGCTAGCTTCGTTCAGACGCTCCAATTCACGATGCACTCTCGGATCCAATTGGTCGCACATAATTACTCGTTTTATTTAATTTAAATTGACTGTTATTGATCAGATTATCATAAATTCATCTAGAAGAAATTCAAATATACGGTAAGTTTTCATGACAATTTGCTAAAAGAAAAGTCACACTCACTCAAAAAAAAGGGAGATTCGTTTCGAAGTGATGAGCAACCAGTAAAAATGCCAAAAGCTTCGCACAACAACTCAGAAATAAAGTGAACTCACATCTGAACAAAATCTCAGACAACAACTGAAAATTCATGGGATACGAAAATATACAGAATTATATTGATGCATTATGCAGCAGTAAATGATAATTAACGCATTTCAATACGACAGGAAAACATCTAAGACAATGGTTCCCAAAATTGATTGACCGGAGCCAAAGTTAGAAGCGGAAGGATATTTGTGGGCCGGTATGAGGGGAGCGCCAGCAAAGGGCCGATGCCAGCACTGGTACGTTTAAATAGGATACTGGTACAACTGAATTGTTATGAATATACAAATGCTTAAACTGTGATAATGACATAACATTTGGCGATATCTAGAACGTAAAAAGGTAAATACGAGGTAAACTGTTTCACTTCAAGTTCGACAGGATACTTGAAATTGTTAGATGGGCTGTAATTGGCCCTTGGGCTGGAAACCATCTAAGAGGTGAATAAGGAATTTCACATAACTCGAAAAATTCTGTATCAAGACTTATACACAAGACACATACATAAATTACATACAAGACACATACCACGAATTCCACTTCATTCAATACCTAAACTACATATATTATTAATAGACATACTGCTCATAAAGTTATAAATGTACCAGACAATGTTATTTACAACCTATTACAATAAAATATCTCTATATGGACATGTTAAATTGATGGCTACATCTCAAAGACAATGCCTTAAATATACATAACTATAAAAATAGTATAATCAAATACATATTATCTCAACTACCTGCCTTTCAAAAACAAACTCATTGAACATCTATACCTTTGAAGCAGCCCAAATAGCCATTTGTTTAAAGTTTGATGCATAACAATACATAATAAAATTTACAGCAACTTATAAATAGAGCAAGTATAAGCTAAATCCCCCCCAGGGCAGCAAAATATCCCTAGATAGATATAATTAGTTTAATATAGTAATCAGGCATTCAACAAAGTTCTTGAGAAAACAATTAACAATCATTATCTCTTATCAGTAGTCTATAATTATTAGAGTTTACACCTGATAAGCTGATTATAGGTTATTATCACCTCATAATAAAACATTGCTGGGAATCTGCAGGCAGGGACAAAATCAAATTAATTGACCATTACCTTTCATCAAACGAACCAGGTTTTGGACCAGGATCAAAAATTTTGCCAGCGACATAGAAAATTACATTTTATTAACAGAATTTTATTTACAATGTTAGAAAAGCAAAAGTGGAAAACAATGAGCCGCGTGCCAAAACTATATTTATTTGTAATCTCAACAAATTCCTTGAGTTATATTTTACATTTAGCTATTTTTAAACATAAAAGTTTGGTTGTGGCAGCATCAGGCAAGCCAGACTGAATTACCAAACAGGCTGGATTTGGCCAACGAGCCTTACTTAGCCCATGTCAGGACTAGACACATGTAAAAGACTGATGGCAAGAGCTTGACTTCGCCGATTACCAAGCCATATTTCTGTATTTTCTATCAGAAAACATAAAAGGGCTGAGAATCTGTAGGCAAAACCGAAATTTAAAACCTCACCAGATTTGACGCATGTAAAGGACTGCGGAGTATCATTCTGATTTCTGAGTAAAATGATTGTCATTATATAAAATGGGATGAAAATGACTGATATACGTTTCTTCACATTCCATAACATAACGAAGTGATTTCCTACCATTTTCAACGTATATTTATTACTTTCTCACTAAGTATAAAAACTCTCATAGTTGTTCATAGAATAAAGGATCCTCAGCAGTATTACTGGCACTCCGGCCTCTTATCAACAGTTTTAATAGTTTATATTGTGCTCATCAACATATATTAAATTAATACTAAATGAATATTCAATATTAGTTAAACTGCACCAATCACCAAGCAATACTTTTGTATTTTCTCTCAGAAAACATTAAATATATTTCTTCCTCCCACCAAGACCACGTTACTCCTAATGATGTCATATTAATGAGATTACAAATCTAATCAGATCAGAAAGATTGGGATTGTTCAAGCAAACTAATGGTTCTAACAAGACTAATATTTAATAATCGGCGTTCCCTTTTAAACTAATATGGCGGATAATAATAATCCAAACGGAATGTGCGATTATACAAAGGAACAGTGCCAAGGGAGCTAATTAGAATCGGGAAACACCAAAAACACTATCTAGTCTACCACAATTCGTCTTACCTGTTAATAATTAATGAACTAACAATGATTAGCAAAATTTGTCGCAAAGATTTTGATAATGTATTGTAAATCAACCCCTCTTGATTTCATCAATAAAAATTCTGAAGTCATAAGAAATACTACTCTATACACTTGACCTATTCATAAAAGGGAAGGGAGAAAGTAATGGAACAGTCACAAAGAGTCTATGACACTATCCACATTGCAGATTATTAACAATATAATATTAATTTTCATACAGGCTTCACTCAGAAAACTTTCAAAATAAATAAAAGTACGGTACCGGTAATAGTCTTCCAGAGAAAAATACAATACATTTCATAGCCATTGGTCCAGTAGTTTATAAGAAAACTGTTTTTTTTTTCGCAACAAAAAGAAGAAAATTACTAACAACATAATAACAAAGCAATAGGTTCACTTCCCTGTCCAACAAGCTAATCATAATCCAACATTGGCAAAGAGTACTGCGTCATTCTACACTAGTCATGACCTATTAATAAAAAGCAAAACCTACATAGATGTCTCAAAAAGTTTAATTAGGTACATCACGTTTCTTTTCCAACACCAATTAATCACATTGCAGAAATATAGATAATCAATCCAATAAGATCATGACTGACGTAAAATTCAGTGTGCCTTGTGATTTTGTTACATCAAAGCAAGGCTAACTAACTGGTGGTGACTAACTTTGATTTGTATATTTAATGCAGAGATTCTGTAGCAAGAATGATAGTCTATATTAACACAAATATATTTATGTATGTCTGAAAAAGTCTAACCTTGGTCAGACGAAACGTTACAGAAATATATTTGTGTTAGTGTGCAGCAAGAATCTTGAATCATTTAGGATTGTTATCTTCAATCTTGCTACAGCATCCTTGCATTAAACGATTCCACCGACACAAAAGCATAGAAGAAAAATAAGTAGTCAGTCTCACAGAAACCAAATCATTTTCTAATGCTTTAGTTGTTGATTTGAATGCACTAAAATAAGGTGAACACTAATTAATTCTGTGTTTTATACCATTTAATAGTTATTGAGCACAACGGCGCACACAAAACCATTAATGGCAAAACAAAATTAAAGAATAGAAAAACTTTATACATTTTGAAGATTAGGTGTTTTTCCAAAAGTCCAATTAACTCACGTTCCTTCCAATACTAATCAATACTATCTGTCACATTGCAGGAATATTGATAATCAATAATTTGAATTAGACAGAAGCATTATATCTGTCTAATAAACACATTTTTTAATTCGAGTGCTGCCATACACAAGTAGGCAAGACTCATATGACATATTCACCCAAAACGCTCCGTTACTCCAATGTGCCCGAAGTTATTATAAATAGGCTAATATTGATCAGCATATTCTCCAATAATCAAATGTTTAGTTAGTATAAGTAAATTTAACAAACTGTAAAATAGAAAAATGATAAGTTTTGTGAGCATTCATTCCTTGGTTGTTCCGAAATATTTGGAAAGCAGAAGCAAGATTGAATATAACAAATACAAGTGCTTTTATTAAGATTTCACTTGTAGTAGCAAAGTTTCCATAAAGTTAAGGTTTATACAGAAACCAAATAGATTTTGATTAGGTAAACTCTGATTTTGATCTCATTAACACATTCTTACAGAATTCAGTTCCTAACACTAGCTAAATCACTGAAACCAAAATTTGGATAGCCCGATAATATAGAGAATTATTCTTTCCAAATTATGTTGATTTTAAGCATTTCTTTGCAACAAAAGTAGTGATTGTCATAGTAAAATTCAAAAATCCAAAAGGATGTTCCTGCAATAGAACTGGCACCAATATGTATTGCCAAATATTTAAAGTTTTCGATTTTTTCTAACAAATAATTATTCATTGAATCTTCTAATAAATTCAGTTAAAGTTCTAGTGGGGCGGCCTGCCATTCCAGAACCTAAATAGGGCACTTCTTGTTTCGCGTTATCCATCACTCCAGCAATGTCTAAATGCATCCATTTTGTTTCTTTTTGAATAAAATGGTTCAAAAAGGCCGCAGCAGTGCACGCGCCTCCACCACGCCCCCCTTTTCCAACATTGTTTATATCAGCCAAATGGGCTGGTTTGATCTGGTTGGAATAGAGTTCATATAGAGGCATTCGCCATACTCTATCACCTGTGATATATCCAGCTTGGTTTAATTTAGTCCACATTTCGTCGCAATTTGAGAATACACCAGTGGCTCCTGCTCCTAATGCAACAACCATAGCTCCGGTCAGGGTTGCCACATCTACTATAACAGCAGGGTTGAACTCCCTTGCGTAACACAAAGCGTCTGCTAATATAAGCCGTCCTTCAGCATCTGTATTGTCAACTTGTATTGTCGTACCATCTTTTGCCGTTACCACGTCTCCCGGTTTATTTGCTTCTCCATTTACCATGTTTTCACAAAGAGGTACAAGCGCAATGACTTTTCCTGGGATATTCAATCTTGCCGCTGTTAAAATTGCCGAGCATACAGTGGCTGCACCCCCCATATCCGCTCTCATTTCTTCCATTCCTTGAGAAGGTTTTATTGAAACCCCACCACTATCAAACGTAACTCCTTTACCAACCAATACAAGTGGATTGGTGGATTCGTTTTGTTCCCCAGTGTAATGAATTTCTAAAAATTTTGGTGGTTGACTAGAACCTTTTGCCACACTCAGAAATGCACCCATTTTTTGTTCCTCAATCCATGTTTTATCACGAATTATCACTTTAATCTCGCCTTTTGTACCACACGATTCAATTTTATTTTTTACCTCTTCACAAAATATAGTAGGGTCCATTAAATTCGCAGGGGAATCCATCAGATGTCGCGCAAAGTTTTGGCCTTCTGCTAAAATTACACCTTCCTCCCATTTTTTAACAATATCCTTCCCATTGAGGGGTGTTTCGTTATCAGGTAGACTATTCAATGGTGAAATTGAAAGAGGAAATTTTTCTCTTTCTGACTTTTTGTAATTCCACGTCGACAAAAAAGCACCTTCAGCCGCAGATGTAGGATCATTGGTAACGTCAACTTCAACATTTTCAATTCCAAGACCCTTTAAACTTTTTATCCCAGCAGCTATTCCTTTTCTGATATTCTCTCTACTCACGTCCAAACTTTCATTATTGTTTTTTTGCGGATTTTTCTCCCCTAAAGACACTACAGAAACAATTGAACATTTTTCCGTAGTGCCAAAAAACAGTCTCGAGCTACCGGATTCAATTGGTTTTGATAGAGATAGTAATTTTGTTAACTTTCCTTCGAGCCATTTGTCATAAGTTTCAGAAGTTTCTGTTTTATTTGTAACATTTTCTTGTTTTTTCTCTGTATAGATTCCCAGAACTATGGCTTTCTTTTGATGCAATAATGTAGTAGATGTAGAAAATACTCTGACAAATCCAGAATAATTGTGGCTTGTTAAATTTTTGAGTATTCTCATTGTTGCTGACATTTTTTTAGTTTAGAAAGCAATCTGTATCGCAAAAAATTTTCAAATGCATATTTCACCAATCATTACAGTATGACACACTTCTCCAATTTCAAGAATAACCTCTAAATTTGAAGACATCAATTTTAACGACGAATACAAACCGCTCCTTCGAGAGACAGTAAATCACAATCAGTTTATATTGTTATGTCAAACATGCCCATGATGTTACCCTGCCATAGTGCCATTTGTCCTCGTTTCAGGGACAAATTAGGGGTTCGTTTTATTAATCTGAATTGTCCCTAATAGTAGCCGTTGATATGTTTGTGATGAAATAGTGGGCGGAATAATTCTAAACCATTGAAAATGTTATTATTCTGGCAGTATATTCAAAGTAAGGTTAGTACAAAAAAATCAAAAACTCAACAAAGACTACTAAAAACTTATTTACTACATTAGGCATGATTAATTTTGAGGACACAAAAATTCTAGAGAAAGAGTAAAAAAGCTTAAGCCTGTACAATGCACATACTGACATAGGCTACCGTAATTATATAAGAGAATCGAGAACAATTTATTGTTAATAATAAATTCTCAGTACCGGTATAACTTTAGGCTAGGCCTGTTTATAAATAAACCAAGAATCAATAACAGAATAAGCTAATACCGGTACCGCACAGGCGCACACTAATATGAAGTTCAGTAGAGAGAGAGAAAATGATTTATTTTCCGAATATATCGAAAAATGTAAAATTACAATATATGGAAAAGAACAATTATAGAATATATTCAGAAGGGCAAGACTGCAAGATCAACTAAGTCGACCGACCCCTAAAAAAAGAAAAATTCTTATTATGACAAGACATTCGGGAGTCATGAGAAAAAAAGGCTGTGTATAGATTTTTACCTCGATTAATTACAATAATTATTTGATGGGTTACACATGAGTCATGACAGTCCCAAAGATATAATAATATGAGGGGGATTATTCAACGAGTTAGTTAACACAATAGCCTACAATCTTTGAATCAGGGCCTATTTGAATTAATAGGGAATGACAAAATAGATACATATTTCAAAAATATATTACAGTCAACTGAGACTTTTAAATAAATCTCAGATCAAAAATTCAATTTTATTCATAGTCCATACATTTTATAGTCATTTAAAATATTTCCTAATAGTTGCAAGCTCGATGATAACAGCAAGTTTCATAAGCAATAGTTTCACATTTCTCTGTGTACAACACGCAGTTTGGAGGCTTAGTACCGTATTGCCACTTAGTATCCATGCATCAGAAACTAACAAAAACTTATCGGCACACCTCTCACGGGGATTTAAAATAATAAATTTATTTTGACTCCATAATCAGCATATCAGACGATAAAATACATACCGTAGTTGATAAAAACTAATTATAGAATCAGGAAAGAAAACAATATCTTACGGAAACGTACCTTTTTCTTCCATTAGACCATATATTATAAAGTTTTTAACACCATAAAATCCCAACTCTCCATATCACAGCGCTTTATTATTAAACAACAGTAGCAACGCCAGAACGTACCGTAATAAACGCAACTGGGAAACAAATAACGAAACGCCCCGTCAGACAACGCTGATGACTAATTTGACATTTCACTTTGTTTACTTGCTCTTGAACTCGCCATGGATACGCGCAATCTCACGAACTCTTAAAAAATGTCAACACCGTCAACGAAATCGCCCCAGGGGATAAAATTCCCCATATTTTTAGGAATTTGTCAACAAAAGAGGAAAAATAACTCAGCAATGTCGAGTTTATTTGACATTTTGGTTTCGCAAATACCACATATGACGTCATTGGTTGCTGTCTGGTGTTCCCATTTCTAAACGAAATAAAATCAGTAAGAGAGAAAGAGAGAGATTTATTGCCACAAAAACACTAGTTTATTTTCCACCATACTAAAATGCGATTTATGAATAAACAATGCAAAAAGGGGAGGATTACTGGTTATCGAGCAGCGACACCCATGATTAGGAGTAACAGTGATATTTAATAGCGTAAACCAAAGTTTACGCCAAAGTACGTCAAGTAAGTCAAAAGTGTCCATCTTGTTTTCGATCAGTCATGCATGTTAACTAAAATATCTATTTCCCCCCAAGAGTTGCCAGATTATTTGTGCTTTACGACGATGATCATTCTCTCACTATATATAGAAACGTGTCTTATGATTGCGCGTTGGATTTCTGAAATCTGGCAACGGTATTCAACACGAGATTTGCTGGATAATCAGAAAAATGTCATACCGGTATTTTTTAGCGCATTTTTGGAATTACTGCTGAAATTAAACTTGAATTCTGGAATAAATACGGTACCTAAAAGTTACGGGATTAAAAGGTTGCAAAATTTCGATGATCGGTAACTAAAGGGCGGCATATTTATTTTGGATGAGAATACATTGGCAAGTTGGAGGGTAATATTTTCACATTTATTTCGGGGAGGAGAAGGCCCGTTAGGACAGGTCAATCATACGTGGGCCATGACCCCTAATTCGATTTCCAGTCCACACGTACGATACCGGTATGGGTTGAGTTGGCAAAACAATCACTGGTCTTTTTCTATGATAAAAAAGAAAAGTTATTTGTTGCATGGACTTAGGGATGTAGTTGATTGTTGGTATAACGTGAATTCTAAAATTACCTGTGTTTTCACATTGTGTCTAAAGTTTTTGTTTGTTTAAATTATTGGTACCCTAGCAGTAGGGTGTTGTGTTCTGAAATGCAGCTTGAACGAGATGGTATTATCGATCAATAAATCAGTTTTATTTCAATCACTCTGACATAAAACAAAACAACAACAAACGGACGAACAATTATGAGAATAAATAAGAATAGCATAATCTCTTTCCACGAAATAGCAAGTATAAGCTTTTTTTAGATCATAGTTTAACAAGTTTCACCTGCAATTATGAAAGATCATAATAATTTAAATTATTATAATAAACTTCTTGAATGCTAAAGAACGATTTTTAGAGTATGAGTTTTCAGCTGGAAATAGTTTATCAGAGGGAAATGGAATGAATTTTGAATGAAGTATTGTATACTTATATGCCTAATAATATCGCCTGAATTACCTGAAAAAATGGGATTCATCCAACTAAATTAAAATGTTATATTTGAACAAAACAAAATTATCATATTCATAAATTCGATTGAGCAATGGATTTAAATTTGACAAAAAAAGAAAGAGAAATGGACTGAATTTAGATTCCTACCCTAAAGGCAATTTATGAAATTTCAGATTTTAATAATATATATAAATAATAAAATAAATTAAAAAAATACTTGGTATTACGTTGCAAAAATTCTGTTTGATATAATGGCGAGCGAGGTACGCTCTGGAGTTCTACATGTTCAAAAAGTTAGTGGCCTCGTCAAAAAATTCCAAAAGCGATATGTTGCATTGTTTAAAAGATCCCCACACGGTGTCTCTAGACTAGAAGTATACGATTCAAAAGACCAGTATGAGAAACGGAACAAAGGCCCGAAGAAACATATTATTAGTCTCGAGTCCTGCGCTACGATCACACGTAAGCCAGTCTATGAAGGAAAAAAAGTTGATTTCTATATCACGCTGACATTTGATGACAGCAAAGAGCAACTTTTTCAAACCGATTCTGAAGATGATATGGAATTATGGTACGCTTCAATGAGTAGCGTTATCTTCGGGGGAGCCGGTCTCACAGATAACGTTATTTACCAACAGTATGAAGAGGACGGATATGATGTTGTCATCAAACAAAACGATGTTGTCAACAAATTAAAACTAAGTGGGATGTATTCTCTTGTCGTCTCAGCGGAAGATGTTGAATTACGTGATAAAGGAACGAAGCAAGTCATTACCAGGTGGCCGCTACAATTATTACGAAAATATGGGCGCGACAAGCAAGAATTTTCTCTCGAAGCAGGCCGGCGTTGTCCTACAGGACCGGGAATGTTTTACTTCATTACTGATCATTACAACGCGATTTTTCAAGATGTTGATAATAAAGTTCGTAATCTTGCAGAAAGAGGCCGTGCTCACAGCACATCAAGCACGAAAGCAGGTGTTTCCCCAACTTTTAAACCTCCTGATAGCCCATTGATTCAAACCTCTGTTCCTCCATCTCCGTTTAGAGACGGCGAAAGCGAATACGATAACCCACTAGACATGAGAAAAAGCGCAGCAAGTATTGAAGAGTCTATCTACAACGAACCAGTAAACTCGAAACCCTCAAAGAAGGGACAGAAAGGCAAACCAGAAAATCCTACTGCAAAAGGCAAAGGCGGGAAACTTGGACCTCAAAAACCAGACCGATCGAATCCCAAAAAGAAAGACAAAAAAGGTATGAAAGGTCAAAGTTTACCGGCCCCACCCCCACCGCCCCAAGTAGAAGAAGCAATGTACGCAGAGGCTACAAATCTTTCCGGTGACTCAGATGCGCAAGCTTATGGCCGTCTCGATTTCGAAGGAACGGGAATTGCGAAGCGTTTTTCAAACACAAGTAGCGACAACCAATACGATTCTCTCGATTCAAAGTGGAATGAAGAAGATACTACTTATGCTACAGCTGGATCGATTAATCAACGGTTGTCAGGTCTTTCTACTGAAGAGGAAGGCCTCTATGATAAGGTACAAAGGAAATGATAGACTTCACTAATCTTTTTGGAGAAGTTTCTTTCTGTATACTAGAGACTGGGAGATATTTAAAAAAAATTTAAAGTACTTTTAGAATATTTCTTTTTTTCAAACAGGATTCTCCTGCTGTCTTAAGCATTTTATATGCTTGCTTCAAAAATCAAATCTGCTGTCCAAAACTGAAACCAATAGTTCCTACAGAGGAAGCCATTTAAATAGCAGCAATTGGGGCCATCTTTCCATCCCTATACTGTCTATATGGCTGCCCAATAGCCCACTATGGGAGAGGCCATTCAAATGGCGATTGGTACCGTACATCCACCCATCCCTATTTCTAACCTTCTGCCTATATGGCAAGCCAATGGCCCTCAAGGCAAGTTATTCATCAAATGGCAAATAGGACCGTGTATGTAGACCCAATTTATTTCTAAATTACATGATTTGACTGAATCCTAGCAGCATTGAAGCATGACTTGACAGCACAAGGCATATTCTGTTGGGATGAAATTATGCTGCCAAGAGGAATACTTTTAGACAGTTTATTCCCATTTTTGGCCAACACCAAGCCAGTCCCTTTTATCTGTAAAAATTTTATTTTTCCTTTTACTTATTTTCAAACATATATATCCAAGAAAATATGCATTTTTATTGCAAATATTGTCATTGTTTTATTAATAGATTATTGTGATCTTTGCTTATATGTTTTACTTAATAATCCATAACACTCTTTGATAGAAGCTAATATTTTATTGTTTCATTTTCCAATACTGAGCTACCGCAGACGTAGAGAAATATGGATGGGTAAAACAGACTTATTTTCTATTTTCTACCAAGACTCAGAAATGACCATAAGTGAATAATATACTATTGCAATTTTGATCAGAGCAATGTCTCAAGCCCTCAACTAAAATTGAAAGAGTACTGATAGAAGTGATGGTCCCAAGCTCTTGACTAAAATTGAAAAAATATTGATTGAGAGGTTGCAAGTTTGATCAAGGCAATGTCTCGAGCCCTCAATTAAAATTGAAAGAGTACTGATAGCAGAGTTATAAGTTTACTCAAAGCAAGGTCTCGGGCTCTCAACTAAAAGTGTGAAGAGTACTGATAGAAGTGATGGTCCCAAGCTCTTGACTAAAATTGAAAAAATATTGATTGAGAGGTTGCAAGTTTGATCAAGGCAATGTCTCGAACCCTCAATTAAAATTGAAAGAGTACTGATAGAAGATTTCCAAGTCTGCTCAAAGCAGGGTTTTGAGCCCTCAACTGAAAGTGGAAAGATTACTGATAGAAGAGTTGGTCCCAAGCCTTGCATTCAAAGTGGGAATAGTACTGTTAAAGTTGCAAATTTTTTTTGCTCTAAACCGCTTTGAACATATAAAGTTAGGCTCCTTTCTTTCGTATTATTGACTATTAGATCTAATCACAGATGTCGCTGCTCGTTAAACAGTTTTGACTTATTGCGTCTTCCTCCACCCTGAAATGCAATATTTATGTTTCTTCAATATATTGTTCCTTGTTTGTATAAAGTGTATTTTTGGTATGGTGAAAAATCTAATGGTTATTCTTGTTGGCATATGGAGGTGTATTAAACGAAGTAAATATTCTGAACAATTACTGATTAAAAAACAAAAAACCTGGTTAAGATATCTTGAGAACTGACTTCATAACAAAATTGAAATTCTAAAGGACTTTATCATAGACTTTATCCTGTATATCCTGCTGACTTCGTAGCAAAATTTTGAGTTTGTAACAGGACATTATGAACAATATGTATATTCCTTTGAGCGTTTAAAATCCAAATTATTGACAAGACAGGAATCTAGATATGCACTATAATGTCTGTCAAATTTTTTTTAACCAAAATTAAAAAGCATCTACATAACAAGCCTAATCAGAGTTAGAAATACGATAATCAAATTCACACCATATATGATTTGATATAAATACTTCAAAAAAATTTCCATGTAACAGCCATGCTAAGGTAGTGACTCATGGTCCGTTACATACATGTAATGTGCATTACTCATAAATGCTGAATCGTCACAGATTCCTATTTTTAACGTTCATTAATCGCTGGAATGTATATTGATAATGACATGTATAGGTATGCTTTTTCCTGGAACAAAAAGCCGCACAGTTTATACAAACATAATATAGAGCCAAATCTTACTAGAGGTGGCCAAAAACCGAATAATTATCTACATTTCTGAGTATGATATAATGATGTAAGGATATTTTTGAACATGAAATAATAGATATACAGGGTATTCATAATCTTACCAGGGTAATATATCTTAACCAGGTTTTTTCTTTTATTTTGATCACCTTTTTTTACTTTATATAATACGCCTTTAAGTGTCAAAAAACTATCTATGATATCCAGGGGCGTAGCAAGTCTTAGCAAGCCTAAAGGACGAGGTTTGGAAAATCAGAATCAAAATTTTCATGCAACGGCTTGTAAAACAGGGGCCGCGATAATGCAACTCATTAAAATAGCTGACTTTTTCAACGATAGCGACTTCTTGTTGCCTAAAATATTCAAGTCATGACCAATGTGAACATTTAAAATGTCTTGCTATATTAATTTGTGTTTATTTATTGTGTTTATTGGAAATTTCGTCCAGAACCCCAAATTATCTGTTCTTGGCTTTCCTTGCTAGGATTCCTTATTTGCTGTTGCCAACGGAAACAATACCAATGTCAAATTTTGATTGTTATAAAAATGAAAGTGGTTTTCGATTTATTTCGATTTCACTATCGCTGAGTTAATGTTTAATAAATTACATTATAATTTTGTTATAGTTTGGTTTAAAATCGGCCAAATCAAAAATGGACACAAGGCACTACCTAAAATCAAAACTAAAACAGTTACAACCTTGAAATTGACCAAAAGGTTCATAATGACAGAAGATCAGAAATTCCATTTATAAAATATGTAACAAAAATTACTTTATAAAAAATATAATGTAATTCATTGAACCTAATGTCTATGTCTGAAGAAATTACGGTCAGGTTGGTATATTGATGCATTATAGTAAAAAGAATTGAATAATAATGCATGGCTAGCCTATGCTATCAAAACTTGGCCAACATCGATTTTAAAAGCGTTCAAGTGCGACCTGGCGACATAGAATAATAATATTCTGACCAGTTAGGGTCCATTGGTCATTCTTAGCAGGGTATAGAAGTCTGAATAGTGCCAAACTAGACAAAAAATAAATTTTTAAAAACCTTGTACTAAACAATTTTTTGGGAGATATTTTTGTCATGCTTTTACCAAAAACAATCAGGTTGTAAACTTTTGATTATTTTTTTTGTGGATATATTGTTATGTATTTATTGTTATAAATTTGATTTCATTTTTGCTATTTTAATATTGAAGATCATTTATGCCAGATTATTTAAAGGGAGCCGTGGTAAAGTTCCATTAGAATCTTAGACTTTTGAATAATTAAAATTTTCACTACCCCACCAATGCCCGAGAGAAAATTTTGATTCTTTCCAATTCAAGACTATGATGAGTTGTCACAGCTCTGGGCAATAGAGGCCAACCTGCCTCTGCATTCTGTGTCAATTCGTTCATTAATTATTAACAGGGAATACAAATTGTGGTGTGTTTTAGTGTTCACCGATTTTAATTAGCTTCCTTGGAACATGTCCTTCTTATAATGGCATGTTCACTGCCTGTTACTCGTCATTTTATTTTGAAAGGGAACTGTGTTTAGTGAACTTGCGCTGGGAATCGTACCTAGCACTGTCTGCCACTGATTTTTTGTTGCATGAAGACTGATTTTGGTTAGACAAAATGTTATGAATTTGTTGAAACGTGAAGCAATACTATTATACATGACAATATTTCAAGTGTTTCTTTTTTTGTAGAAAATAATGATAAATTGTTTTTTTTTGTGCGTTTCTATAATTATGCTGCAATTTTTATGTTCCTATTTATCTAGAATATAATAATGTACATGAAAAAATTATTTTTAGCATGGCTGAGATGTCTGAGAAAATTGACATTTTATTCCCAAACTCTGAACTCTTTCAAAAAATGTCTTCTAACTCTCAGTTAAAGGATATTTTTTTGAGTTAAGCTTAGACCTCTTAGAAGACCAAATTTTGATAAAAAAAACTTTTGTATATGCAAGCCTTTCTTTGCTTGTCTGTTTAAAATACTCATTCAGCTTTTTTCAAAAATTTCAAATTCAACTCTGACTTTAAAGAATTCAGTTTTTTTTTATTTTTGTCAGAAATTTGGCCGCAATTACCAATATTAAAATTCAAAATTTTCAACTTTAGAGAATTCAAAATTTTGACACCTCAGGGGGATTTAAACATACAACTCCAACTCATATCAATAAAACATGCAGTATTCTAAAGAAAAAACAAATTGACAGCAATTTTCTGGCGAATGAACCTTCTTTAATTGCCTGTTGAAGACACTCAGTTAACTTTAACAAGCTTATTGTCTCATAATATGATTTCCTTGTTCGGATTCACTATTTGCTGTTGTCAATGGAAACAGTAACAATGTCGTACCTTGATCGTTTTGAAAATGAAAGTGTGCGCGATTTTTATTTCAATTTCAACATCTCTGAGTTAATGTTTGAAAGAATTGAATGGCACTTCATACGACAGTATTGAAAATCTGAAATTTTTTTTGAATTTGGTGAAATGGATTTTTAGGTTTCTGTTAAATATTCTGACCCCGATGACCTACATCAAAAATCTGAAATTTTAATTCCAAAGAATTTAAAAATTTGACTTTGACTTCAGGAAGTTGTTTGTAAACCCAACCTCAAAATAAATTAATTCCTTCTTATAACCCTTGAGAAAGCAAATTTCTAATTGCCAAGTCAGACCGTGTGAGCTAGCGATTCCGTCTGGAAAGTGTTATCAAGATTCTTGGGGTCTAAAAAGCATTACATTTTAAAAGGGGGTGTTCAGACCCATAAACCCTGCCCCTCCCCCTTATGGCCATGCCCCTAAACTACAGTATCAATGAGAGCATATCAAACTCTTGACTCCACACCCCACTATTCATGACAATTTTCACTTCATCAAATATCAATGTGCATTTATCCTTGCAATATTAACCCTATAATAATAGCAGTTTGAAATTTTTTTGTCAGAATTGAATTTTTTTTAATATTATTGTACTTAAAAAGCTAACTTGAGATTATGCCGCTATGTAATTGTTTTATTTCAATCCTATACTTATATGCTGCCTTATACATTGTGCCTTATAGTTGATTACAGTGCTCGAAATTGATTGAAAATTTGCTTTGGAAATAATAGGTTTTAAGTAAGCAAAGCTAAGTTTGACTATTGGCCCCGTCCTGATTGAAGTGCGCTAAGGGATTTTCTGCTGGTCATTTCTTCTAATTTCTTCCAAGCGCTTGCAATGCCGGAAATTTAACATGAAAATATGCTATAAGACTACTAGCATGCCAATGTATGATGTAGGTCTCCAATGTGCCCCTGTCGACAATTTCTGGTTAGTAATGTGTAAGGGGTGTGTTTGCATCAGTCGTTGGACTTAGACATCATATACAAGTGCACATATAAATCTTAGTCGAATGTGCCAGGATGTTTACCCTTTTTGTTAGTCAACCATATGTAGTGATATGTGAATTGAATTTTTTGCATTATCTTCACCAATCACAGTTTTCAACAAATGAATTCGAACCCTTCATGTTTTTTTGTACTTTAAAAAATGTCAACAGTCATTCCATTTGTTTCGAGCTCTGCATTATAATTTTTCAATTTCCAACAATGTCAACAACCATTTCATTAATTTTTGGCTCTATATAATTGTGCCTTAAAATTCTTCAAGCGTGTAATTTTATTATCATTAATATTATTGAAAAGATATCATGTATTGAATGTTTATTAATGTACTTTTTGTTTTATGCTATAGGTTACAGAAATAGATATACAATAGATTAAAACTTCGCTTGGAATTATCTGACGACAGACAGACAACACTGAGAGGTGTACAGGTTTTGCGACCCAAGCAGACCACCCAGTGTGGAGATATGTTTATCAATGATGCATGATGCGATAGAGGCTTGTTTATGAAGTAGGCCTATACCATTTTATATCATACATTTACGGGTACTCCCGTAGTATGTGAACCAAGATGGCGGACACCGGAACGTAGTATATGTGTATATACTACGGAGTCACTTGGCTAGTCCCTAAACTCGTAATAGAATTAAAATAAGGAAAATTGGAATAAAATTATGGCCTAACCCTAACCTGGTACACATACTACGTTCCGGTGTCCGATATGTTGGTGCACATACTACGGGAGTGCCCATTTACTGCTGTGAAAAGTGAGATGTTTTTACGGGAGTTATTCAGCTTACACAGTGTATGGGTTTTATACCGACTTCACTGTATGTACATATTAAAACTCAAGGATCCTGTTTTTAAGTTCACCTTCATTTCTGTTAACTTAATTCAAGTTTAATTTTACTCAAAAAAATCAAACTCATGCATTTCTGCCTATAACTCAATTCAGAAATGCGTCTCTATGTGACTGTACATGAACTCCGTCCCCAAGCACATTTTCTCATGAAATATAATTATTTTGATTAGTATTACTATAGAACTCTTTTCTCTAAAACAAGATGGACACAATGTTTTTGGCATTGATTTGTTTTCAGTTTTACTATCACATAATTCACCACTTTATGTCTCTATAGTCTCAGTAGCTCTGCCACTTCCGTGGCTGCACATATAACTTTGCTCAGAGACATAGATTTGCCTTTACTTCTGAGTTATTTCAGTTGGGCTTCAATCTTTGCTCAGAGATGAGTTTCCTTTATTTCTGAGTTAGTGCACGTAGCATTTGAAGCATCTGTAATCTTACACAACATTGCTCATACATGGGTCTCTGACTGAATTCCTGTGAAAAATTTTCTTTATAAAAATTTATTCTAGCTAGAATTACTGTATATAAAACCATTTTCACTAATCAAGATGGACCCAATGTTCATGGCATTGAGTTATTTTCGTCGTCGAAAATACGACGAATGCGCAAATCTTTGCACTAAAATGCTGGAAAAGAACCCGTACGACCAGGCCGTCTGGTCGCTTAAAACACGAGCCCTTACAGAACAAGTTTACATTGATGAAGTGGAGGCAGAAGAGGTTGGAATAGCTGAAGTTATCATGGATGATAATGCTGTAGCACAGGTTGCAAGACCAGGTATGCTTATCTTTCCCCCTTTGAAATCGTTGAAGTGTGACTGGTCAGAATAATCTCATTATTGAGAAGGAATAATTCTGCTCTGTCACACTTCATTGGTACTTCTTCATTATCGCCATTTCTTCATTCCATTCAAGTCTTTGCCTTGTAGAGCACAATATTTCATACCAAATTTTCATATGACATTCACCGTATATCCTCGCATAAGCCGAGTTAAAAACTCAAAAAAAAAGTTGCCTATCTTAGGGGTTGGCTTATTTATACACACAACTCTGATCACACCAAATGGCTTTACAGTGATAGCGATGATATACAGTAATTTAATTTTGGCTGGAATTTTAATGACATTATTATGGTGGCCATATATTTGAGCTGTGCTCTTTGGGTAAGTCATTATTCTCTTCCATCATCTGTAGCCTCCTTACAAAGACTCTCAACAATTGTGTTCCCTCTTACAATGTATGGGATAATTTAATACCTTTCTGGGAAATTGTGTCACTGAATGTCACAAGTGATGTATGTGCAGTAATAAATAAAACTGACATATACTTGCTATCGTATTTGTCACACTTGGGCTTTACAGTACTAGTGAAGACATCTGCAAAGTTACCTAGTGAAAACCTATGGTGATGGGGCCCGGGAAAACAGATTGTCTTGTTTGAGAAATACTACTCTTACCTAATGAACTATGTTAAACTTCACAATTCACAAATTTTGCTGAGCTATAACGACCACTCTTTTATTATTACAGGTACCAGCATGAAACCCAGCAGTTCAGGTCGATCGACCGGGACAAGCCCAGCAGTGAGGCCAACCAGTCAGTCAGGAAGGCCTGTTAGTGGTTTTGTGAGACCAGGTGTGTGAGTAGAATGTGTATGGAGTTGTGAAAAATTTACACCAGACTTCCATTCTAGACTTTTACATGTTTAAAAAATGACTTGATCTCCAGCGTGACAAAAAAAAAATTTATTCTGCTTCGCGCTAAAAATATGAAATCATAGTGCCAGCTTTCATTCACTCACTCTTGCTGAAACATGTAAGGGCAAAAGTTCAACTCTTTATCCGCATTCCTGCCTCATTTTTTTTACTCAAAAATACTAAAAAAATCACCCACTCGTATTTGCTCGTTTTGTAGCCCGGGCCCATATTTTTTTCAATCAACTCACTATTCAAACCGGTCGTTATACAAGCATGGGCGCTTGTTATTTTTAAGTACATTTATACACAGAAACTACGGTATTTTTGAAGACAAATATTTGACGACATTAATCCTTTTTCCATGTCAATTTATTCACGTCAAACACAAATGATTCACGTCTTAGGAATAATCCTCTAAATTTTTCTACGCACCGCAGGTACAAATCCGCAAAAGAAGAAAATCAATATTGAAACGACGCCCAGTTTGAGAACCACGGTGTTACGTAATCAACGCTATCTGTTATGTATGGCGTGAGTGTTATCTACCAGCGCTTGAAATTCAACAGCGTTGTGACAAAATCGCTTCTTATTTCCTATTGTTCTCTACCTCTGGAAAATCAGCTTTTACATCGGGCGGGTATTCAAGCACCGGCCCTTATTTATTTTTATGTTCTGTTCACATGGGCGGCTATTCAAACGGGCCCTTAATCAAAATCGGGCGGTAAAACGAGCATATACGGTATGTCTGTTAAACTTGGTTCAGCATATAAATAAACTGCAGCACGCATAATCATAGTAAGTACAGGAAGTAGAGACATGGAAAGACAAAATGAATATATTGATTCATGTACACATTCTAATTCTATCAAAATCAAACAATTTTATTTGTGTCATTTTAATCACAGCAGTGGCTCGCTCCACCATTTCAATATTTTTTTCATTGAATTCGTTTTTTTGAATTCGACAAATGCAGGACTAATTTAATTTTTCTCTTAATTAAATGTTCTTGTTCACTCTATATTTTTTTTAATTTCTTTTGAAAATTACCGCCATTAATGGTTGCTGACTCTAAACTACTAAAAATTTCAAATGTGGACCTGATATATTTACAAAATATTTTCATATTCAGATTGAAATTGTGATGTGTATTAAATTTTATGGAGTATTGTTTGATTGGCAAAATGTATATCTTCATAATTTATTTAAATTGTTGAGTGCATTAAATACAGTGTTCACTTCTAACTTTGCTCACAGATGATTAGCCTTTACATCTAACTATTAACTTTCATGGTTATTCTCACAGCAAATTTTTCAAAATAACATATACTGTATATAAAAATGTATAAACTCTGATACATCATGCAATCGAAATGTTAGAAAGCCAGGCATTTGAAACAGAATATATTATTCAAAATGTCAGTTGCGTTATCATTTGTAACTTTGTGAACAATTTCCTTTTTCCTTGATGTGTGTTTTGCCTACGTATAGTTGAGTAACCAAAGTTCTGTAGATATTGTTGCACTATTACTTTAATCTTTAAACTACAGCAATGGAAGCTCAAACCTAAGTTAGGTGTTGGATGGATATATGCTTCCAATTGCCGCCAAAAGCGATTTGCTAAGTTCACAACAAAAATTAACAGAATTGTGTTAAACATACGATACCTAATACCTAAAATATGATTGAATATTTTACTGTTTTACATATTGCATTTATTATAAATGCTGTATTGCGACCTATTCTAAATGCTGTGTATATAAACCAACAAATGCATTTTACCTTTCTATGTCATTTACTTTCTATTACGTAATTTTCTGTTACGATCACAAAATTGATTTTTATTTGAAGGCAGCAATTTTTTTTCTGATAATTTGGCACCGCACGAACAAAATGTTTTGGAACCGCTGAGCTAAATGAAAAAAGGAGATGAATGTGCCACATGCCATTAAAGATATGGAGGGTGTCCATAAAGTCCTGAAATATTCTAAAATTGCGAAGGGAATTTATCGATACCATATATTGTTTCGGCCCTCGCAGAAGTATTATTTAATGAAGTAAAAATATTCAAACAGTTACTGATTAAAAAACAAAAAACCTGGTTAAGAAATATTAGGAACCAACTTCATAACAAAATTGAAATTGTATTGTAAAATGGACACCCTGTATATCTTATAAATTTATTAAATTATTCAATTAAGCTTTATTTGTTCTCTGAAAGAATTTGCTCAAAGCTAGACTCACGAGTGAGTTAACTCGTCTAGAAATAACATAATCTCTTTCACCATTCGTTCAACAAATTACGGAAACTCGAAATTAAAAGTTTCATGGAAAGAGATTATGTTACTCATACTTATCTTTATGATACTATCTCGTTCAAGCGTTCTTGTGGCAACTGACACATCCGCAATAGAAAGTAGACAAGAAGAAAGGCAGTTCAATACACAATACCCTAATAAAACCCATCTCTTGGTAAATTTGGGGAAAGCCTCTGAAATTCAGATTTTGATTGTGCTTTATTTGTTATTCGGGAATTTTTTTTTTAAAGGTACCCAATCTGGAAGGCCAGGGACCATGGAACAAGCACTCAGGACCCCTCGTTCAGCACAGACAGCTCGACCAGTGACAAGTGCCAGTGGAAGATTTGTGCGACTTGGGACTGCTTCGATGCTTTCTAATAAGGATGGGCCTTTTATCAACATGTCTCGACTGAATTTGAATAAATATGCGGGCAGGGATAATCTGTCAAAGGTGAGTTTATTTCTTCAATATTTTATATGCTCCAATAATTAATACAATAAGCTGAGATAATTAAAACTAGAGTCATAAGAGCACAATTATAATATTTTCCCAGCTTTTCATTTCAGAGGGACGTTCCCAAATTTTTAGAGGAGAGATATTTTGTTATTATTAATGATAAAACTATTTGTAACTTCTAGAACTGTATTGTGACTGATCATCTGCACTGGGAAATAAGCCACTTTCTGGATTATCAAATACTGTTTTATTTACATTTAGGGTAAAGTGTGGTGACACTTCTCAAAATTAGCGGGGTGGGAGTGTTTGAAATTTGTTCATCCCTTTGAGGCGTGTAGGGAAATCACTGGGTTGGAAGATTCTTTTGATTGGCGGAATGCCTACCTAACTCAAATTATGATTTGTCGATTGTATCTGAAATAGTCATTTTTTCAATAACCTAAATTAATATTACCATGTCTAATTTATATTGGCTAATGAGCAATAATTTTTGTTACAAGAAAAGTACTTGAGTCTTCTTTTTTTTCAGGCTTTATTTGAATACATTTTTCACCATGAAAATGATGTCAGAAATGCGTTAGAACTTGCTGCCCTTGCAACAGAGAAATCTCAATATAAAGACTGGTGGTGGAAGGTAGGTTAGAATGTATAAATATATTTCAATTTGGCAAATGTGCTTGACAAAAGTCTTTTTCAATTCTCTGATGAGAATGCCTAGTAAACTTAATGCTTTTAAGCTACAGTCATGAATTGTGACTTCAATTATATCTATGGAAATTCTAAAATTATTATTCCTGGCCACATTATTACAGTCATCCGAAATTGAATGAAGGCATTTTCAGATTAACTTTTTTCCTGTAATTGCTATAAATGATAGTTTTTCATGTGGAACAGGGCTCAGGGCTTTACTTTGAGGAAACTTGGGCAAAAAACTCATACCTCTTAGTGTGTAATGGTCGCTCGCACTCTCTCTTCTTCCACTCTCAAGTTAAGGGCATTTCTTTTTATAGTGCAGTTTGTGGCCCGCGGGCCTTCTGTTGTACATCCCTGTTATAGTGTCAGCAGTCGCTTGCAATTTTCTTTCAGCACTATTTCGACGTTAACAGGTTTAATTGAAAGCTTGGGACACAGAGCACACTTTTATTGCACACATCTTTTCTTATTCCAGGTCCAACTTGGCAAATGTTATTATCGTCTTGGTATGTACCGGGACGCTGAGCGCCAGTTCAAATCTGCGCTAAAACAAGAATCTATCGTAGATACAATGTTATATCTCGGGAAAGTTTATCAGAGATTAGATCAGCCGTTATCAGCTATTGATATCTATAATCAAGGTCTGGAGAAATATCCTGGCGAAGCGAGTTTGTTAACAGGTGAGATATTAAGAGCATTTTTCTGGGTGGTTCACTCAACTTGGGAGATGTGGGCTTTCGGAATTCCGATTCAAGAAAGATTCTGACATTAATTCCAGATTGTGAAATATCCTCAGTCTAGTTCAAAGCACTGTGAATAATAAAATTTCTGCTATATTTGTCAACTTTTATCTGTAGGTCTGAAGAAATGAAGAAATATCCTAGCAAATTCACTAAAATTTGTGGAGAGATAATATATTTTGCTTAAATTTTTGAAGATATTGCTTACAATTTTAATAGCAAGAAAAGGTTGGTTATTGGCATGGGTCTATAATGGAGCCCTCAGTTTCGATATTTTTTTCCTCTATTTCAAACCTATATATTTGAATAACGGATTGTTAACAAGTATGATGGAAAGAGTGTCTTTCTAGGGTGGCCAATTTGACTCACAGAAGTCTGGGAAAATTACAATCGATTCCAAACTACTGGTTGAATGGAAAAACTTTGGTGTATGCAAAACTTTTTCAAGGCAGTTAAGAACGCTAAGTTTCGTTATATTCATTCAGTGCTTTTCTCACCGCGATGTTTATCCCTTATGTCTCTTCTTTTCCAGGGGTTGCTCGTGTCTATGACGCTATGGACAACCAAGAAGAGATGGCAAAATGGTACCGTCACGTTTTGGATCACGATCGCACGAACGTCGAAGCCCTTGCTTCGATCGCAGCGGACTATTTCTACAACGATCACCCGGAGGTCGCTCTCAGTTTATACCGAAGGCTGTTACAAATGGGTGTCTACAACGTCCAAATTTTTAATAATCTTGGTTTATGCTGCTACTACGCACAGCAGTACGACATGACTTTTAAATGTTTTGAGCGCGCTCTATTGGTCGCAGAAGATTTAGAAGCGGCAGATGTATGGTACAATGTCAGTCACGTTGCGATTGGAATCGGTGAATTAAATATGGCGTACCAATGTCTACGCCTCGCTGTTTCAATAGATAACAGCCACGCTGAAGCTTATAATAATCTCGGCGTTTTGGAATTACGTCAAGGGGACATTGACAAAGCTAAAGTATTTTTTACATCGTCCCAAGAACTGGCTCCAGGGTCATACGAAGCGCATTATAATCAGGCGACTCTTTCGCAATCCCTCGGCGACCTTCAGACGACCTACATCTCAACTATGAGAGCCACTGAAGCGTTTCCTGAGCATGTCGACTCAAAGGATTTGCTCAAAGTGTTGAAAGATCATTTCACAAGTTTGTGAATTGCATTTAGCGGTAGTGACCTAGAAGTTAAGTTTTGTGTCATATAATTTGCTGTACTTATTTATCTGTCATCTCTGTATGGATTACCAGCTTCCCCTTGTCTGAAGCCTTTATCAGTAAAGAACTCTATAAAAGTTTTGTTTTGGGTAACTTTGGTTTAACCAGTTTATTTATTTTATCACATTTGTTGTACAGTGTCTGTAGAGAACGAAAGGATAAAATCCTTCATAGCTGTCCTCCAAAGACATCTCCCCCTTCTGTAGGGGGTGAACACTCCCTGCCCCCTAATTCTGAGGCATCACTTTTAATTCCTAACTATAATTGAATCGGAATATGCGAAAAGTGGCTTATAAGTCAAATACATAAATAACACATTTCTATAAAATATCTGCCACCCTCTAGATTCCAAAACACCTTCCTTGTCCCTAATCAAAGCTCTATAAAAGTTTAATGTAGTGATTGTCATATCTGTACAAACACCATGCCAGTTACTTGATTGGGGCCTTGTTCAAAGGAGCATGTTTGATGTTATAAATGGCAGTATCTTTCACAACCTTAATTTATTATATTTGTTTAAATTAGTTTGTTAAATATTAGTTCTTTGATTCACTGTTCTTTAGTACAATTTGTAACAAAAAATATCGTTCTGTAAACAAATATTTTTGTAGAAAAATAAAGCACCGTTGGTATTTAATGAAATATTTGAGGTTGTCATAGTTTTTTTGAGGGGCATAGTATCTGTCAAGTGTGCCAGTTGTCTTGTAGGGAAGCGCTTATCACGTAAAATGCATCCAGTTTCCTCCGAAAACCACCAGGGGGAGCAAAGCAAGTACGGAAAACTGCGGTCAGAAAACGCTACTAGAGCGTTGGCAAAGCAGACAACTGCAGCGCAAGGAGATGCAGGCCACCACAGACTAATGAAATAAACCAAAAAATATACTGCGGTGAGGCAGAGTTATAGGGCCAATCATGCCTTAATATTTTGTGGGGTCCCATTTATAAATAATAAAAATAGTGAAACTGATGTTACCTGTTATGTTGAATAAATAAGTTTTAGTATTCAAGTTTAACTAAATATAGGCCTACATGAGGACGAAAAAATTTATATCAACTGCGCCAATATTAAGGTCTGAATTGTCGGACCAACTAATTATTTTCTTAAACAAGAGAGATCCCTAAACTCGGGAGTTTTGTATGTAGTAGTAGTCATTTAGTGTGGCCCTTCTCAACACTAAGATTTTCCCCACGAAGCATAAAATCATAATCAGAAAGTTCATGTCAAATAACTTCTGTCAAATCTGATGTTAACAAATTATGCAAAATTCCATGTGTCCCACTAAAATATCAATTTAATTAATATTCGGCATTGTGAGAATTGTTTAATTAGTTGTTTAGTTAATTAGTAAAACTAAATTTTTCTTGTGGGGTCCAGCTAGATGTCTAAAGTTTGATGTCTCAGTAAGCTTGAGCAATCAGTTAGCTGATCGATGAAACAAAAAATTGAAATTGCAAGTAATCACCACCCCCTATAGTCAGTAGCTTTTAGGTTGATTGGTATGATTACATTATTGATTGGCTAGCTGAGGCGAAGAGTACAGCAAGCAACCCTTTTACACATAATTACCCACGGGCCGCAAGAGATGGAACTCATGATTCTGACGTGGCAACTCTCCGAGGAAAAGCTACTCTCATCTTATCCGTTTAAGCATCGTGAATAAATAACAATTTCCATACCTGACCGACATGAACCGGTATGTTCAAGACACTAGGATTTGCCATATGATTAAGCCGTCTTATCTTTTCTGCCCCAAGGCATAAGTATGATTGGGCCATCTTACCGGCTTTCCTCTCTCCCAGAATAAACACAAAAGTCCCATCCTACAATCAAGCCGCCCTCTCATCCAGATGCATAAAATTCCTGACATGTTTCTATCGCTTATTGCGCCAGTCATCAGTGAACACTCACACTGGTCAATATTATATTGAACTTCAACAATATATTGCACAAATAAATAATTGAAACAACACAACAATACCATGAGCACACTTATATAGAAAAAACAGAATCGAATACAGGAGAGTAATGCTCTAATATCGGAGCTGTGATGTCTGGAACAAATTTACACCCGATCTCATACTTTGTGAGCTGCGGATTCTGCGCAACAAATTTCTCTATAATCCGATGATTTTTCAGATTACGTCAGGGAGTTTGAAAATTAGACACATTGTTTTAAGAAAAAAAAAAGTCTGAAACATTTACACCCGAAGAAAATCGACTCGCGCTGCAGAATCTGGGTGACAAACAAAGCTTGAGCTCATTTTAATCCAATAATTTTTAAGATTACGGTATGTCAAAATTAGTGCACGGGAAGTTGAATATTGGACACATTGTTCATACATTAATAAAGATTACGGGTATTAATTACGCAATATTATGTTCTCGGGAGAAAATATCACTTTGAAAACGGTGCTCCAGAAGTATGCGCACCAAGATGTCACACAACCTGAATCCTAACCGGTACACACACATACTTCTGGAGGTCCTTGAAAACGGTTGGAAACCACTGGTTAAAATTTTAGCTGCAAGTTCACCACACTCACTAAATATATTAATCATCCAGTTGATACAATCATACACAAATTATAAGGAAAAAATCCCTCAATTTTACTGAGGACGGAAGCCGTGTTGAACCATGGTTGGCTCGATTTTCAAGCAACGAATATCAGATCTGAAAATTTGGTTTTTGGAGCCAACCCACTAGAGAGGCAATATTGAAGATTTGGCGTTCCAGAGTAACTTGTACCAAGATGACGCACAACCCTAACCTGGTAAACATACTATGTTCAGGTTGTGCGCCATCTTGGTACGAATACTTCAGCATTCACCCACCTCACAATATGGCCGTTCGGCTCTAATCGTCAAGCTCATATAATTCAGCCCGAGACAGTAATGTCCTCAAGTAAATCCCAAAACATCGCAACCCTTATCTTTATGAATGACAGAATTCCCTACAATAAACAAAGCACCAACTAAAAATATAATGTGACAGAATCAACAAGTAGGATACATGGTACATATATTCTGCCAAGCTGGGATGTCTGAAGCATTTAGTTTGAATAAAACAGTAAAAATTCTAACAAAGAATCGTCTCTAAACGAAACTACGCCTCAATTCCCAGGTGGTGGTCTGAGTCAACTTTTTAAAGCAATGACTGGAATGATATCATAGAATAGAAATTACATATCATTAAATTTATGTTTTTATTTATTAAGCCAAAGTGGTGATTGGAGTCAATAATTTACGATATAAATAGAGTCAATGTGGTGGTCGGAGTCAATATTTTAAAGCAATAGCTTGAATGATATTATATAATATATATATTTCATTAAATTTCTATTTTAAAATTTTTAGCCAAAGTAGTGATTGGAGTCTGTAATTTACAAAAAATAAAGTCAATGTAGTGATTGGAGTCTAAATATCAACTCAACCGAATCTCTGATCATCACTAACATATAAAATATATTCAGAGTCTGATATAATGTAATATTATTTTAAACAGTAGTTATAATCAGGCCTCCTTTTTCGAAGGTTGTGATTGGAGTCTAATTTTGCGATGAAATTAGTTAGGGTGGTGGCCAGAGTCTGAATCACTCAAGCGTGCCTCAAACCACCGTCCTCTTCCAGTAAAACAAGGAAAGTGTTGACTCGTTGTCCGGTTTGCGCTTGCTCTGATGTACCGACGAAACGAATGAGTTGTTTTATACCGAGCCAGACTTTTTTACCGGATAATCGTCGCTCGATTTGAGTGCGCTCCTCAGGAGTGAAAGCATCGAGGGCCTGGAATAAATGAAATTTGATAAAACTATCAAAACAGGGAAATAAAGAAATTTAATGAGTTTAGTTTTAGGAGAGACTTGTAACAAATTAACCAATACTTTTGGAAATAATGACATCAAGACTAAAAATAATTCTTAAGTCATGAAATATTGGAGATTATTCGAGAACATTCTAATATGATATTTTAACATAACATGCAAATTCCCGTGTGATATGTCGGATGACCTTGTTTTTACCATGAATAAATCTATTGTAAGAACTGTATCGAATAATCGAGAAGGAGTAAATCTTTCTCCGTGAAAACGAATGTTTTAGGATAATAAGGAAATAGACCATTTTGGAAGAGTGATATAAAAATGTGGTACTCCTTTAAATACGATCTCAATCAAACAAGAGATCATATTTTAGTGCAATTTATCTGATATCCTCTTATCTAATCTAATCTATCGTTAACCTGGTTACAAATTGTGAGTTGGTTTATTTGATTCAAGATATTGTGATATATTATCAAGGAAATAAAATCTATACAGGCTATTGTTTAGATCCTTGCTGTTATATCAAATTAACAGACATCTCAACTTGAACATGTAACCTATCATCTATTCTGTTTTTGGAATCTCTGAGCGAAGTTACTTTGATGAATAAATCGCAGAAGATAGTCACATTCACTCATCTTTGAGAAATTACAGAAATATCAACAACTACATGCACTCACTTAGGAGTAAAAAAGACTCATCTCTGAGCGAGTGCGAAAGTGGGGGCGACCAATAAACTGCTGAAGATAGTCACACGCACTCAGAAGACACTCACACAGCTGTGTTTCCCCACCCAGACGTTAAAAAACTATTCAAAATGTCAAGTGTTACCAGCATAAAAAATGGCACTTACATCCAAAGCCTCCATGACTTGTTCTGGTTTTGATATATTATCAACGTGAATCAATTGGTCGAAGCTTTTATCCATTCGCATGTCACGTAAGACATCTATGTTGCTAGTTGTTGCAATGACGAGGAGTTTTCGATTCTGAAAAATAGAGAAATATTATATCAGATATGTTTTGTGGGACTGTAATGAATGAGAAATGTAGTACCTTAATATAAGGCTTTATTCAACTTAAATCCAAAGCACACTTAGAATTAATCTAAAGTAATATATAACACAAGTAAATGTTATTATACAAGAAAACAAATACGTATCGAATTGCTGATGCTAACAGTAAGCGGCTCAATAGTTAAATGAATAAAGAATTAACAAACTACATCTACAGCAATGATTGGTGTTTGATTTAAAACGCCTCAGCAATTATCGCTTGAATGCAGCTGTATAAACAAATAGAGGCGCTCCCGAAGTATGCGAACCAAGATGGCAGACATCAGAACGTAACATGGGTAACAGGTTAGGGTTAGGCGATAATTTTTTTCCAATTTTTCTTATTTTAGTCCTATTATCAGTTTGAAGACTAGCCAAGAGCCGCCCGTAGTATTTATACCTAAAATTTTAGGCTAACCCTAACCCAGTACACATATTACATTCCGAGGTCTGTCATCTTGGTTCGCATACTTCGGGAGCCCCCAAATAGATACATTGAGTTACATTTCAAAGTTATCACAGGGCCTAATAGTTAGAGTGTTGGCCTTAACTATGTTGTGACACAAAGTTGAGGAGTCTAAGTATGACATGGGAGAATTAAGGCCCGCGGGGCAAATCCGGCCTATTGGGTGGATTCAATCAGGCCTGCCTGATGTTGCCCTTAATTTCTGCTTTTAACTGATTCCTCACTCACTGCATAATTGTTATAGTAATCTGTATGGTGAAGTAGCCTTGTTAGATTATAATAGTAGTCTGTCTCATTTGTATTTCAGGTTATCAATTGCCACTACCTAACTAAAACCAAATTTCTATGTTTTAGCTTAAAATAGCTCAAGAAATATGTTGAGAATGCAATTAAATTTAGTTTTGGCACGAGAGTTAATGTTTTCCAATTTTGCTTTTGTAAGATTGTAAATAAAATTAAGTTTCATGTCACACTTACATGGCCCGCAAATCTAGGTTGCCAAAATTTTTGGCACCTCATCCAAATAACTAAGCTCTGGTCATCTTTCCTTTTCTCCCACGACAAATATTAAAATCTACAAAAAATAAAAAACTATTTACCAGAGGGGGTAAATTCTTGAATAGTACCATCAGCGCTTGAGCGACCGTATTTGAAAATCTTGGACCAATCGGATTGTAGTCCATCAATTTCTCAATGTCGTCAATGACAACACAACTCAACTGTGACTTGTAAGCGTCCATGAATAGTTTTTTGATGTCTTGGCATTTAGTCGCTTCGTTTTGTCCGACTAAATCGCCAGGAGAGCAGATTTTGACGAATGGGAATCCCGAATCGACTGCGATTCTAGTTGCTAAGGCTGTTTTTCCACTTCCGACAGCTCCTGAAAAAGAATGTGAAAAATTTCACATAAATTCAGAACATACAGGTAAAAAAAATCACACATGATGACACACCACATGCACGAATATACCAAGGTTGTAAATTCCATGCAAAAAATGTGAAAGTTTTCACATATGTCACATAAGATAAGAGAACACCTCTCTTTTTGATAATTATACATCACTCTTTTTCAATAAGAATCGATCATGCGCCTTATAAGTTGGTGTGCCTAATGTAGTAGGCAGCGCTTTATTGCCTACACTCAAAAGCAGTACCGGTAATATTGTTTTATAAAAAAAAAACGTTCTAAGATTCTTTGAATAAAATAATCATAAAAAATACGAGTTTTCTTGTTTAATGAGCTTTGTATGTCAACCTTATACACTTCAAAAACATTGCATCTTATAACCTGGTGTGCTATGTATGGACAAGACCCCAAGCTGTGCATTTCATTGACAGTGCATGCGCCTCATAACCCCAACCATGTTTGCCTTATCCATAAAATATAGTAAACTATTGGAATTTAAAACAAGCATATACGATCCGACACTGACACAGGTTGTACTGGAAATGGTAAATGAGCATAATCCTACTAATCCATTGCATAAAACTATTGAGTCTTCGTATAAATGTTTTCAAGTAACAAGCACTCAAACAATATGTTATTGAGTATCGATGTTACCACAAATGGTAGTATAATCTCAATATATACGTCAAACCCATTTACAGACAAGAACCATAATTATGATTATGTGCGAGAAGATTGCTGATTATTTGTAGGCCAACTAATGTGTTGGCTGTTTCCAATAATGTTATGTCATACATCAATAGGAGAACACTTGCATAATATGAGAACAATAAATAACTAAAACAGGTTACTTGGACACGTTTAGTGGCCATAACGATCGTTTCAAAAATTTGTTGTTATTGTAATTGTTATTTGTCTCCGTCTCCATTTTTAAAAAATCGCTTTTCTCTTCGAATACTGGACCAATTGCTTTGATATTTTCAGTGGTTAAAGATAAAATTTTTCTCCAGAAGGCTTTCACTTTTTTTTTCGCTATGACGTCATCAAAATTATTGCCACTGGGTGGCGCTACATGTCCATATATTTGAGCATAGCTCTCTTGTTTACAATAGCGAGGATAACATTCATGCAATATTAAGAAGCACAATGCAACAATGGGGTCAATATGACAATATTTTTTATGCAAATACCGGTTCATAAAAACTACAGTCGTAATTTCAGCGGACACAAGTAGGCCGGATGAAACACTGCCCGTAGGCCGTAATTTGCCCACGACTGGCATATGACTGATGCATATACAGCAACCTGCTTGCAAGGCGATATAACGCTCCATTACTGCGTTCGCAACAGTCACATCCCAGGGTTTTGGTACATGCTGTGTATAACGTAACTTTCACCTCCGAAGCTCCCGTTTATGTCTAATTTGCGTGTTATAAGGGTGCCGCTGTTGTAAGAATTTGAATATCTGCTTTTGTGATATTAAAAACAAATTTCATCCTAGCATTTATTAAGAAGGTTTTTATTTGTGATTTATCCCAACCCTCACAAGTGGAAAATAATACTTTTAAATTAGAGCAGCCATATTTAGAATTTTAACTTGCTTTGAGAAAAAAAAATGAGACCTTTTACTATTATAATGAAAAAATATATATAATGATGAAAACTGTATGTTTTCAGAAATGATACACAAAGTTATCGTCATGACAGTCACTCCAGAGACAGTATTTTGAATATAAGAGTATTCAACTAGCATTTCATACCTAAATTTGGGATGTATATGTTCAACTCCCACAAATGCTAGGATAAATTTATAGCACATATGCAATCAAAGAAATCCTTGATATTCAATTATGTGTGAGAGGATTACTGGACTCTTTATTTGTAAGCTGGCAAAATTTGTCAGCGAGAAATACTTTGTTGACTGCTGTAGGTTCATGCTTCAACCCACTTGGTGCTTTGAGGGTAGGATTTCTGTAAAGGGAGCCAGAACACAAACCAGGGGTTTCACGAAGGATCGGACCAATCACATTTAATGCTTATTCACGCCTTTTAGTTCAGCATTACGTTCATAATTTAAACATTAGGTGAAAGGGCGTGTTAACCAATATTGCCCAGCACGGTCGTATCCAGGGTCGAACGAGTGGGAGAATGCATTGGATGGGATCATACAGGATGCACGACCTTAATTGGCTGAGAAGTAAGACGCACAATCTGGAACATACTAATCAGTCACCACAAATGGTAGCCAACATCAGTCGTATTAGCTCCCCAGGCCTGACCTACACCAATCGTGGGATAGTATATGAATGATTTTGACGACTTTCCATGTACCGATACGTCCGAAAATTATTGGTTTTGGTTTTTATAAAACATAAGCAATACCATCTCGAATATGATGTTAGGAAGCTTACCATACTAGTTTGGTAAAGACCTTTTCCAAGAGATAATGAGTCTAATACTTCCGTTGGCATTACTGGGCATGAAGGCATTGGGCTGGATTCCAGTAATGTCATCCTGATCCGTTTAAAAAAAAAAAGGGGTATGCGGGTCGGAATCCCGCCACTTGAAACCTTATAGCAAAAAATCTGAAATACTCCCCCCCATATTTACGTACCTGTAAGCAACATGCTGACTAATGGCGTCTTCACGCTTGATCGCACTTGATTGACAAGCAAACTTCCTTGGTCGAGTACTCTCTGTATAGGGAGACCCCACCTGAATCAAAAAAGAGAGCGATGCTCAAATATATGGAATTGAGATAAAACAATCAAACTAGAATGAAATATGGCGACTCTTGATAGCGGCCCGCCAGTGCTTTTACGAGGCTCTACTCGCTGGCTATAATTATATATTATCCAAATTTAACTACGAGAAACTGTAGCGTAAAAGTTTTTTTCAACTCATTAAGCGGTTGAAGAATATATACTTTGCAATATTGTTAGTATACGTTTGTGTGAAGTTTTTCTCAGTTCACAGTATTCTAATATTATTAATTTAAAAAATTATGCGGCTCTCACATATTTCTGACTTGCTGCATGCGGCTGTTATACTAAAAAATCTTGCACACACCTGAAATATGATATCTTTTATGGGTGCTGCAGTAGACAATGATGAACCCCTATATTTCTTGTCTTTCAAGAAATAAAATGGTAGTGCCTAGTACAGGGTGGTCCAAACCCAGGCCCGCGGGCCACATGTAGCCTGCCGCTTAATTATCTGTGGCCCGCGTCATATTCGGAGAGTAATCAAAAAATTGCATTTTGTGTTGTTTCGTAATAAAATTAATCAGAAAATTTTTTTGACATATTGTTACATCAATAATGTCACTGAATTGACTAGTGTAATGGCTAGCTGAGGCAAATAGCGAAGTTGGATAATGTGCTTAGCAGTCTAAATTATTATCTGGCTTTCTATCTTTTTGGTTGGGAATATATGCTAACAACATAGGCATCATAGAAAAATAAAAATTGGATGAGGATTCTATTAGCTTGGGATGGCTATGTCTGATAACTATGTGCTTTTACAATAAAAGTGTTTGTTTTGTATTGCACTGTTTACCTATTCTTGGCACTATTGTGGCCCGCGAACATTGCAAAAATAATTTTGTGGCGCGCGAACCGACAACCTTGGACTACTCTGGCCTAGTACAAGGGCTTATTTAGATCAGGATTGCGGCCCGAGGGCAAAATGCGACAGCCATCAAACAAAAATTGTGCCACCCGCTGAAAAGTGCCAATTCTAAATGATATGAGTGCTGTGAATGACGAGTTTTCAATTTAATTTGATATGTATGAGTAATTCCAATCCTTTGTGAAGCCTTTACCGAGTTCAATTTATGGTGCTCCCGAAGTATTTGTACCAAGATGGCGCACAACCTGAACATAGTATGTGTACCAGATTAGGGTTGTTCAGGTTGTGCGTCATCTTGGTACGAATACTTTTGGTGCGCCCAATTTATTATCCATGCCTATTACTTTACAATGCCTTATCAGCTAACTTTAGCAAAAAACACAGATCATATAAAGATCAATAACCAAATTTTTTGTTTCTGCGACTACTAGGAAGCCTATGTTAAATAAAGGTGCAGCCCACGGTTTCACCCAGGTATTCCTATCTGGCCCTTCTGTATTAAAGGTTGCACACCCCCTGGTTTAGAGCATAAGACCTGAATAAGGGTCGCATAAAAACACATACAAACACAACTTACATGAGGATTCCATTTCTCATAAACTTTTCGATATCTTCTTCCTTCGAGCCATATGCCGGTTTAATATCATTCTCCAGTGCTGCCATGAAGTCATTTCTGCAGACCTGGAAATAAAGTGGTTGGAGTCAAATTTTTTACGAGTATCGGGAATAAGGTGGTTGGAGTCATTTTATCAAATTTTATGCTTGGAAGGTTTCATCCTATCATCATCTTGTAAAAATAACTCACTTTTCTTTTCCAATCACCCCCACCGAACAGGAGATATACGCTCGCAACAACCCCTCAAATTTGCAACATTGGGTATTGTTTGTATTAAAATACCATATGATTTTAATCAATTCATCTCAGAGAATATTTCATTCCCTCCATTTCACAGAATATTCATGAATTTTTAATGAAAACAACTAAATTATTCAATGAAATAACCTCAAAATATGAGATGAATTGACAAAAATATATTCCGTGACAAATTTGGATATTTTAGATTATTTCCCTGGAGAGAGGAAAGTTGAAGGTGACAAGGAGACAAATCTATCAACTTTGTCTATTTTATAGAACGTTTTTTGACAGTTTTTGCATGTTTTGCAAGATTTTTGGTTGTTTTCTGACATTTTTTCCCTGTTTTTACATGTTTGAAAAGTTTTTGAATGTGAATTGTCCCATTCAATCATCCCGTTAAATGGGACACACCCCTACAACATCCAATCTGACTGCACAACTAAGTTTCATTAGGCTAGTAATCTTACAAAAGAATGTTTGCGATATTTATAAACTCACATTACTTTGTTAAGAGAACACATAGAAAAATAAACAAAAATTCAACCAATTGATTTTATGAAGGGACTAGTTAAAATGTGCTTATCCAATTAAGAAATACTCGTCAAGAGAGAAGAGTTTAAAACTCATACATGAAAAACAACTTCAATATATTGATTTTACAACAAAATTACCCAAAATACTGTTCCTATTGACACTTAAATTTACTCGATGTTGTGGCGCATCGCGCTGATTGTGGGAATATGATCGCAATCGCATTTCTGATTACCCTGCGTTGGTTTGAAGGGTATTTATGTGTGAGAGGATTGATGGACTCCTCTCCACCGTAGGATGGATACATATTCGCTGGTCGGTCCCGCAGTAATGATATGCAATTTGTCACAGTATATTACCGATGCCAGTCATGATGTCATAAAAATGTTGAAGACAGCCAACAGTTTCATAAAAACCTGTTCCCATGAATAAAAATAAAAAAGCGGAATTTTAGATGAAGTATCAGATCACATAAGCGATTTAGGAACAAATAAAAGTAATGGCCTCCTAGTGAAAAATACAATCTTCAACCACTGAAAATTTCAAAGCAATTGGTCCAGTAGTTGATAAGGAAAGCGATTTTTTCATAACAGGAAGAGGGATTCCAGCAACAACATAGCAATAAAACAATCCATATACTTTGTATCCAATAATATTTTCAAATATGGATAATTGAACGCTTCAGAAGTGTGTGTACCAATATAGAGGTAACTAATTTTGTTAGCCTACTTTACATCAAGTTGTGTAAAGGAACTGAAACCTATGGGCAGGAGTATATTCACTTGTCTAACAGAGATAGTGACTCGTAAAAGGACTAAAATAAGGAGAATCGAAATAAAATTATGGCCTAACCCTAACCTGGTACACATACTTCGGGAGTACCACAAATTGGATCAAGTAACACACAAGTCCATGCATATTCAATGAGCTTGAATTCTCGAGTAATGTAAAATAACCTCATGAATTTAAATACAATATATTGATTTTCTAATGAGATTATGCCAAACGCAAAATCCCTTGGCACTTTAAATTTACCAATAATCCATATTAAAGCAACTAACAGTTAGCGAGCTATCCACTATGTAGACCACTAAGAAAGCTGTAGGCAAAAATCATTGTTAAATTGCAAACTGCAGTCATTTTTTGTATGTGCCTTTCAGTTCGAACAAGGCCTTATATAAGTAGTTCTCAACTTTTTAGGCCATACCCTCTTTTTAGAATTTGTCGAGTCTCGCGCCTCACCTTAAAAATAACTACCGTAGGTAACCATAAGCTATAAATAATAAATAGTAAAACTAAGAAAATAAGTAGATGAGACGTAAATATTCAAAATAAAGAAATGTAAATATCCAAAATACGGCATGCAATATCGAATCTAACGAATATTTTTATTTTTAAAAAGCTCCACGCCCCGTCAAAAAATTGTCTTTGCCTCCCTTGTGAGGCAAGCACACCGTTTGAGAATCACTGCTCTATACAGCTTGTGCTACCCACCCAATTTATTACATCCTGGGGAATGGGTTGAATTTTGAGTGATGTAAATTGAAATGCCAGCAGCATGTTCAGTTAGATTTGAATGATTGCTTGTTACACTTGGGCCAGTTTCTGAGACAACCCCCTAAAACAGTGATTCCCAACCTTATATGGCTCTTGGTTTTCTTCCGGGGTATTTTAACACTTGTGGGCCCCTGCTTATCATTCCAGTGAAATTTATAGGGTTAATCGTTATAGGTAGATTGCAATTCCAATTGGGTTCAACCAATTCCTGCTTAACAAAGTGAAAACACCCTGTGAAATAACCTTATCGACCAATAACCGGAAAAACGGAGAGCATTCTTGTGAAAGAAAATCAGTTTTGCACATAGCATTTGGGCCCCCTTTGACTGCTCTGTGGCCCTCGGTTGAGGCCCACTCCCCTAAACCTCATGAATATAACACAAAATTCAATATATTGATTTCCTAATGGGATTACTCCAAATCCAGTTCCCTTTGGCACTTTAAATTTACCAATAATCTATGTTAAAAAATATTGATTAGAAAATCTTTCCTATTTAGCGATTTATAAAAGAAGTGTTACTAGGACAATTTAAAATCCTTTACACATTACGAGCAATAACTCATAGTAAAGAGAACTCATCTCTGAGCAAAATATAGGCGAACACTGAAATGTTAGAATCCACCTAAACTACATGAATTTATAGTGGCCCATTGTATGTTAGTAAATATCAAAAAGACAGATTGAAAGGCCTTTTCAGATCTTCAAATATTTATATTTCCTTATCATGATGGCATATAATCTATATTTTTGAATGAATAAATCATTATTGTAAAGCCAACTTATAGGGAGCATTGATTTTCATGTGCAAAGTAGATATATGGATGGATTTGAAAAATTTTGTTGCTTGCTAATTATTGCCTTTTTCTTCTAAGGACCAATTGCCTAAGAAATATCGTAGTTATGGGTATGGCTGTCCAAAATTGAATATATTTTTGATTCAAATCGAATATTTTCCTCGAATCAAACCGAATATTATTGCACAATCCCAAATCTGTCTCCATTGTACAATAAAAATTTCCTCTTCGATATTGTGATAACATATGTGCAGTTACATCTAAATTACTCCTGACATTTCGCATGACCATGTTTCCAGAGTTATAAAAGGGGCTCACAAACCTACTTGAACTGGTCAAAAAATTAGGGTTGTGAAAACTATCAAGGTTTAAGAGTTGGAAATTGCACAGACTCTTTTAATAATGTCCGTAGTTGCTATTTTAATCCTATTATCATTAGTAATATTTACTCAATATTTTTTTGTGTAATTTTCATTAAAATGATAAACAACTAATAATATAGATATAACTGTTGCCCCAAAAATTCAAAATTGCATTTCGGGAACTCACAAATTCAGAGCTAGTTTGATGACCATATTGTTGCTTTACAACAGCCATCAACTCACAATAGTGCAATTATTTGTCATAGTAATAAATGGATGAAATAAAGTATTGTCATCAGAAGAAATTACAAATTCTATTGGAAAAAGGTATTGGACCTCCAAAGCGTGTTTCAGCCCTGTTATAAAAGGGGATCAAATGCTTCCATGAAAACAGGGGGCCATAAGGGCTAAAACCCCCTGTATGGGGGCCACAAGCTATGAAAGGTTGTTAATCACAGCTATAAGCCATTACCCTAGCTTATCCGTCCCTACTTGTCATACCATATTGTTAGATAATCAATATTATTACTGCGGAAGTGCAAATGCAAAATCAATTTTATCGATTGTCATTTATAGATTTTAAAAAGTGCAGTAAAGTCAGAAATAGAAGTCTAGACAAACAAAATATTTGGGAATGATTTATCCAACATAATAATACTCTTGAATCCAAGAATTGTTTGAAAAAATTTCATTTGGAATTATCATAACAACCAATTGAAGTCTAACATTATGGCCAAAAGCAAGGTATCAGTTGCTGTATATTAATAAAGGGGAATTCAAAAATTAATCAAACAGGGCATCAGGGAGCAATCTCATTATATCACCAATATATTGAATTTGTTATACAAGAGTTTCACACCATTAATTAGACCAGGGGTTCCCAAGCTTTTCTCAGGAGGACCCCAAAGACAACTTTCAAGTGTCCAGTGCCACCCCAGGTCAATATATATTTTTCATGAAACTTCAGAGCTTCTTTCACTGGACTTTTGAGTTTGGTGATGTGGTGATATTAAGTAAAATAAGCTAAAAACAAACAGTGATGTCACAATAAGCACCTACATTTTCTATAGCATAAGCATAGAGCGATGCCTATGGGCCTGTTTTACAGTAAGCCATGGTACAAACTGCTTAATTTAACACGGTTTGTCAAATCTTAGATGTTTTGTACATCAATCCTCTACCATAACTTAGTGACCTCACTGACCCCATGACCTGTTTGCGACCCTACCTACTTGTCACTCCGACCCAATTTGGGGTCGCGACCCCTAGTTTGGGAACCCCTGAATTACACCTTAGAGCAGTAATTTTCGAACTTTTAAAGCTACGACTCCTTTTTGGAATTCATCAAGTCTCACGTCCCACCTCTGAAATAATAGATAGTAAGGGCAAGACGAAAGTATGTTTTATTCCAAATATGTACACATTAGAAATTTAAGAAATTATAAATATAAAGAAATTCAAATAAATAAGGCGAGCAAGACCAAATCTAACAAAGAGTGAAAGATTCATAATCTTTGTTTACTACAGTAATACCTACCTTTATATTTTCAATTGTCTCATAGTCCACTTGAACCTTGTTTCCACCTTTGGTGTGCCGGACAAACGCGCATGATTGAGCGCTACGTACAAGACCTATAAAAGGGGCAAATAATATGTGTAAAGCTGATGTTTGTGCCAAATTGTATTCAAGAAAGAGTACTCCCGTAGTATGTGTACCTGATTATGATTAGGCCATGATTTTACTCTGATTCTCCTTATTATAGTTCTATTACGAGTTAGAGAACTGTCTGTGTTAGCCAAGTGAATATACCCCTGCCCACACAACATATGTAGAATGGGCGAACAAAATTAGCTACCTCCATATTGGTACACACACTTCAAGAGCACCCAGGAAAGATATGGCAATGTAGAAATATAAGTCATGGATGGCCAAAACCGAATATTAGAAATACAATCTGAGAAAACATTTTTGGATATGAAAAATCGAACACATTCTAAATTGGGGACACGTTCATGTGGAAAATTACATAAATCAATATATCTTCATGTTGATCATATCTGAAACAACACACATAAAAAAGGGTCATTTTTTTTCTGCGTTGTTTCTTACCAGTTGAGATATCAACTGTTTTCCTATCCTTAAATCCCTGGAATTTAATTCGAAAATAAGAGTAAGAAATAATAAAAAACGGTTTCTCTACTCACCGGCTAACTCAGCACCACTGAAATTCTTTGTCAAAGCAGCAATATCACTCAGGTCCACGTCGCTACTAACCATGCCCGAATTGAACATTTTCGCGCAATGAATTTGAAGGATTTCCAACCTAGCAAAAACACATAACAAGAACCGATAATGTGACTATATCAGGGTGGTGCAAGGTTGTCAGCTCCGCGGGCCACAAAATCATTTTTGCATTGCTCGCGGGCCACAATAGTGCCAAGAATAGGTAAACAGTGCAATACAAAACAAACACTTTTATTGTGCAAACACATAGTTCTCAGACATAGCCATTCTAATCTAATAGAATCCACATTAGATTTTTAGGTTTCTATTGTTAGCATAATATATTCCTGACCAAAAAGATAGAAAGCCAGATAATAATTTAGACTGTCAAGCACATCATTCAATTTCTCTAGTTGCCTCAACTAGCCATAACACTAGTCAATTCAGTAACATTAGTGATGTAACAATATGTAAAAAGATTTTTTTCTGGTTTATTTTCATTACGAAACAACACGAAATGCTTTTTTTTGATTACTCTCCGGATGTGACGCTGGCCACAGATAATGAAGCGGCGGGCCACATGTGGCCCGCGGGCCTGGGTTTGGGCCACCCTGGACTATATAATACGGTGAACCACAGACTCTCGTCCGATTACCAGTCCATGTCAAATATCGGAATATTTAGCCAATCATTTGGTTCAGATGCATGGACTTGATGGCAGGGGAAGCCGTAATTTACCACTGGCCAAATGAATTGCCCGAACACATACCTAGAATTATTGTCAAGAAGAGAAAAATCTCTAAAACTTTGAACTATTTAACCATTAACTACTCGAACCATTCTACATTCAGCTAATAGAACCAATTACCGGTAAGAATAAAAAATGGTTAACGGATAAACCAACCAACCTTCCATGTTCATCCGGTAATCCAATTTCTTTTTTAACTTCTAATCTTCCTGGTCTCATTAGAGCATCATCAATAAGATCTGGTCTGTTTGTCATTCCTGATTACGAAAATAAAAGATTATATTGCAGGGCAGGGGTGGGCAACATACGGCCCGCGGGCCGGATGAGATTTTAACCGGTCCGCTGACTGTACATCAATACATTATGATATTACATTATTACACTTTTAGTACATCATGATAAATTCATTATGTGTTTTTCGGTCTCTATTTATTGCAAAGTTTAAACTTTACTTTAAACACGATTTATAACTTTCTTTCTTGCATTAGCGAATAAATATGTGATTAAGATATTGAATACTATTCATGATATAATCCGGCCCACAAGAAGTTCATTTTCCCACATCCGGCCCGCCGACTAGGGAAGTTGCCCACCCCTATTGCAGGGTATATAGGTGGATCTAAAACTTTTTTTGCTTGAGGCGCACTAAGCTTATAGAAAAAATTCGTAAAAAAACAAAGTTAGCTTTACACAAATTTATTATGCAAATGTTGATGCGATGGCTGTGTCTGTTTTGAGAAACAAATAAGATTGAAACGACGTTCCGTCGTTGCCAAGCACACCCGCATTGTTGCTCAGAGATGAGTCTCATTTACTTCCGAGTGAGTGCCCATAACTTTGCTCAGAGATGAGTCTCATTTACTTCTGAGTGGGTGCTTTTAGTTCATAGCATTCCAGCGGTCATCTGTAACTTGTTTCGAGATGAATTTCCTCTACTTCGGAGAGAACCTCGCTTCAAGAAATTATAAATAAAAACAATATTAAAATCAAAAACTCACCAATGACCAGTATATTATTTAGTTGGTCCACTCCATCAATTTTCGACAGCAATTGGTTTACGACAGTATCATGAACTCCTGAAGCACCGGCAACTGAGCCACGCTGTTTGCAAATTGCATCGATCTCATCAAATATAATGATATGTAGTCCACTGTTTACTCCGGCCTGAAATAATTTGGTATGAATTATTGGCGGGGCTGTAGAGTTAGAGAGATGACTGTCAACCTTTTTTGTTTGTGGCCCACTTTTATGGCACAAAAGATTCTGTGATACATTAACTTTCTTTCGCAAGGGTAAAAAATACAGAAAAAATATGTGATACCTCGGTAGTTGAACGACTCAATACTCAAACAATTGGGTAGTTGACACCAAAAAATTCTAGTCCACAAATCCACACTCAAAACAAATGTCTAAATCCTTGTTCCTATCAAACATGCAAAACTAACCTTTTTCTGTTCCTCTTCAGCTGCTTCAAACAGTTTTCTGATATTGGCTTCAGATTCCCCAACATACTTGTTCAATATCTCCGGCCCGTTCACGATCTGGGGTTCTCGAGCACTCAACATTTTACCAATCTGTCGAGCCATAAGCGTTTTACCACAACCTTAAATGAATGAAAAGAAGTTTGTAAAATTTGTATTATGTTATATATATATTTTTTTTATTCATGGCACTAACAGCAGCAGTAGTAAATCAGTGGTAATTTATTCTAGTTGTTAGAAATCTAGCAGTAGCTGAGTCTGGACTGTGTTGATATTGCAAGTTAAAGTTTCGGAGGTAAATTTCATTGTTTTAGGAGGCAAATAAATTCATGATAAAGTAAAAAGTATAAAAAAATGAATGCAAATCCTGAATCGGACTTGACATTGAATGTGATAACAATGAACAATGGTGGCCGTAACATGAAACAAATAAATGGGAATAAATTGCAAATAGAGTTTTTTAATGAATGAGCACCATGAAGTACATTGGGGGGGGTTGGGGGGAATCTAATAACCAGCTTTGCCGAAAAGTGCAAAAGAGGTTAAGCATCACTGATTTATTAATCAATACAGAGTAACTAACTTACCTGGTGGTCCATGCAGTAATATTCCCTTTACATGTTTCGCTCCCATCTTTTCAACAATATCAGGTGGGAGAACGCGAGATGCGAACGCTCGTCGGAATATTTCCTTGAATTCTTCATCGAGACCCCCGATTCCAAGAGAAGTGAAATCGAATTCTGGGTTAATAATGTTTGATCTAGCTCGCCGACTTTGAGATTTCCCGGTGAGACAAATAGGCGAGCTTTCTGCCGCTTGGAAAATCACTTTGGTGCCTTTCTGGAAATATAAAAAGGATCAAATAGACAAATGAGTCAGGATATAAATTTTCAATGCTGAACAACCATTTATGTTATAGATCTTGTCATTCAAGTGTTTGGCCGCAACTTTGCTTGGAGATGAGTCACCTTTGATTCTGAGTGAGTGAACATAACTTTGCTTAGAGATAAGTCTCGTTCACTTTTAACCCTCTATAGCAGCGGTTCGCAGCCGGGGGCCCTCGGCCCTCTAAGGGGCCACGGAGGAGTTGGAGGGGGGCCACAAGGATGGGCTGAAATCTGAATTTACTTTTCACTTTAAAAGAAATCTCTTAGTTTTTCCTAGTTTGCTGCTCAACAAGGTTATTTCGCAGGGTGTTTTCGTTCTCTTTTGTGCAAATTGTTTTAACATAATGGGATTTGGAATCTATCAATGAAAATAACCCTATTAATACCTCTGGAATATTAAAGTGGGGGCCATGAGTGCTAAAAGCCTCCGAAAGGGGGCCACGAATCATAAAAGGTTGAGAACCACTGCTCTATAGATTTGTAGGTTTCAGTTATCATAGAGATAAAGATCATATGCAATATTATTTAGGCTCTCCATTTTCTACTGTTGTCAGAAATTAATTACAGGTCTTTTGGTTTTACCAAGATACTTTTATTGCTCAAAATGAAATATTTCCAAATAAAGTTTTCAAACTTATTCTAAAAATTAGGAACTAAATATATCTGTTATAAATTTCAAATAATCGTATTGTATTCGAACAATTTTTCAAATGTGATATACCTGATTATTAGTAAATAATTTTGAAAATATTTTAGTTGGTAAAAAAGATGTAACACTATAATTGAAAAAATATTCGTATATTCGATTCATTCTGGATAACCAAAGTATTCAAATTTTCTGCATGCGTGATATAATTATGTATCAGCAAATATATTTTATAAAATTTCAGAGGGGCAGAGATGGAGTAACATTATATTTGAAAAAAATCATGTACGTTTAGTATATTTCATTCTTTTCGGACCCCCTAAGTATTCAAATTTATTTAGCATGCATGATATACCTGGATATAAAGGAATATTTTTTAAAAAATTTTAGGGGGTAGAAAAGATGTAACACTATATTTGTAAAAAAAATCATGTACATTTAGTATATTCAATTCTTTTTGGACCCCCACAGTATTCAAATTTTCTTCGAATGAGTCATATCACTAGGTATCTGAAAGTATATTTTATAAAATTTTTGGGGGGTAGGGAGGGGGTAACATTATAATTTGAAAAAAAATCATGTAAGTTCGACTCACCTGAAAAATTCCACCATGGTGATCATTGGCAGCAGTTTTAATGTCTTTAACCGAAATTGCATAATGTATGCCAGCAAAACTGAACAGCAACGTTTCACCAAGAACAAACCACCGAAGCGCGAAGTCATGCTTGAGTTGTTCTACCATGTGATCTGTGTTGACTGGATCATCTGAAAGAAATTGATGTTGGAATAAGACTGCCTGTTCACTGACAGAGTAGGCTAGGCTATAATTTTTACAAAACTAATGTCTTCCCAACATACCGTATATAAGTCGACCTCCTAAAAATGGCCCCAAAACGGTGAATTTATAAAAATTTGCATATAAGCGGATCCTACAAATCAAACGTTCTTATTGTGAGGACTTTCATAGTTCGAGTTGTTGAAATTAAGTTAGCATGATGTCATTTTGTTTGAGTGCGATCAGAGTTTGACCCCTTAGTTTTGAAATTGGCTTATATACGGTGAATATTTGACGGGCAAAACCCCAATTTTGGATATCAAATAAGTTGTGAAGCGCTGGGTAACGCAGAAAATACACCATAAAATTATCATCAACCAATGAGAGGCGATTGCTGACTTTCGCTGTGCACCCAAACTGAAGAGCGACACATTACTAAACCATGCAGTACTCAAATAGATTCTCCAGACTGTTAAACTTACTTGTGACTTCTCTTGATTTATAAAAATCCACTTCAAGGATGGTTTCAACTATTTCATCCTGCTTTGTGGGGAAGAATTTTTCAACCTGTCATAAGAAATGAAATTTAGCATTTCTTAGGTGGTGTTTTTTACACTGAACAAGGCTATATAATAGCATCTACTGATACATCAAATTTGGATACTATTCTCAGAGAGATGGACACCACTCTGGTTTGTCATTGGCTGCCCAATTCATTACATCTAGGGTGGCGAGGTAGTGGAGAAGCCCCTCAAGTAAAAAACGATAATATCGGTCAGAGACCGAAGACTTATCGATCGAAAGTTAGGGGATCCTCAAAACAGCGCTCTTACTCCATAGTGACACCTTGTGCTTCATTCGAGTGAAAACTACTATCTTTTTTTAAAGATCACAAGAAACTAAATGTTATTTGGGAAGGGCCATGTTCCTGAAAGTTTGATAGCAAGTAGCACCTTCCACTTGTTTATAATTAAGGGCATGAAAAAATATCACAATAAATCAAAATGGTTATTAATAACGGGTCTAGTGTAGTACTTCTAGTGGGCTTGTCAATATTTGTTATTCCCATTTGGGGTTATTCCCAACTCCCACCTGACTACGCCATCCATGAATTGCGCCACTACGGCGTCACAATCATGTAACATAGCTTGCCAATATGAGCCGCCGATAAGAAATTCACTAACGCCAGCGATCTCTCTCATATTGGGATCGCTAAGACGAGAAAAATAGCTTGCTGACTTAGGGTAATCGTCTGTGCGTTTGGGACGACTATTGCGGGCCTTATTATGTCACTGTTACATCATAGTGACATAACTTTTGGATGACGTGGACGAAATTTAACCATCACGAAAAATATAATTATAAATACCTGAACTTCTTGGTTAATCCCAACGTAGGCCCATTTTCTTTGAATCATTGAAAATCCAATATATTTATCCTGTACTTGACGATCAGGGAGGCAAGTGAAATCGTACACCTGACCTCGATTACAAAACCTGATGTATTTATATCCATTTTGAAAATCCTGCGGACTCACGATCACTTTGTTTTTTAACGAAAGATCATTACTAGGACATTTTGTGACTCTGAAAGCTTCTGTGGACATTTTTACTATAATTTATTATGTAATATTTTTTTGATGAGCCTTGAATGAAAGAAAATAATAATTCAATACTTAATAAGACCAAAGACTGTTCATACCAGACATCAGCACTTCGTAAACTGTTAGTTTGTGTGCGCGGAACTATTCGGGGAAAAAAAATCACGATGTACTTACACCAAAAAAAATTGCTGCCTCAAAATAAAACTCAATTTTGTGATCATTGATGTGCACTTTATATATATGCTTTTTTAAGTTTGTAAACATGTAGGCCTAAAGAGTAAAGGCAATTCTGCCTGATTTTCCTTTGAAATACTGAAAAAAACACTCGTGTTCGTTAAACTCGGTAACGCAGATAAAGAAACTGTACCACACTTTCCGAATTCCAAGAATGTCCCATCATTTGGTCTAATAAAACAAACACTCCCATGTGTCTCACAAACAAGGGGTGTCTGGCTCGACATCAGATGCATTAGATTGCGTGATGCTTGTCTCGATAATAATCTAAATAGTGGCTGTCACATGACCAAAATTGTCGTTTTTAGCTAAAATCTCTCAGATGCCAAGGTAGAAATTTTTTTCCTCCAGTAAATTAGATAGATAGATAGATAGTTTATTTCGAAAACTCCATAACAAACCAAAATTAAAAATGGAGAATTCTGGAGGGCAAGCAAAACCTACAAAAAAGTTTAAAACATGAAGTATCTCATGTGCCTGCCCACCAGCACGCACACAAAAACACAAGCCCAATTAAATGAGGCTTGGGCCAAACTTAACAAACAAAATACACGATAGTAATAAACTTTCGGGCTGTTGTACTCTTTCAGCAATTACGTTGATAATGACCAATACCTACAACCTCATGCAAAGATAATGTGGGGAGTGGAATGTAATAAATTTGCGACGATAGTCATACTCATGAAGCCATGAAAGCTTTGAGAATTAGATTTTTTTTTCCAGAGGAATTCAATGATGACGTTTTTAGATAGCGCTTCTTTGTAGTTTTTTGTACAACTTCATTTTACTGTATTTTTACCGATATTGAAGAACAACAATGGCCAGACGTCCCCGAAAGGAGGGGTGTTTGTTCATTGGCAAAATGGAATTCTCTAAAATGAGACAATGCCTCTCGATCTGTATAGTGTGCCGTACTGTACCGTACTCACTGTTATAATTGATGTCTTTCAATGTGGAGCCTATGTTTGGAATCGTAGAGCCATACTGCTGTACCTACTGGAAACTAAATTGAACTAACAGACTTATGATAATTGGAAATGGCTGTTCTGACTATCTACTAACACAGGTATAAAAAAGAGAGAATTCTAAAAAGAGGAAAAACTACTAACAGCCTACAATTTAAATCTCAAAAGCCCACTCATAAAATACAGTTCTAGGTATTCTTTGCAATCTTAACTAATAAAAACTAACAACCACATCAATAATTCTCGGGATAAAATATGAGATTCCCATTCATCAATAATAAAAACTAGACTACAACGCCATATGCTGTTACTGTGTTACGATCAATATCACGCAAAGCGAGTTTTATTGAGTTGTCCTTTCACTACAACTTGATTATGCGTTCTGTTATCTTTCTGTCATTTGAATCCTGTTTTTATCTTCGGTTTTATCATTCACTTTTTTGCGCCGAATTATTCTAACGTCAAACGGAACTTTCGTATTGAGATTTTAAAATCTAATTGTCGCAATACATACAGTACGGTAGTTTTTTGATTCCACGTTTTGTTGTTTAAATTTAAATGCCATTCCCACGATTATTTATTTTACCTCATACGTTTTGAATGTAGATAATGTACCGTACCCGCTGCGAGGTACAGTGAAATATGTTCCCCACTGTACCGGTAACGCACGAACAATGCCGGAAAACTGGCAACATATTTATCGAGCCAGCACATCAAAAACACAGCGACGAAAATGACGTTTCTGCTCAGGCGTGACCACGGGTCACGGGAGCGTAACTTGAATTCATATAACTGTCCGCCCTTACTAGGGATGAGACGAGTCCGGCATTAGAGAGATTCGACGAATCCGAGTAATAGGTCAAGGACTCGAATCGAATCCTCCGAGTCCGTGACGTCACAATTTAAAAGTAGAAAAACACTATTTTGACAATACTACAGCATCGCGCGCTCACAAACATACGACGTAGCTCATATTTTTTGTCTAATGGTTCCTCAGATAGCTGTTGAATCAATTTAAAAATATATTTTTCGTTTTTTTTTTTTTGCTGCCATAATACAAGCGTAAACGTGGGTCAATGTGCGCCTTAGCTGTGAACTGGATTTCCAGCCCACCACCTTGCGTCAATTCTGGGTGGCTATTCAGAAATTCTTACATGTCGATATGAAAAAATAAAAAGCTTTTGATAACAATGCTTTCCCATAGTTCCGGATATTTCTAGCCGTAAATTTACTATGCCACGTGCGCAAATGGTAGAGAAATGCCACTCAACGTCAATGCAATGTTGTACATCTGCTTGTAATTTAGTAGGTCATGTAAACGTTCTAAAACTCTCCATGCTTTCCATTGCTCCCTTTTTAGAGAAAGGATTGTACATAATGAACTCGATTTAAAAGAGGTATTGATGAGATTCCCCATTGGGTTCATCCAAAGCATGTTTCATTCTTACGCGAATCGAAAACTCAAAAATATTGCGCTAACTAACCGCGCTGAAGGCGCGGCGGTGTGGCTCAACGGGCTAAGCGTTAGGAATACGCTCGCCACCGCACCTCTAATTACTCTGCGTGGGTTTGCAGGGATGGTTATGTGCGAGAGGATTGCTGGAATCCTCGCCGTCGTTGGGTGGTTCACGTAACCGCTGGTTGATGGTTAACGAGCGGCGTCACCTAACAGATAATTATTAGAAATGTACAACATGTTTATGGTCACTTTATAAACTAGAGTGCAGGTTGTGCATATCACCAGTAAGGCTGGGCCTTTCGAATTCAATAGCAAATTATTTGATTTAAAGAATATTTCAATCTGCCTCCCATCTTGATCTTTTTGTCCACCCCTCAATTTTTTTTATTGAACCCATATTTTCAAAATGGAATTCTGACATATGACTCTCTCTCTCTCTCTAAAAAGTGTTTCTTATTTTATGTGAACTCAGCAAACTGTCTGAGTGATGGATTCTACGTTTTCAGTAATTTATGTGACTGGAGGACACATGGCCATCACAGTCAAAAAGTCATGTGCAACTACACGTCTTTCAAGCATCAATTCTGAAATCATCAAGTATTTACAATGAAGCGTTTGAAAAACTGCCTTGTTTTGTTTACATTTCTGATTTCCATAATCATGATTCTATTAATCATGGATCACATAAATCAGGGATGGCGAACCACTGACCCACCGCATTTTATTCGTGACCTGCCAAGAATAAAATAAATGCTAACATATCAGTGATCAAACCGGCCTTGAATTAATCTAACAATCATCGACATAAACTCCAGTCCTTCAAAAAAAACAGTGTCTATCCATTGTATGTATGCTTTGATTTATTTGTTTTTGGTTTACAAATCAATCAACCTATTAGTATTTAACAGACCATGAGGCACAATGACAAAAAAAAAATTAGATTGGGGTTTGTTCCACACACTGGAGTATTGGGATCATTGAAGCCCACAAAAAAAAGGTTATTATTGAAACGGCGGACCGGTAATGGTTTTTAGTGTCTGCAATTACAGTAGGTATAAAGCACTTTCTGACCCATACATACATACGTATGATGACGGCTTCCTCCACCATCAAGTCCATGCTTCCGAAAACAAATAAATAACTAATCCCATACCCGACATGGAATGGTAACCGGACTAGCCGTGGTTCGCCATATAATTAAGCCGTCTTATCGGCTTTCCTCCTTACCGCCGGTATAAATATGTAAATCCTATCCTACATTAGGCATGCCTGCTTATAAGGCACACGAGAGATTTTTGAGAAAAAAAAGGATTTGAGAAGTGCCATATGGGCCCCTTGTTGCTTGCCCCTCCATTTTTTTTATCTACAAATAAAATATGTACATTTTCACAATGCAGTTTCTTTAATGAACACGAAAAATGAAAATAACTGAACACAAAAGTGAAAATGTGTGAAACCTTGTTCCGATGTGAAAATAGTCGAAATTTTAAAAGTGTGTATATAACAAATTGAATATTATAATTTGCTTGAAGCAAGGTCTTCTCTTTAAGAACAACCCATCACAGCTGAGCATTTTTGAAATGCAATTTTTAGAATACATAATCGAAATTAAATTCAAGAAAAAGGGGTCCAATTCGACACCGCAAAATAAAACAGTCTGCTTTTTCAAAGATCATATTCAAGTTTAGGAGAAAATAGAGAAAATTCAACTCTGAAATACAAAGTTTTGTTTAAATAGAACACCAATATATATGAAATTTGGATCAAAATCTGAACGAAAAATGGTTTCATTCAATTCTGGAATATGAAGCATGCACATGACAGCATTTTTAAACGAACATACCTTGATATATGAAAAAAAGTTTAATTCAACTCTGCACTGTAAAACATGCATGACTGCTTTGTCTTAAATGAGGAAAAATCTCTTCAATTTAACCTTGCAAGGCATAAAATGCATGACTGCACACAGGTTGTGAGGCCAACACAGTGATGACAAATCATTTTTTAGAGACGGAGTGTCTTTCTATGGTGTGAAAGAATGATGCGACCAAATACAGGAAATTTCTAATGCATATACTTTGTTTTGAATAATGTTTTTTAAATGAGAGAAATGAACAAATATATACAAAAGTTGAAATTAACAAGCCAACTTCAATTGTTTACTGAGAAAACTGTGAACATGTGAAAGCCGAAACAATGAAGACTAATCATTTCATTAGAGACAGGGTGTCTTTTAAGAGCATAAAAAATGACATGACGAACTTTCAAAGCATATCATCTTAAAATAATGTTTTTTTAAAATGAGAGAAATTAAAGAAATATTTTGGCAAATTTTTTGCTTATTTTAAATTGTCTTTGTCGGTTCCATTACATTTGAACCCACGTACATTTGAACCCATGACAATTGCACCTGTATGCTATTGCACCTATGGAATTTTTTTTGTTTCACGGTTAGTTAAACCCATACTAACCCTAACCCATGGGTTTTAGCACCCGCATATAGATTGAACCCGTGGATATACGCATGGGTTCAAATGTATGTGGGTTCAAATGTACGGTCACCGTCCTTGTCAAATTATTTTTTAAAATTTTTGTTGAATATTTTATTCGATTATCACCACAAGTCTGTAGGTTTGAAAATACAATTATACCAAACTTTGACTCCGACTAAAAACTAGGAATTTGTGAAAGGAAGGCAAGAAGCAGCAAAAATAAAATAAGTAACTAGACGTAACAACAATTATAAGCTTCACAGCGTTTTTAAAAGCAACACAAAAACGAAATGAAATAGGTAACTAAATATATATCAAAAGGTAAAGAACCACTGGTCTATCCTGTGTTAAAATCAGCAGTTTACAAAAGTAAAGCAAACAATAAAACGAAAAAAGTAACTATCGGTAAATATATTCACAACCTCACAACAATATTTTTCTTAAGTTAATAAACTTGAGTGAAAAAAAAACTTTATGAAGAAGCATTCGCTCTGATATATGGATTAGTGAAGAAATATAATAAAAGGGCAGATGACTTATTCACGATGACACTTTTCTATTAAGAACTTCAGCTTGGGAATATAATCTGACAAGAAAGACGATATTGGATCGTTTCGCGATCCGATGGTTTCTTTTATAAGTCACCAAAAAACTGAATTTGAAATTTTGTTAGGAAAGTGTGTGTTGAGAAATAGTAGCTTAAATTGAATTCAAAATGAATGATAGAAATTAAATGATGATAACACAGGTAAATTTTCGTTTGTGCAGAGTTTGTTTGTACAGAGCCACGCCAGGAGTTGGAAGAAAAATCAAAACCAACATTTATTAAATTTTAATTTTTTTTAACAACTTAAATCAATATTCAGTTAACTTTCTCACTTTACTGAGAGTCTAAAAATCGTTTCAAACTGCAAAAAAATGCCATGTATGCTACAGGAATATGATTTTTTTTACATTACAAAAAGAGGGTCGTGAGAGAAACCTAAAGGCTTGGCTAATTTCGTAACTGTCTAAAAAAGCAATAGGCCTAATGGCAAATAATACATCCGAGCAGCAAATACATCTGAGTCATTAAATAAACTTTAATTTACTCACCAACATTGATCAGTAAGGAACAATGAGTTTCATGTTTATAAACTTATTGTGGAGCTCTGAAAATGGGGTAAGTCTGGCGTCAGCAACAATGCGTTTTCATTTTTATAAACCAATTTTGGGGCTCTGTAAATGGGGTAAGTCAGGGGTAAGTAACAATGTGGGGCTCTATAAATGGGGTAAGTCAGGGGTGAGTAACAATGAGTTTTCATTTTTATAAACTTATTGTGGGGTTCTGAATATTGGGTAAGTCTGGCATAAGTAACAATGCGTTTTCATTTTTATAAACTTATTTTGGGGCTCTGTAAATGGGCTAAGTCCGGGGTAAGTAACAATGTGTTTTTGTTTTTCTTTCTATAAATTTATTATGGGGGTCCGTAAATAATAGTAAACCTCTGCATCCCCATAACACCAAAAGTTTAAGCCACGCTCTAGGCAACATCCACTTTTCCTTTCCTATGCCTGTAAGCAACCAGCACAGTACGAGCGATCAGAGCAAGAATTGAAAGAATCAAACCGGTGAGAGACAGATACATATTCCTTGAGAAGGGACTGACGTAATTCCCAACGAGAGCTCCAATCAATGCAAACACAAGAGTAGGGTAGATGGTAAGAGTGTAGCGACAATATTTTTCGAAAACGAAGTTTTCAAGTACAAACCAGACTATGATCTCTAACAAGAGGATGACAAGAGAGATTGTGCCAGCGTCTTCAGCTGTCAGTGAACCTAAATAAGATGGAAAATTCATTTTAAAATCTGCCGTTGTACAGAATGATTACACAAACAACACAAGGTGACAATTCAGGACTTTATAGGTGACTTTGCCTGATATTTCATCACTGGTTTACCGCATCTCGCTTCACACTGAAATGCATTTTTATATTTTCCCTAATTATGTTTTCACAATGTGTACTTTTGGCATGTGAAATAAACTCCAGACTGATTGAAAGCTATTAAAACTTATAATGAGGTTCAACCATGCAAGACTGAAAACTGTTCAAGTTAGGATAGGGGAATATACTTTGAATCCCACCATGGTACAAGAAATCATGAAATTGGGAGGCAAACTGCGCAAGGTATATCCTTGACCCTGCGGCGGCGATGAGCCCAACAATCCTTTCGCACATAATCACCCCCGTGAGATTCGAACCAGCGTATTCTCAACACTTAGCATCATCACGACCACACGACCGAGTGAAATTGCACTGTTTACTGTCCAAAAAAATGAAATATCAACACACTCCTCCAGTTAACCTACCATTCAGCTCTGCAACAGGACTTCCCATGCTGCCCTTATAAGTGATCACAGTTGCCAGCATCAGCTTCCAAGCGCACGTCAACCATGTTGCCAGAATCGCATATCCATTGTGGAAAATGATTCGAACAAGCCACAGTAATTCTAGAAACAAGAGAAAAATGTTCAATTGATGACTTGAGTCAAATTATCTTGCCAATGTATCAACAGAGGCTGCATATGTGTGTGCCAGAAATTGAGACTATTTACTGGGCTTGCTCAGAGCTTAAGAATTTCATGTTTAGCCTAACGGAGAGTGAAGCCGATAGGATTCGAATCTGTGAGGTGGCGAGCGTATCCTCAACGCTTATCACGATGTGCCAAATTGCCGAGACAAAAAGACAACTTAATTATATAGTGTGCTGTGGCTGTTTGACTGATTCCGAGTCCATTGCGATAGTTGACCAGTTGAATAGTTGATAGTGAGTTGTTTTAGCTGTGTAGACTCGATAGTCGAGGGAGTCGCAACTGACTAGCGATCACGTGAACCACCCTAGAACAGCAAGGTGTCCAACAATCCTCTCGCACTTGAATATAATGAGGGAATTTGATTTGAAATCAGAGGTGTAATAGCAAGCATTGCTGTTGTGCAAACGCCCTATTGTATATCCTTCACTCACTTGGATTCTGCTGTTCCAGTTCTTCGACTTCAGGGTAATAACTTCGATACGAGAATGCAAGACCAGCGTAAGTAACCCAGCAAGCCGCAAGTATGAAGAACATTGCCAGTCCCAAAATCTCTCTGTCGTTCGCAAAAATCCATGCCACGGACAATGACCAACTCAGACACCAGAATATCAGAGTAACCTAAATGAATAAAAATATAATTATTCGAGGGTACCTATTGCAGTGAAAAAAATAAACAATAATCATAAACAAGAGAGCTATGCTCAAATATATGGACATGTAGAGCCACATAATTTTGATGACGTCATAGCGAAAAAAAGTAAAAGCCTTCTGGAGAAAAATTCTATCTTTAGCCACTGAAAATTTCACTAAGTGTCCAATATAATTGGAAGACTTCAAGATCAACAGACCCCTCAAGGAAGCAGGAAGAAAGCCAATAATATAGCTTAATCATACAGAATAAACAAAAATTTGAAATATACGTTTGGACGAAGTCGTAACTGACCTATTGCGAACAAACCTACAGCCGTGAGGAGTACAGCAATCCTCTCGCACATTATGACGTCCAGGAGATTCAAACCTGTGAGCCAATGCACACCGTTTATAATGCTTAGATGATGATACATGATGCTGCGAACTCTATATGATACTTGTATAAATCAGAATGTTAGCATTCTTGGGCTCTGCGGTGTGGTGCAACGTGCTGAGCATTAGGAACACGCTCAGCTCTGATTACTCTTTTCGGGTTTGCAGGTTTAAATCCAAAGGGTAAATAATTATGTACGAAAGGATTGCTGAAATCCTCGCCGACATATGGTGGGTCACGTAACCGCCGATCGGTAAGGGCTTTCTCCACCATCAAGTCCATGAATCTTAAAACAAATACCTAGCTAAATAATCCCATACCCGACATGGAGTGGACAAGAGGCTGCGGTCCACCATATGGTTAAGCCGTGTTATCGGCATTCCTCGCACCCGGGATAAATATGTAAAATCCTATTACTTATACCATAAAATCTCTCTCTTTACTTACTGGAGGAATCAAAGGCTTCTCTCTCACTGTTGGACTGTCCTCTTTCTTCAGGCAGAGAGCTACAATCATGTAAAATGCACCAATTGCATTCCAGAGATAAATAATCATCCAGATGACAACAAAAGTCCAGCTAGCTGGTTGAATATTGCTCTTGTATTTTTCTGATAACTCTCTAATGGTATTGAGATATAACCCTGAAAATGAAGTTTAAAAAATGTCTTTTTCGGGGAACAAATATGCATTATTTAAACATATAATCTCGCTTTAAATAGAGTCTCCTTCCTGGATGCAATTATTCTCACATATTTATCCCTTATTCTCACATTTTAACTTTCTGGTAGTGTTGAGATTTAACCCTGGAAATGAAGTTTAAAATCCGTCTCTTTTGGGGAACAAATATGCATTTTTTGGATATATAATCTTGCCTCGAGTAGCGTCACATTCACGCTGTCTCATTTCTGGGTGGTGATTATTCTCCCATATTCATCCCACAAGTGCTTTCTTTTTGTGATCGATTATACAGTGATTTGATCACATAAACCGGTGATGTAGATCAGGGATGGCGAACCACTGAACACGGGTCAACAAGTGACCCACCATGTTTTTTCGGTGACCCACCAAGTCACGAATTAATGACTTACCAGCCCAGGAAGTCTGTGACCCACATTTCATTTTGCTTATTAAAAATATAATCATTGACCCATTCATTGAAAAAGGTTAGCCATCCCTGATATAGATAATGATTTATTTCCAAATATCATTAAAGTACATTGCATTGAAAAAACAATGATCATAGAATATAATCAGAAGGGGATGAGCAAGAATGCAAGGTCAATGAGGTCGACCAACCCCAAGAGTACATTTCGACTCTTGGGTTACATTGGGCTAAGTATTGTCAGTTGGGAACCGATAACGAAAGATTTGGGACCAGCGTTTTAAATATGCCGTAAATCTAAACGCAAAAACCGTTCTATCACTTACCTCCCAATGCAGTCTCATTTGTCTTGTTTTTATTTCCACCCATTCCAGACAGTGAATTAAGGTAGGAGAATATGAGTGAAACTATATACACCACAAAGGCTAGGATAGTCATTGCATACTTGAGCGTGGAACTCCCCATATTTGGAGTTTTTACCCAATATAGCTTTAAAGTATCTAATTAAATTCTGTGAAAAAGACTGTATGAAAAGTTACCGTATATACAGGGATTCCATCGATCTGGAACTCAAAATAAGGACGGCTGGAAAAATTTATGCAATATTAGCAGAAATAGCTGGCTTTCCCATGAGCTCCAGGTTAATGTAACAAGTACAGACGTCACAGTGTGCGAAGCACTCATCCTTCAAGCTTCGTTTAACTTTGAATTCTTTACCGTGCTCATCACGAAGAACGTTCGTTACGTTCGCCCATTTTTAAATTTAGGCTAAAATAACCACCACCACAACAAAACCCAAGGATCGCCACACTAACAATGCTTCATCTCTATCTGTGCCTTGCTTCTTTGTGTTCCAAATAAGATTGTGTTGCTTTTATGATGGCACAATAAAGCTCTGGCGATAAGACAAACAACACAAAGCTTCCTTTATGAAGTCCAAATAAGACAAAATAAGGACACGCGAGTCAAAAATAAGGACGCAAGCTAAAAATAAGCCAAAAATAAGGACAAATCTTAGAAATAAGAACGGTATGGAATCCCTGTGTATATATAGTGGGAGGACATAGCTTTGAGGCTACAAGTATGCTTTCTAGGAACAATTAAACAAATTGTGTAAAATAATCAAAATGGCAAAGCTACAAGAAATAGGCGTTCCCGTAGTATGTGCAACAAGATGGCGGGCACCTAGACATAGTATATCTACCAGATTAGGGTTAGGCCATAATTTTATTCCAAATTTCCTTATTTCAGTTCTATTATGAGTTCGGGGACTAACCAAGTGACTCCTGTAGTATTTGTACCGAAAATTATGGCCTAGCCCTAACCTGGTACACATACTACGTTTCGGTGTCCGCCATCTTGTTGCACATACTTAGGAGGTACCCAAAAAATATTATGCAACATATGAAAAATATTCATATGGAGGATTTAAGAAGCCACTACTGATCATAGCAGTGATACACACAATATATTTCAATACAAAAATAATTAACTAGGTTTCTATTCGTTTTTCATAACTTGAAACGCTTTTCAGACCAATAATACTCTTGAAAATGCTGGCTGCTACGTCTAACTTGTGCTAATGATTGGGTTTCTGTGAGGCTAACTACTTATCCTTCTTCTATGCTTTTGTGTTGGTGGAATCGTTCAATGCAAGGATGTTGTAGCGAAAGTAAAGATAACAATCCTAAGTGATTCAATAGTCTTGCTGCACACTAACACAAATATATTTCTGTAACATTTCGTCTGACCAAGGACATACACAGTTAACCTAACAAAACGTTACAGAAATATATTTGTGTTAGTGTGCAGCACTGCTCTTGAATCACTTATGATACGTCTAACTTGGCGATTACAAATTTCAGAATACTAATCTATCTCATCCTAATCCAAGACAAACATAAACATAATCAAAGAAAAAATCAATCAAAAATTTGTTGAGAAGTAATAGCAAAATGGTGCCAAAATGGATAAATAAAGTAGGAAACTCTTTGCAATGATAATCGTTAAATGTTTCAATAAAATAATTTTAAATTGGAAATAACTGAAACTTGTATTTTTTACTCAAATGGTAAAGTATCTTATTTAAATAACAGCCATTATAAATTGTTAACCAACTCTCAAGGGGGGCTCACTTCACAAACTACAAAAACCAGAGTGCAGGTTGTGTTACCAGTTGTTAATTAAACAGCAAATGGAAACAGAATTTTTTTGTATATTAAGGGGGAATGGAGAGATTCAAAATCAAGAAAGGGAGGGCAATGTAAAAAAAAATCATTGGGAACCACTGTGCTTGTTTTGTTTGCTTTCCTGACTTCTAAAATTATGATTCTATCTATCATGCATCACTACGGGCTGGGAATTTCAGAGCAAACTCTTTAACCGTTAACCGGGTGAAATTAACCGGTTAACCGCAGAGTGACGTTTGACGTAATAATCACAACATCACAATGGTTCCAAAGCAATTTAGTGTATCACTTATCCTGGTCTCTCTCAAAATTATTCACAAATCGAGATAGAGAAAAAAAGGATTTATGGCGTGTCATATGGGCCCCTTGTTACTTGCTCCTCCATTTTCCTTATCTACAACTAACATATCGCACATTGTTATATTGCAATTTTTTTAATGAACACGAAAAATGAAAACAAATGAACACAAAAGTGAAAATGTGTGAAACCTTGTTCCGATGTGAAAATTTTTTTCAAATATAGTCGAAAATTTAGTGTGTATATGACAAATTGAATATTATAATTTGCTTGAAGCAAGGTCTTCTCTTTAAGAGCAACCCATCACAGCTGAGCATTTTTGAATGCAATTTTTAGAATACATTAAATCAATTTTAAATTGAAAAAAAGGGGTCCAATTCGACACCGCAAAATAAAACAGTCTGCTTTTTCAAAGATCATATTCAAGTTTAAGAAAAAATAGAGAAAATTTAACTCTGAAAAACAGAGTTTTGTTTAAATAGGACACCAATATATATGAAATTTGGATCAAAATCTGAAAAAAAATGGTTTCATTCATCTGGAATATAAAGCATGCACATGACAGCATTTTTAAACCAACATACCTAGATATACGAAAAAAGTTAAAATCAACTCTGCATGGTAAAACATGCATGCATGACTGCTTTGTCTTAAATGAGGAGAAATCTCTTCAATTTAACCTTGCAGGGCATAAAATGCATGACTGCACACGGGTTGTGTAGCCAACACAGTGATGACAAATCATTTTTTAGAGACGGAGTGTCTTTCTATGGTGTAAAAGAATGATGCCACCAAATACAGGAAATTCCTAATGCATATACTCTGTTTTGAATAATGTTTTTTAAATGAGAGAAATGAACAAATATATACAAAAGTTGAAATTAACAAGCCCGCTTCAATTATCTACTGAGAAAACTGTGAACATGTGAAAGCCGAAACAATGGAGACTAATCATTTCATTAAAGACAGGGTGTCTTTTAAGAGCATAAAAAATGACACGGCGAGCTTTCAAAGCATATCATCTCAAAATAATGTTTTTTTAAAATGAGAGAAATTAAAAAAATATTTTGGCAAATTTTTTTCTATTTTTAAATTGTCCTTGTCGGTTCCATTACATTTGAACCCACGTACATTTGAACCCATGACAATTGCACCTGTATGCTATTGCACCTATGGAATTTTTTTTGTTTCACGGATAGTTAAACCCATACTAACCCTAACCCATGGGTTTTAGCACCCGCATATAGATTGAACCCGTGGATATACGCATGAGTTCAAATGTACGGTCACCGTCCTTGTAAAATCATTTTTAAAATTTTTGTTGAATATTTTATTCGATTATCACCACAAGTCTGTAGGTTTGAAAATACAATTATACCAAGCTTTGACTCCGACTAAAAACTAGGAATTTGTAAAAGGAAGGCAAGAAGCAGCAAAAACAAAATAAGTAACTACTCGTAACAACAATTATAAACTTCACAGCGTTTTTAAAAGCAACACAAAAACGAAATGAAATAGGTAACTAAATATATATCAAAAGGTAAAGAACCACTGGTCTATCCTGTGTTAAAATCAGCAGCTTACAAAAGCGAACAAACAACAAAACGCAAAAAGTAACTATCGGTAAATATATTCACAACCTCACAACAATATTTTTCTTAAGTTAATAATCTTGAGTAAAAAAAAAACTTTATGAAGAAGCATTCGCTCTGATATATGGATTAGTAAAGAAATATAATAAAAGGGCAAATGACTATTTCACGATGACACTTTCGTATTAAGAACTTCAGCTTGGGAATATAATCTGGCAAGAAAGGCGATATTGGATCGTTTGGAGAATGATTATCTGATGGTTTCTTTTATAAGTCACAACAAAACTGAATTTGAAATTTTGTTAGGAAAGTGTGTGTTGAGAAATAGTAGCTTGAATTGAATTTAAAATGAATGATAGAAATTAAATGATGATAACACAGGTAAATTTTCGTTTGTGCAGAGTTTGTTTGTACAGAGCCACGCCAGGATTTAGAAGAAAAATCAAAACCAACATTTATTAAATTTTAATTTTTTTCAACAACTTTAATCAATATTCAGTTAACTTTCTCACTTTACTGAGAGTCTAAAAATCGTTTCAAACTGCAAAAAAATGCCATGTATGCTACAGGAATATGATTTTTTTTACATTACAAAATATGGGTTCATGAAAGAAACCTAAAGGCTTGGCTAATTTCGTAACTGTCTAAAAAAGCAATAGGCCTAATGGCAAATAATACATCCGAGCAGCAAATACATCTGAGTCATTAAATAAACTTTAATTTACTCACCAACATTGATCAGTAAGGAACAATGAGTTTCATGTTTATAAACGTATTATGGAGCTCTGAAAATGGGGTAAGTCAGGGGTAAGTAACAATGTGGGGCTCCATAAATGGGGTAAGTAAAAAGGGGTTTTCATATTTATAAACTTATTTCGAGGCTCTAAAAATGGGGTAAGTCAGGGGTAAGTAACAATGTGGGGCTCCATAAATGGGGTAAGTGAAAAGAGGTTTCTTTATTTATAAAATTATTGTGGGGCTCTAAAAATGGGGTAAGTCAAGGGTAAGTAACAATGTGGGGCTCTATAGATGGGGTAAGTAAAAAGGGGTTTTCATATTTATAAACTTATTTCGGGGCTCTAAAAATGGGGTAAGTCAGGGGTAAGTAACAATGTGGAGCTCCCTAAATGGGGTAAGTAAAATAGGGTTTTCATATTTATAAACTTATTGTGGAGCTCAGAAGATGGGGTAAGTCTGGGGTAAATAACAATGGGTTTTCCTTTTTATGAACTTATTGTGGGCTCTGTAAATGGGGTAAGTCTGGGGTAAATAACGATGGGTTTTTATTTTTATGAAATTATTGTGGGGGTCCGTAAATAATAGTAAACCTCTGCATCTCCATAACACCAAAAGTTTGAGAAGCTCCTGCTCTAGGCAACATCCACTTTTCCTTTCCTATGCCTGTAAGCAACCAGCACAGTACGAGCGATCAGAGCAAGAATTGAAAGAATCAAACCGGTGAGAGACAGATACATATTCCTTGAGAAGGGACTGACGTAATTCCCAACGAGAGCTCCAATCAATGCAAACACAAGAGTAGGGTAGATGGTAAGAGTGTAGCGACAATATTTTTCAAAAACGAAGTTTTCCAGTACAAACCAGACTATGATCTCTAACAGGAGGATGACAAGAGAGATTGTGCCAGCGTCTTCAGCTGTCAGTGAACCTAAATAAGATGGAAAATTCATTTTAAAATCTGCCGTTGTACAGAATGATTACACAAACAACACAAGATGACAATTCAGGACTTCATAGGTGCCTGATATTTTATCACTGGTTTACCGCATCTCGCTTCACACTGAAATGCATTTTTTTATCTTTTCTTAATTATGTTTTCACAATGTGTACTTTTGGCATAAATTTCTGACTGATTGAAAGCTATTAAAACTTATAATGAGCCAACCATGCAAGTCTGAAAACTATTCAAGTTAGGATAGGGGAATATACTTTGAATTCTGCCACGGTACAAAAAATCACGAAATTGTGAGACAAACACTTCAAATAAGATTTAAATTAACTATCCAATTCCTTTCAATTATTTAATAAAGTTAGTATAAGCTGATTTATTTGAACTTCGCCATGTTAAAAAATAATCACAATGGACATTTCCCGGCTGAGCGAAAGAAGTGTCTGCGCTGCTGAATAAATTTCAAATGTTTCGTCAATGTTGACTTACTGCTGATTGTTGATTGTTACTGAATTAAACAAGGAAATCGATAAGGCACCCGGAATCTATATCGGCTCAGAAATTCAGATTCAAGTCGCTCAAAGTATATGTTTGACTTAATGGCAGAGGTTGACTTGATGCACCAGCAGTTATGTGAACCACCCTGCGGCGACGATGAGCCCAACAATCCTCTCGCACATAATTACCCCCGTGAGATTCGAACCAGCGAACCATCTACAATGATGCGCCACACGGCCAAGTGAAATTGCATTGCTTACTGTCCAAAAAAATGAAATACCAACACATCCACTAGTCAACCTACCATTCAGCTCTGCAACAGGACTTCCCATGCTGCCCTTGTAAGTGATCACAGTTGCCAACATCAGCTTCCAAGCGCACGTCAACCATGTTGCCAGAATCGCATATCCATTGTGGAAAATGATACGGACAAGCCAAAGCAATTCTAGAAACAAGAGAAAAATGTTCAAACGATGACGGAGTGGAATTATGTAGAGCAGTGGTTCTCAAACTGGGGGTAATGCAACAATAAGACGGCTTAATTTTATAATTTGACTAATTCCCAGTCCATTACAATAGTTAACCAGTTGGATAGTTGATAATGAGTCGTTTTAGCCATATAGACTTGATAATCAAAAGAGCCGTTACGCGAATCACCCTACTACAGTGAGGTATTCGACAATCCTCTCGTACATGATTATACCCACAAGATTCGAACTTGCGACTCACTTTGTGCAGGGTAATTAGAGGTGTGATAACAAGCAATTGCTGTTGGAAAGTTTATTTGCAGGGCAGATACACATTTACAGATCCTTCATCCAGGCCTGTTACAAACTATAATGCACCATCACCAAAGCACAGCACTCACACAAACATGTAAACAAGTAATAATTACTAAGTAACAACAAGTAATGGCACAACGAGATAGCAATCAGAGACCGCCGACTTATCGATCTAGTGGTCTGTATCCTTCGCTCTGACTCAATAGTGACACTGTGTGTCCCATCACTAATTAATTGATAGCTCGGTAATTATACGACATAACTCATCCAAAATCAATAGGCTTTTGGTCTGAGATATGATGAATGCACATGCAAAATTTGGAGCAGATTCAACCTTGCTTTTGTGAGATATTGCTCAAAATACGAAAGTGTCTAAGAGACAAACAGAAAAATACCTATCATCATACTTTTCGATCAAGATCGATATGTAATGATTACAAGTGTCTGGTAAAGTAATCAGACCAAAACATTCACAGCTGTGTTGTGCAAACATCCAAAGAAAATTACATTCATATTTATATACTTCACTCACTTGGATTCTGTGCTTTTAGCTCTTCGACTTCAGGGTAATAACTCCGATACGAGAATGCAAGACCAGCATAAGTAACCCAGCAAGCTGCGAGTATGAAGAACATTGCTAGTCCCAAAATCTCTCTGTCGTTTGCAAAAATCCATGCCACAGATGTTGACCAGCTCAGACACCAGAATATCAGGGCTACCTGATTAAATAGTAAAATTTGATAATTATCCGAGGAAGGAAGAAAGAGAGAGAGAGAGATAATGACCTATTTCCGGATATATCATCAAAGTACACATTGCAGGGAAAAAATAAACAATATTCCTAAAATATAATCGGAGAGGCGGGCAGGACTTCGACAAGGTCGAATGACCCCTTAAGAAAGGAGAAGAAAAGCTGACAATAAAGCTCACCAGTAATCATAAAGAATACCTGATATATTAAAAAATGTTTCTTTTTTTTTTGGTTTTCCTTATTTATTCAACTTATTTTGAGGTGCCAAACTCTATATGATAATGGGATAAATAATACGTTTACTTCATTTAGCTCGCGTTGTGGCGCATCGTGCTAAGCGTTAAAAAATATGCTCGCCACAGTGCCTCTGATTACCCTGCTTGGGTTTGCAGGTTCAAATCATGAGAGGAGAAAATTATATATGGGAGGATTGTTGGACTACTCGACTATGTAAGGTGGTCTCCACCACCAAGTCCGTGCATCTGAAACAAATAACTAGCTAACTAATCACATACAGGATTGGATTTACATATTTATCCCGGGGGAGAGGAAAGCCGATAAGACGACTTATCCATATGGCGAACCACGACCTCTCGTCCGGTAACCATTCCAAGTCGGGTATGGGATTAGTCATATTGTTTGTTTTCGGAAGCATGGACTTGGTGGTGGAGGAAACCGTAACCGACCAGCGGTTACGTGAACCACCCAACGACAGCGAGGAGTCCAGCAATCCTCTCGCACATAACCATCCCTGCATGGGATTCGAACCTGCGAACCCACGCAGAGTAGTTAGAGGTGCGGTGGCGAGCGTATTCCTAACGCTTAGCCCGTTGAGCCACACCGCCGCGCCAGACTCAACATGGACTGGTTATTGGACGAGAGTCGTGGTTCGCCATATAATTAAGCCATCTTATCGCCTTTCCTCTCCCCCAGGATAAATATGTAAAATCCTACTCCTATAAAATCTCTCTCTTTACTTACTGGAGGAATCAAAGGCTTTTCTCTCACTGTTGGACTATCCTCTTTCTTGAGGCAGAGAGCTACAATCATGTAAAATGCACCAATTGCATTCCAGAGATAAATAATCGGCCAAATGACACCAAAAGTCCAGTTTGCCGGTTGAATATTGCTCTCATATTTGTCTGATAACTCTCTAATTGTGTTGAGATATAACCCTTAAAATAAAGTTTAAAAACTGATTTTTTAGATGAAAATAGGTTTTTTAAAAGTTGTATTTTTGTTTTAAATAGCATCACATTCACGGAGTCCAATTTATTCCAAGTTTAGTCAAGTTTATTTTTTCCAACCAGCAAAAAACAATCGCATAAAAAATTCAGAAATAGAGAGATTATCATAGAATTTTACCCAGGAAGGGAAGTTGCGAGAAACCAAATCTGGTTATCGAGGAGCGACACACAAGGTTCTAATATCTAATAAGAAAAAGATTGGGAAGTTTATTTACGAAACTAACGTTATTGTCGATGAGCACCGTATCATTTCGCCGAATTATATAACTAACATATATTTCTAGAGATTATCTTCAAGAGCAATCAGATCGCAGACAGACGGGGAATTTCCCGATTCAAAAACAGCTTCCAACATTTGATTGATTGGCCTGTGATGATGATTTATACAGTGCATTACCAGTAAGTTGCATCGTTGATCGCGGATTTTAAGAAACATGCCCATAACTGAAATGTTTTGCTTTAACAATCCACTCATGGAACATATTTGGTAATATTTTGTTTTCCAAAAATGCTGCTTTTTTTCCTAAAATATTTTTGAAGTGTTTTGGTGTTTCTAACCAGAATGAGCAGGATTTTTAGATGTCACTGCCTGAAGACCTGCTGAGGTCCCTCGCGACTCCTGTCACACAACTTAAGTTAGATTCCTATTGTGTTTGATCGGTATTTTTCTCATGATACGTTTTATTTGTGCTGACGGATAAATGACGATTGATTGACATAAACAGGACAGGACATATTACTTACCTCCAAAAGCAGTCTCATTTGTCTCGTTTTTATTCCCACCCATTCCAGAGAGTGAATTAAGGTAGGAGAATATGAGTGAAACTATATACACCACGAAGGCTAGGATAGTCATCATGTACTTGAGCGTGGAACTCTCCATCTTGGAAGAAGATTAACCAATATTTTGTTTGAATATCTAATTAAATTCTGTGAAAAATATCGTATGAAAGTAAAATAGAACATCCAAATAATTTCGCCTGATATTATGTTAATAACAATTAAAGGTGCTCCCGAAGTATGAGAACCAAGATGGCGGACATTGGAACGTAACAGGTTAGAGTTAGGCGATAATTTTTTTCCAATTTTCCTCATTTTAGTCCTATTATCAGTTCGAAGACTAGCCAAGAGCCTCCCGTAGTATTTATACTTAAAATTATGGCCTAACCCTAACCTAGTACACATATTACATTCCGATGTCCGCCATCTTGGTTCGCATACTTCGGGAGCCCCCAATTAAAAATCCTAATTTCATAGTAATAGCAATTGTGAGTTTAAATAAATTTTATTGCATGATAAATGATAACTACAATCACAATATGAACTATTAATAAACAAAAACAAAGAAATTTTCAACTGTTATATAGGTTGTCCATAGAGACTTGAAATTTTTCAAAATTGCAAAGGGGATTTATCGATACCATATATTGTTTTTGTTTATGTATTAAATGAATTAAAAATACTTGAACAATTACTGATTAAAAAGCAACAAACCTGGTTAAGATATATTGACAAGTAACTGACACCCTGTATTACTATAAAATCGGGCGTAATTTTCTGGACACCCGGTATATAGTGGCAGGACATAGCTTGGCACTGGTATGAGGTTAGTTGTAGGTACGGGTATGCTTTTGCAAGGAACAATTGAGGAGAATGTATAAAAAATATTCAAAATGAATGAAAAATATTAATATCAAGGATTCTTATACGCTGCCACTTGTTATGGTAGGAAAGTTAGCTGTAATATACGTAATATATTTAAATACAAAAATTGTAAAACTTTTTGCAATACGAGATATAAACAATATAGACAATGTTGGTATTTGTAGTCAATTAGTAAGCATAAAAAGGCAATAAAAAAAAATGTATAGCAATAATAAAAAATACAAGGGTAAGATACAAACTAACCATACTGTTTCATCCCAACACACCAGTGTCCCCGTGTCCATGGGGCATTGGCCCCTTAACAAAATCCTGGGTACGCAACCGCCCCACCCTGTTTTACCCCAAAATACCAGCGTTCCCATACCCATGGGGCATTGGCTCTTAACAAAATCAGGCGCTCCCATAGTACATGCAACAAGATGGCAGACACCTGAACATAGTATTGTACCAGGTTGGGATTAGGCCATAATTTGATTCCAATTTTTCATATTTTAGATTTGTTACGAGTTCAGGAACTAGCCAAGTGACTCCCGTAGTTTTTTCACCTGAAATTATACCCTAACCCGAATCTGATACACATACTACGTTCCGGTGCCCGCCATCTTGTTGCACATACTACGAGAGAATCCAAAATCAATCTTACTTAAGCAGATCAGATCATAAAATTAGTGTGGAACAATATAAAGATGGTATGCAAAATGGAAAAGATATAAATGAAAAACTATTGCAATATGAAGTATAAGCAATATATATATAATGTTAGTATGTGTAGTTAGAGGCGTATCTAGGGTGTGGCAGTCATGGGCGCCATGAGGACAAGAGCTCATAAATAGCGAAAAGTTGAAATCGTTAAAATGTTGCAATAAAATGTTTTAAAATTGGAAACACTGAAACTTGTATTTTTCTTCAAATAATAACGTACAAGTATCAATTTCAACAACAGTCGTTAAAATTGTCAATCAATGATCATTTTCAAACTTTGCCATGGACGCCCTTTCATGTAGATACGCCACTGTGTGTATTCGATTAGCAAGCATATATGAATTTTGAAGCAATAATGGAAATGTGTCCAGCAAGTATTTAAATGTGTATATAAATGTAGAACAATATTAATCATGATCAGAATATTTGCTTACGCCTATTTTTGTGAGCAAATATATGTTTATTTTGAGCCCTACACATTACTTCAAGCATATCGAGTCTTGCGATAATCGCAAAAATCAAGGTAACAAGGGTATTTACAAGATACAAATAGATATCCATTTAGAGTCCTGCAAATTAGCTCAAGCATATCGAGCAAAAATCAAAGCAACAAGAGTAATAACTGGATACGAAAATTTTGAGCTCAGCAAATTACTTCAAGCATATCAGGTCTTATAACTATGCCTGTAGATAACAGCCCAAGGTTCATTTCTAGCTCTGCAAATCACTTCAAGCATATCGGGTCCTGTGTCTATGCCTATGAATAACAAGCACGATTCGTGCAATAAAAGCAAAAATCGCCAAAATTAGGGCTGCGAGAGTAATGGCGAGATTCCTGGAGAAAGGGGAGACATAATTTTGTGAAAAAACACCGCTTAGAGCAAATATAAGAGTTGGATAGATCGATAGCGTGTAACGACAATACGGCTCGAAAACGAAGTTCTCCAAGACAAACCATAGCACAAGTTCGAAAAGTAAGATTGAGAGCCCGATTGTACCGGCATCTTCTGATGTAATTGACCCTGGTAGAATTAAGATAAAGTATGATCAGGTTTTAATAAGGGGTTATAATTTTTTCATTTGGGGAGGAGGGGGGTGAATAACACAAAAAGGCAATGATGATTGGGTGAGTACTATATTTCTGAAAACTTGTTACACTCTAAACCAGTGAATTTTAACTCCTGGGCTGTACTGGCGAAACCTTAGGGTGCCATGGAACCCCTGTTGAAAACCATTGTCATAGCATGAAACAAGGGTGCGTAACTTGCGGCCCGCGGGTCAAATGCGACCCACAAGGAAAAATTCTGCGACCCACGCAAAAATGCCAATTTTGAATAGTGTGTGGACGTGAAACAAGCTTTTGATTTAGTCCATTCTGGTACTTGCAAGTAAGTCCAATCCCTTTGTGTTGCAAACCCTTTTACTAAGTCCAATGATGTCACAATGCCCTAACAGCTAGCAAGTTTGTGCTGAGCAAAGAATTCATTTCATAATAACTCATAGACTCATAGAAAGCCTATGTTAAATAAAGGTGCTGCCAGCGGTTTCACCCAGGTATTTGTGTCTGGCCCTTCTGCATTAAAGGTTACACACCCCCTGGCATAAAGAAAACAAAGCATACCATTAAGTGCAGCGGGAATCTCGTCAGATGGTGAGCTATCCTTGTAAGTAATTGTAACAGCGAGAGTTATCTTCCAAGCACACGTCAGCCAAGCAGCCAGAATGGCAAATCCGTTATGGATAATGATACGAACTAACAGGAGCATCTCTAAAAAAATATTAATCGTTCAATATAAAGCCGCTCTTTGGTTGCTACAACCTACACTGCCACCGTGGGCGCTAATTCTAGGTGTTGATTATTATAAAATGTAATCATGCATGTGCTTTTATTCGGTATAAAAAAGACTCGTGAAAAAAAGTTGATTGTGATTGAGATTGAAGGTAAATAAGAGCAAATTAAGTTTTGTTCATTATTCCCCTCTACACACATTGGCCATGCAACAGTTAAGGCCGCTCAGATTCCATATCTACTGTATACTTTCTATTATGCTTAGGCGTGAGAGATTGCTACCAGGTTTATTATGAACTTTCGAAAAGCAAACGATATGAGCTCAGCCAATATTTTGAATGTCTATACCCCAGGGGTGGGCAAGATTTTTGAACCAGGGGCCAAAAATTTAGCCCATTCAGACTGGCGGGCCATGTAAGTGTGACATAAAAGTTACATTTTATGAACAATATTTGCAGTGTTACAAAAGCAAAGGTGGAAAACAATAAGCCTCGTGCCAAAACTAAATTTAACCGCAATCTCAACAAATTCCTTGAGTTATTTTCAGCTAAAACATCAAAATTTGGTTTTGGCGGCATCAGGCGGGCCAGATTGAATACCCACGGGCGGGTTTTGCCCGCAGGCCGTGGTTTGCCCAAGTCAAGTCTATACAGTCAAACTTGATCATGGCAATCTTCGCCCAAGCTGTTAGCAAGTCCTCCCCATTCTTCCAATTTTCAGCTAAAGGACCAAGATCTTTTAAACCAGTAAAAGAACTAACATATTGTTTTTGACCTGTCAGTGGTGGCGTACAATCAATCAGTAATTTATTTCTTCACCATACTTAAAATATGAGCTATACATACACAAATTAAAGGAAATATGAAAAATCGCATTTCAGGGTGAAAGAAGTCGCCGAAAACCAATATTGGTTATCGAGCGGTACCCTTGGCGAAGTCTAACAGAATGTGATAAATAGAATGAGATCCTATATCTTTTCTAGATTTCTTCACCATCAAGTCCGTGTTTCTGAAACAAATAACTGGGTAACTAATTCCATACCCGACATGGGCTGGTAATCAGAGAAGACGCCGTGGTTCGCTATATGATTAGGTCGTCTTATTGCCTTTCCCCTCCTCCAGAATAAATATGCAAACCCTATCCTAGGTGAGATATTTTAACTCACCGGTATTGCAAACTTGGGTACATAAACAATAAAATTATTTCACTACTTACTATGGCTATGTTCTTCCAAGATGAGAATATCTGAGTAGTAACTCCTGTAGGAGAGACCCAACGTGGCATACGTTGACCAGGCTGCTACCAGGATTAGAAACATTGACAGACCCAATAGTTCTCTGTCAAAAGCAAATATCCATCCCATAGAACAACCCCAACTTAGACACCAGAAAATTAGAGATTCCTTAAAAATGATTGAAAGTTTTAGAGATTTTATAAACAGGCTCTAATCAAGCACATATGTATGTGGGAAAATACTATGCTTATGCGGTGTGGCGCATCGTGCTAAGCATTAGGAATATCCATCCCCCATAGCCATCACAACTCTGATTATTTACTCTGATGGTTTATGTAAACGCTGGTCTGTGTAAGGTTACGGCTTTCTCCACCATCAAGTCCATGCTTCTGAAAACAAATAACTGGCTAACTAATCTCATAACCGACATGGAATGGTAACCGAACGAGAGGCCATGGTTCGTCATATGGTTAAGCCACTATATCATCTTCTCCTATCCTTATTATAAAAATCTTATCGCTATACTTACAACAGGAAACATTGACGGCTCTCTCAAAATCGGGCTCCGATCTTTCGGCAAACACAACGAAGCCAACAAATAGAAAATCCCAACGGTATTCCATAGAAAAATTATCGGCCATATGACAACAAACACCCATGGTGCTGGCTGGATTGCAGTTGGATATCGGGTTGCGAGATCCGGAATTGTATTAATGAAGATGTCTAAACAAAAATAAGAGGAAATTGCAAATCGAAATATTGTATCTACCAATAAGGGTTATGCCACACTAATTCCAAATCTTTCCTCAATTCCTTTGTGCTATAAATCCGTATGCATTTAATGCAAGAATGCTGTAGCAGGAGTAAACATACCATAATATGCAATTCAAGAGTCTTGCTGCACACTAACACAAATGTATTTCTCTAACATTTCGTCTAACCGACATCAGACTTCTTCAGACAGACAGTAGCGAACTATGTATGTCTGGGGAAGTCTTAATTTGACCAGACGAAATGTTAGAGAGATATCTTTGTGTTCGTGTGCAGCAAGACTATTGAATCACTATACTGATCACTATACCCATTAGAAAAAAGAGAAACTCCAGAAGTATGTGTACCAATATGGAGTTAACTAATTTTGTTCGCCTACTTTACATCAAGTTGTGTAAAGGGACTGAAACGTATGGACGGGGGGTATATTCACTTGGCTAATACAAACAGTCCTCGAATTTGTGAAAGAACTAAAATAAGGAAAATCAGAATGAAATTATGGCCTAACCCTAACCTGGTACACATACTACGGGAGTACCAAGAAAAGATATCACTCACCAGTTGCTGCATTTAGAGTTGCATTTCCTTTTTCCACTCCAACGGGCACGTTCCCCAGAAATGAAAACACAAATGAGATCGCAAACACTACAAATGCAATGACAGTGGACGCAATTTTCACCGCCCGCGAAGTCAGGGCTTTCATTTTTATGGTCCCGGGATGATGTAGAGTGCTGGTAACTAGGTAATATTTTAATATCTGTTTTAAAAGTTTTATTTGAGATATCTGAAAAAAAATTTGGAATAATGAGGAATTATATATAATAGATGCTAATTTGTGATTTGCTAATTTCTGTGCTCTGTTCTTGAAAGCCTATTCTAATTATTATAAAAAATCAGCAAAAAAATTCGATTTATAAAAAATCATCAAAGCATAATGAGTAAAATTTGTCTTTAATTTAAAACACTCCATTTGCAGGTAATTAAATGCTATTCTAATATTATCCGACATCAAATTTAATGAATGGAAAAATAACGAGTATAAACTTGTGATTCGATTTTAAAAGTAACTAGTTACTGTTCCATCATAAAATCTACACGAGAAAGATGGTGAAAGAAACACAGTATATAAAATCAGACTAGCTATTGTTTTAATTATTACAGGAAATCTGCAAAAAAAATTGAATTCATAAAAAATTATATTGGTAAAATGCGTAAAAATTTGCGATTTATTATAAAATTACACAACTATTATGCAATTAAAAAAAAGTCATTGAATGAGAAATTGATAATAATGAGAGCAAATTTACAGAATTTAGATGTAGACTACTCAGTCACAATTTAACACAACCTAATCTATTTTTTCCACCTTCGTCCCCCCCCCCTCCCTCACAGGCTTCTTTAACATGAAGTTTTGATTTTCTGTCGTATTTGAATTGCTTAAAACTACAACTTTGACACTACATGGTTCAAAAAGGCTGTATTGACCTGTCGCGCATCAATGATTCTTAATCGTGCGGTGGGGACAGTGAAAATTGGCGGCATATGAACTTGACTGTTAGGGTGAGACCACTTCGACCAGTCATGCATAAATGAATAATAATGTTGGAATGGTTAGAATAGTATTGAAGTAGACTAGAGCGCTTAAGATTCAAAAATGAAGCACCGGTTTATAAGAATTGAAGAAATTGCATTTTGATTACACAAAAATATATGAATTTGATAATAAACTGCAGGTACAGTGAGCAAAGCATAATATAATTAGCAAAATTTAGGAACGAAGAGCGATTTCATTTATTCCTAGAGGAGAGGGGAAAGCTGGTAAGATGGCTTAATAATATGGCACACCACGTCCTCTCGTCCGATTACCAGTCCATGTCGGTTATGGGATCAGGTAGCCTTTTATTTGTTTCAGACTTGATAGTGGAGGAAGCCATGCGCAATTACTAGCGAAAACAGGTTTATTTAGCAAAGTTTAGGATAAAATAGGGTTTTCATTTATTATTATATCTTGAAGAGAGGAAAGTTGATAAGGCAACTTGGTCATATGCAAAACCAGATTACCAGTCCATGTCAAAGGTAATAATAATTTACCAGTTATATGATTCAGATGGAAAAACTTGGGACAAATTCTGAATCTATAGGAATGGGAAAAAGCGGTGATTTAGAAGACACGTCCATATTTAATTACCAAAAATTTGACACAATATTTTCAAAAAAGGCATTGAGGAATATTTCACGTTAAAACGTAGATGCAGTGAAGTAATCACATATCAAGATAGACCAGATAAATATAAGAAAGTTGATTTTACAACAGTAAAAAAAACAAAGTAGTACCAAAGGACAAATTTAAATGTATCAAAGTATTACTAATATTCATGACTTATGTGGCATAATTGTAATGCATATCCATGCACACATTATATTCAAACCATAGACATAGCCAGGGAGAACCTGATGGTACAAGTATCGAAATATTAAACATTTTATTTTTAATGCCATTTTGCAGCATTTGCAGTGAGATTTAATTTCCACACCCTTGTTGCTCTTGATCGAAACTGTTCAAAACAGTGCAAGTTGCACGAATTACTAGCTGATATTCGATAAAAAATTGAACACAAATTGAGTTTAAGTGAGAACAGAATTATAGTTTCGAAATAAGTAAAGCGGGGAATGTAACAAAAAAAGGCTGGGGAACACTGAACTAACAGATTCTTCTTGCATTTATAAATGGGTTTACATTTTGTCCATTTTAATGATCTCTTCTTGACTCCTGTATTTATCCAGACGTGGTCGATTTTTATGCCTGATGTATACGAGCACTACTCTCACAACGAATGCTATAATCACGAAAATCAGGCCAACAAGGGTTAAGATCAGATTTCTGCTGAACGGCACGACGTAGTCATTTGAGAAGGTCCCACTCAATGCGAAGATAAGCGCAGGGTAGATACTGAGAGTGTATCGGCAATACGGTTCAAAAACGAAGTTTTCAAGAACGAACCAAACGATTAGTTCGACAAGAAGTATAGAGAGCGCAATAGTTCCAGCGTCTTCAACAGTAAGAGAACCTGTTAAAATAAGATTGTTATTTATTTATGGATCTCGGACGAGAGAAATGCCGATAAGACGACTTAATCATATGACGAACCATAGTCTGCACGACATTCAAACGTGCAAGCATAGGTGTGTTTTGGACCACAAGTAGGGATGCCAAGATTTTCATCAATGCATTTATTGGTGATATCTATGACCTACATCTTTTTTTATCATGATGGAAATGAGTGTGGCTTATTAACTGAAAACCCCTTATCATCCTTGCTATATTGCATATTCCATTTTTCTTTCAAGTATTTTTCTTCTAGTCGTTCCAGATTTGAGCTTTTTTGTGATTTTGAGCAAACATACGCATGCAATAAAAAAAGGCTTAATAGAATCAGATTCGGAAAGATTCGATTCGAAAATTTTTGATTCGAGATACGATTCGAAAAAAAAAATGTATCCAGAAGTGGCAACCCTAGCCACAAGATTTTAAAAAGCCGCAATTTACGACCTACGACCGGACATGCTGGCTAGTACAGTGTAACTCTTCAATCATAAATTTCGGAACCGCCACATTTTGCAATTCATGGCTACGCCCCTGCAAATTAATTTATTTGAAATTAACATTGTCATCAAAATGAGGATAGGATTTACATATTTATCCCGGGGGAGAGGAAAGCCGATAAGACGGCTTATCCATTTGGCGAACCACGGCCTCTCGTCCAGTTACCATTCCAAGTCGGGTATGGGATTAGATTTACTATATTGTTTGTTTTCGGAAGCATGGACTTGGTGGTGGAGGAAGCCGTAACCGACCAGCGGTTACGTGAACCACCCAACGACAGCGAGGAGTCCAGCAATCCTCTCGCACATAACCATCCCTGCATGGGATTCGAACCTGCGAACCCACGCAGAGTAATAGAGGTGGGGTGGCGAGCGTATTCCTAATGCTTAGCCCGTTGAGCCACACCGCCGCGCCAGATGAGACCTAGAGTACCTAGTAGAACTTTGTTTGAGCCCAAAAGAAACGCTGCAAGACCCCCTAAGGGGGCCGAGGATCCAGCTCGAAAAACCCTGCTACAGACATACAAACATTCAGAGATTTATTTTCGTCATGCAAGAATCAATTCAAATCAAAAGAAAAACATAGCAAACTAAAGAACGGGAAACATCGATTCATAGCAATTAACGTGAGAGACTCAGTGAGTCATCCAGTCAGCGATACCAAATGTTGTAATATAGCAGCAAATATAGCAATGAAGCAATCTGATGAAAAAATTATCTCCAAATCACACAATCATGGGAAAACAACACAACAATAAATTTGAAATAGATTAGACAACAGGAACAACCATTACGATTCATCCAGAATAGATAGCTTCTAATACAGAAGCTGTTTAGTTATGCATTCTTAGTTCTTACTTACTTCTTAAATTAGCGGGATAGTTGTCAGTTCCTCGGCTATCTTCATATGCAATGACTGTGTGTAGCATCACTTTCCAAGCTACCGTTAACCATGCAGCCAAGATTGCATACCCATTATGAATTATGATGCGGACAAGCCACAACATTCCTGAAAAAAATAAAAGTTTGTTATGCTTTTTATATTTTAAAAGAAAATGCTACAAGCGAAGTCACCCTCAGATTCAAAGAAGACTCATCTCTAGCTAATTTAACAGGTGACCACTGGAATGCCAAAATGTACTAAAACTATGCAGAATCATGGCAGTGCACTTTCTATTTGAAAGGAATTTGCCTAAACAAGGGGTCACACACATTAAATGAAATAAAATGAGCCATAATGGAAAGACTCTAAAATGCCAAGAGCTACACTCACTCAGAATGAAATGAGACTCAAATTTCTTAGCAGAGTTACATGCACTTATAAATTCAGAAGTAAAGAAGACTCATCTCTTAACAACGTTACGGATACTCACTCGAAAGTGAAGGAGACTCATCTCTGAGCAAAATTACAGGTAGTCACTCAAAAGTAAATGAAACTCATTTTTAAGCAACGTTACAGCCAATCAGTCAGAAGGCGCGGCGGTGTGGCTCAACGGGCTAAGCGTTAGGAATAAGCTCGCCACCGCACCTCTAATTACTCTGCGTGGGTTCGCAGGTTCGAATCTCATGCAGGAATGATTATGTGCGAGAGGATTGCTGGACTCCTCGCCGTCGTTGGGTGGTTCACGTAACCGCTGGTCGGTTACGGCTTCCTCCACCACCAAGTCCATGCTTCCGAAAACAAAACAATATAACTAATCCCATACCCGACTTGGAATGGTAACCGGACGAGAGGACGTGGTTCGCCATATGGATAAGCCGTCTTATCGCCTTTCCTCTCGCCTGGGATAAATATGTAAATCCCCCTAAATCCTAAGTAAAGAAGACTCATCTCTGAGCAAATCCACACCCACCCACTTAGAAGTAAACAAGATCTATCTTTTAGCAAAGTTATGGGTACTCATTTAAAAGTAAACGAAACCATCTCTGAGAAAAGTAACATTCACTCACTCAAAGGTAAACAACACAAGCCATTATCTAAATAGGCAAACTTATGTATTCAGTAACTGTACTCACTTGAGTCATGTTCTTCCAGAATCATAGTATCCTTGTAATAACTGGCGTATGAAAATCCCAACGTAGCGTAAGTTGATAAAGCAGATGCCAGAATCAGGAACATAGACAACCATAGGATTTCTCTGTCGTAAGCAAATAGCCAACCCATGGAACAACCCCAGCTTAGACTCCAGAAGATGAGAGAGAACTGGAAAACAGAGTTGCAATATTAGTTGACTATCAGCAGCACAGTCAGTAAATGCTTGCAAAACACTGTGGCACATCGTGCTAAGCGATAGGAATACACTCGCCACCCGTTGATTACTCTGCATGCAGGCGCGCAGCCAGAATTTTCAAAAGGGGGGGTTTCATAATCATAAATTCCCATTGCGGTCTGTAACAGTCTTCGCATTACGCGCTCCTTAAAGGGACGTCTTTTCAGCGTATAATGATTATTCCTGTCGCGTGAAATATTCAATCTCTGGCAACTACAAAATTCTAAAATGTCTTTATATATTAGTTTAATTGTGTCCAACGTAACTCGCGGTTGCTTCTTCTTACGTCAAAATTTAAACATTAGTTCTCTGAAATGCCACGGCGATCGGTGGACATAAAAATATGAGATAAACGGTGTATTTAATTTTAATACAGATTTTTGGAAACTCGTTATCGCCGTTAGAAAAATTTCAATAACTGATATAAAATCCCGAAAAGTACAATGAAAATGCATATGAAGTATATCGTTAAATCAAAAATACATATTCATCGCTGCGAATACGCCACTTGTTGAAAAAGCCAATGTTCACAACGAAAAATGATTTTTCTGTTGTGCAAAGTAATCAATTCGTGACCGATAAGGGCATATTTAAAATTTCTTGCTTTATTAATTTAATTGTCTTCAATTTAACCAGCCTTTGCGTCGACAAAACGAAACAATTTTTACAATTCACAATTTTAAAATACCTCGGCCATTTGCCGATATAAAAATAAAAATTTGTGGTAACTGCCCGTCGCCTATCATATATTGTTTTGATCGGTATTTTTTTATTTTGCAAATTCGCTAAATTTGAGATGTGCTTGTAACATTGACTCCGTTCAATCGCAATGCTGACACTCCGATTATTTTTAAATATAAAACCTTCTGAAAAATCCGTAAATCTGCAGTAAATTCTCATGGAGTAAAATTTATTTCAGTACAATAAAAATTGATGGATATACTTCGGATTAATTATCTTATATATCATCACAAACCGGGGAAAAATCGCGTTTTCAACCTTGTTTTATGATAACACGAAAATTTTCTACGACAATTTTAAAGTAATGGATAAAAGGCAAATCCCACCCACAATTAACCGTGTTCCGCTTTTAGTGACGGTATGTTCTTAAACGGCGACCAAACATAATGTGCGCCGTAGGCACACAAAATTTTGCGATTTTGCGACTAGAAAAGCGTTTTTAGACTGTCGCGGGACTCAACAAAACTTATATTGCTTACGGTTTTATTTTCAGTATTTTATAATGCCGCTTTTCAATCAAATTTAGATCGCGGTTTTACTCCTTCTTTTGTCTTTAGAACCTCGCCACCGATGAACGCATAATAACTCACGAATTCACAATTCCGTGCAAAGTACAAAAATAAAATAATTATCATGTTTATCCTGGCACAAATCTATGATTTAGAAAGAATAAAAAACGACGTAAGGGCCTTTACGGCCTAAATAACACGCTGATGAAAACATGGGTGATTTTAGCAGAAGGCAATTGCACGCTTTTTCAGTTTTCACATTTCCGTTCGGGTACAAAAATAAAATAATTATCATTGTTCCCGCGGCACAAATATGTGATTTAAAGAGAATAAACACCAATGTAAAGGGCGTTCACGGCATAAATAACATGCCGCGTTGATGAAAACGAACGGCGATTATAGCAGAAGGCAATTGCACGTGTTATCGGCAACTTTTTCACTTTTCAGAAAATTCAAAAGGGGGGGTTTGACCCCGAAACCCCCCCTGGCTGCGCTACTGCCTGCATGGGTTCGCAGGTTTGAATCTCATGCTGGGTTATGTGTGAGAGGATTGCTGGACTCCTCGCCGCTGTAGGGTGGTTCACGTAACCGCTGGTTGGTTATGGCTTCCTCCACCATCAAGTCCATGTTTCCCAAAACAAATTACTGGCTAACAAATCACATACCAGACATTGACTGGTAACCGGACGGAAGGCCGTGGTTCACCATATACCGTCTTATCGGCTTTTCTCTCCCCCAGCAAAAATCTGTGTATTCTAGTCTCTTCTATGTAAGCCAGTTTGTAATTGCCAAGTCCAGAAAACACTTTCAAAATGAAATGGAAAATTTGGCAATGACAAAATATAGGTAGAATCTATCTGGAGTCAAGGGTTAGGGCCATGGGTTTCCACCTACGTGCAATTTTATTCAAGTAGTGCCCTACTCAAAGCCTCGCTCTGGGAAAAAATAAAAACAGAACAAAATCTTACCACAGGGAACATTGCTGGTTCTCTCAGAATAGGGCTCTTTTTCTTCGTAAAAAAGAGTGACGCCAGCATATATATAATTCCAACTGTGTTCCACAAATAAATCAATGGCCAAATGATGATGAAAACAAAATCTGCCGGACCAAACGAAGATGGGTAACGAGCATTCAGGTCAGTGACAGTGTTGATGAATATATCTGAGAAGTGAGATTAGTTTGATGAGACGGCAATGAATGCCGGGGAAAATTTATTGAAGCATGATAGGCATATTATGTAAGCATTAGTGCTGGGTATTTTCCCACATGATACCAGAATCAAATTGAATATATTTTTTTAATCGAATCTTAAATACTTAAAAGATAAGATGTAATTGTATGTGATGTACTGATGTTCTTACGGTAACGGGTCCTCCAGACACATATATTACTCAAAACATAGAATCCATCACACGTTCGCTGAGTGTTCACACACAATAAGAAGTATGTTTAGTTACGATAATAAATTACAAGAACGGAAAGAGTCATATGTCGGAAATGTATTTCAAAAATACGGCTTCAAAAAAAATTAAGGGATACGACTTGACCTACAGGTAACAAAAAGAAGCAAGATAGAGGCGATTCGAAATTCTTGTGTGAACTGATTCGCATAACTTATAAGTTATAATTTGACATAAGCATTAGTACCTCTCTTGCATCTCTGATTACCACGCTTTGATTTGCAGGTTTGAATCCGATTTGGAAGAATTATATGTAAGAGAATTGCTAGACAAAGGGTGTCTGTTGTAGGGAGGCTCTCATATCGAAAAGTAAATTGAAATTTAAAGTGGAATATTTACTTTTAAGACACCCTGTATGTAATGAAATATTCAGAAATAAATATTTGGTGCTCCAGGAGTATGCGCATCAAGATGTCGCGCAACCTGAATCCTACCGGTACACACGAACTATGTTTAGGTTGTGCGCCATTTTGGTGCGCATACCCCTGGAGCACCAAATATTTTTTATCTAACTACTTACTCGAGGCACCATTTTTAGTTGAGTTCCCATCCTGGAAGCCAGTCGGTACATTGTTCAAAAATGCGAAGACAAATGACAGAGCGAAGACCAAAAATCCAATAATGGTGAACGTGATCTTCACTACGGGAGAAAATTCTTTCATTTTGTTGGATTTATTTTGACAATACAGGATGGTAAGAGAAATAGTTTTAAATATTATTCTGTATGGAAAATGTAAAAAAAATTTGGTCAATTGATCAATTCATAAAAGTATGCAAAACAATAAATTGGAAATGTACATGTTTAAATGGGTAATTGTGCCATAGGTTTTTGCCAACACGGGAGACATATAGTACTATTTTTAAATAGTATTCTGTGTAAAAAATGCATTATTGAATTTTTTAAAAAGGATGCAAGACAATAAATCGAAACTTTGACATGTTCGATTGGTAATTATGTTTGTCAACACAGGAGAAAAAAACAACTAGTTTTAAGCATTATTCTGTATAAAAGATTGTATTGTTAAATTTTGGGTTAATTGATATATTGATAAAAGGAGGCAAGACAATACATTGGAAACATTATGTATGTTTGAATAGGTAGTTGTGACATAGGTTTTTGCCAATAAGGGAGAGATATTATACTAATTTTAAATATTAATATGTGTAAAAAATGTACTGTTTAGAAAATTGAGAAAATTTTAGAAATATCCAATTGGAAACGTCAAGCATGTTTGAAAAGATAATTATGACATGAAGTTCTTGCCAACACAGCAGGAAAAATAACTATTATTCACATATTATTTTGAGTAAAAAAGCATTATTTCAAATTCAATGCACTAAGATGCCGAGAGTCTTTGATCAATGGTGGCTTGAATGTGACAGATGAGGTATATTTTTTGCAAAAATAAAAACATAATTTTGTCAAATTTTTGGGATATGAACAAATAGGAATAGGAAAAAAATAGGGAACATTTGACATGTTGAAAAAGATGAATATGTCCATGCATTAATTTTAAACGAATATTTTTTTGAATTTTTTAAAAATCGCATAAAAGCATGCAAGACAAAATAGGGATGGCAGTGAAATATTATACTAGTGTCGGCATGGCCTTAGCCAAGAATTTTGAAACAGGGGAGTTCTGAAAATTGTCAAGTTAAATCGTAACAGGTAGTGGTCTAATTGGAAAAAATTGGGATTTCAACCCTCAAAGTCTCACATATGTTTTAAAAAGTCATTCTTCCAATAATTGTGTTTATTTCGAACAATTGGGAACACTTAAGAAAAGGGAAATTTGGACACCACATATTAAAAAAATTTACAAAATTCATGAATTCATAAAATGTAATTTGTTTAAAAAATTGTGTTAAATTCAGAACAAAAAATAGGGAACATTCGACATGTTAAAAAAGATAAATATGTCATATGTTTTTGCCCACACATTAGTTTTAAAGGAATAGTTTGTATTATTTTGTAATATTTGTTAAACTGTTTTAAAAAATCATTTTTCCAAGAATTGTGTTTAATTCGAACAATTGGGAAAAAAGAGGGAAATTGGACACCACATATAAAAAAAAATTCCTCTCAAATTTAATCCTCAAAGTCTCACTCCAATATGTTTTAAAAAGTCATTCTTCCAAGAATTGTGTTTAATTCGAACAATTGGGAACTCTTAAAATAGGGGGAAATTGGACACCACATATTGAAAAAATTTGCAAAATTATGAATTCATAAAAAGTGATTTGATTAAAAATTGTGTTAGAAATCCAGAACACTTTTGCAATAAAAATAAGTTGAACACTCTGAGTAATATAGTTCTGAAACAAAAACTACCAAATTCCGATATTGTTGTAAAAATTCAGGAAAATGGGAACAGTCTTGCAATAAAAATAACATAAGCAATATCCAAGAATTAAAAACATCTTTAATCCACAATATTTTGCTTGAAATTTGAAAAAATGGGAAAGAATTTAAAAGAAATAAAAATATGACAAACTATATGCAATATAAAAGGTAAAATAAATGTTTTAAAGAGATAATTGATCAGGGATATATTTTTATCAAATTATTACAAAAATTAGCACTTTCTATACAAAAAAAATAAAAAAAAATATAAAAAGCTGTAACCCAAATAAAACAGAAAACATGAATCTCAACTTTTTCACAAACTTTAGCCTTTTCATACAGGCGTGAAAGAACTGTAATAGAACTCAAAAGACATAAATTATTACATGTTTTGTTCTTATTAATAAATTTATTAAAACCTGCACTGTTCCTAAAAAAATAACAAAATTTGGCAAATCTTGGCAAAAAATAAATCCTATATATGAAAACAAAAAATATATAAAAAATAAAAAAAATTGACAACTTGCTATCTTGGCAACAATGGCATGATTAAGGATTACCTTTCAAGATATTAAAAGTTTGCACATTAAATCAGTTAAAGATACTGCAATATGTAGATAACTTTGAGGAACAAAAACAATACAATGTCAAGTAAAAAATTATGAAATTTGGAGTTATCAAAATATTCTACACAAATACAAGATTTTAATTTAAGATGGTGGAAATTTTTTTTATTGGGCTCTGCCTATTGCCTCAATTATAACACACTTCTCGGTGATGTGGCGACGAAGTCTTGAAAGGTTCGTCATCAAACCTCTTGCGTGGGTACGGAAGTTAGAATCCTGCGTGGGATAATTACGATATGTGCAAGAGAATTGCTGAACTTCTCACTGCCGTAGGGTGGTTCACGTAACTAACTGCTGATAACTGGACAAGAGCCCGCAGTTTGCCATATTATTAAGCCGTCTTATTGGCTTTTTTCTCCCCAGGATAAATATGTAATTCATATCATTTCCTAAATATTCTCCATTTCTACAACCTCTTCTTTTTTGCTTCTAAAATTTTCCATTTGAGGACGATTTTTATGTCTAAAGTACACTAGTACTACTCTCGCTAGAAAAGCTAAAATCGACAAAATCAAACCGACTAAAGTAATAATCAAATTCCTGCTGTACGGGACGACGTAGTCATTTGAAAACGTTGAACTTAACGCAAAGATTAGCGTCGGGTAGATAGTAACTGTGTAGCGACAATACGGCTCGAATACAAAGTTTTCAAGTACGAACCATAACATAATTTCAAATAGTAAAATCGAAAAAGAAATGGTCCCGGCATCTTCTGGTGTCAGAGAACCTAGATGAAATGAAATTAATCAAATTAAAATTAAATGTTATTTCTTTTAATGATCCAGGGGTGAAGCCAGAAACTTTAAAGGAAGATGAGGTTCTAAAATATTGCCAATTGCCAAAATTTGTAATTGCTCAGTTAGACCGTGTAAGGCAGTGGTTCTTAAAGTATGGGTCGCGACCCAAACATGGGTATTCAGAATGTCGTGTTTGCGACGGACAGCGGACGCCTTTTCTGCTACAATTCGCGACAAGGCACTTGTGCGAGCGAGGATATTTGGCACTGACGGTTATCAAAACTAAGTTCGCAATCGCCTCGATACCCGTGACAACTTGCGTATTGCGTTAAGTAAAATAGAGCTGTGTATTGAAGATATAATGAAAAGGAAATTTCAGTTTCATCAATCTCACTGAGTCAATGGACTGTTTCTAATAAATAGTTGTCTGTATTTGAGTCAAACTGTACTAACATTAAAAACACATTTTGCGTTATTTAGGATTGGGTCGCGAGTATTCATAAAACTCAGATTTGGGTCGCGCTCGAAAAAGTTTAAGAACCGCTGGTATAGCGGGTCCAGAAAAAGTGGGCTTTCAAGAATCGTGAGGGTCTAAAAACCATTTCAAGCTTTAAAAAAATTGCCATGTTAATACAGGGGGGTTCCAACTGGGGGACATAAGCTGGGGAACCTTCGACATTTATGGTTATAAATGAGTGGAATGGGGCTAATGGGAGGATGGGATTTGAACCCCAAATGTACAATCCGTGATGCAAATACAGTTAAGCATAAGTTTACATGAAACGATCACACAGTATTAAATCACCTCTAAAATCTGCAGGGTACTGATCCCCTGCGCCATCCTTATAAGCAATTGTCGTTTGTAGAGTAAGTTTCCAACCAATCGTTAGCCAGGTGGCGAAGATCCCAAGTCCGTTGTGGAAAATGATTCGGACAAGCCACAGCATTGCTGAAAATAAAAATTTAATAAATGTTGAAATGATAAAAATAGCAGTGAAAAAAATAGGGGTACTACCGTAGTATGTGCACCAAGATTACGGACACCTGAACATAGTAAGTGTACCAGGTTAGGGTTAAGACATAATTTATTATCCCAATTTTTCATATTTTAGTTCGATTATGAGTTCGGGGACTAGCCAAGTGACTTGTAGTATTTGTACCTAAAATGATGGGTTACACATACTACCTTCCGGTGTCCGCCATCTTGGTTCCCATACTACAGAAGTAACAAGATAGATAGGATATGTTGTGGTGACATTTAATGAAATGCTCATCCTTCGTCCCATATTTCCAGACTACTGGTTCCATATGTGACACATGTCATACAGATGCCCAAATAATCAAAGAGTTTACAGCCATATTTCCTAACCAGGTAGTTCTTCCCAGAGAAATCTTTTATCATAAATTGGAAATAAATTTTTCTGAGGAAATATTATGCTCAAAACAATGTTACACACACTCGCTCATGGAGTAAGGTTATTGATCTCTCATAACAGCTAGCAGGTCCGGAAATTGTAAGTTTTCAAGAGTCTTGAGAGTCTAAAAAGCTTTCAAGCTACAAAAAATTGCTATGTATGAACAGAAATGTACAGAAAAAGGGGTGCTTCAGAAGTATGCGCACCAAGATGTCGCACAACCTGAATCCTAACCGGTACACACATACTATGTTCAGGATGTGCGCCATCTTGGTGCGCATACTTCTGGAGGTTCGAAAAATGCATATTTTCCTATTTCAAAAAGGGGGACCGACCCTCAATGGCTATAAACTGTTAAAAATACTGAAGAAGTTCAATACTTACTGGAGTTGTGTTCTTCTAGGACTAGTATATCCTTGTAGTAACTTGCGTAGGAGAAACCAAGTGTAGCGTATATTGACCATGCTCCTGCCATGATTAGAAACAACGAAAGCCATAGGATTTCTCTGTCAAAAGCAAATAGCCAGGCAAGTGGAAATCCAAAGCTCAAGCTCCAAAAGACCAAAGAGCCCTGAAAAAAAAATTGAATGAATAAACGAAAATATCGATCAGAGACCGAAGACTTATCGATCGAAAGTTAGGGGATCCCCCAAAACAGCGCTCTTACTCCATAGTGACACCTTGTGTTCCATCACTAATTAATTAATAACTCGCTAATTATACGACATAATTCGCCCAAAATCAATAGGCTTCTGGTCCGAGATAAGATGAATGCACATGCAAAATCTGGAGCAGATTCAATCTCGCTTTCGTGAGATATCGCGTGCATCCAACAGACAAACAGACATACATACAGACAGACAAATACCTATCAATATACTTACCGATTAAAATCGATAAGTAATAAATATTTCCCACTTCATCTTTCAGAACTGCCCTCAGTTTGAGACAGTAGTTGGGCCATTGGATTCAACTATATTAGGATTTATAACAGACATGGGCAAACTACCGCCCATGGGCCAAATCCGGCACGTTGTGTATTTCAATCTGGCCCGCCTGATGCTGCCACAACCAAACTAAAATCTAAATTAAATTTTGATGTTTCAGCTAAAATAGCTCAAGGAATTTGTTGCGATTGCGATTAAATTTATACAGGTTTTTTTTAATGAGTTTTTTCAAAGCAAAAAAGTGAATGCATAAGCAATGGCAAGCGGCCACTAGGATTCTAGAAGCTATTTACAAGCATTTTAGATATAATACAGTACCATAAACAAGAATAAAATGAAATTAAAATCTTACTATTGGAAATAATGCAGGCTCTCTCAGTACAGGACTCTTCTCATTGGATAAGAATAGGGAAGCGACTAAATATGCAGCTCCAATTAGATTCCAAAAGTAAATAAGTGGCCATATCACGACGAGTACATATGCTGGAGGCACGACCGTGACTGGATAACGAACGTCTAAGTCAGCTATGGTGTTGATGAATATATCTGTAAATATAGTGTATGAAGTTGATGAAGACAAGATTATGTTTTCTAATATTATCTCGGGCGGCAGTTCAAAAACCGAAACCTCCGGGCCTTGATGATTTAATATGGCCCGCCAAACTTGAGTGAAATAGTTTAATACTCCTCATTTTGGCCCTCGATCAATCAACTTTGGTAACCACTGATCAAGATTCACATTTTTTAATCAAGAAGGAATTCAATTCCAGGGAGGAATTATGCTTTGTATTTGCTGTAGATAATAATTGAAAATATTCCCCCTTTTTGAAATGTAAAAAAAGCATTTCCTGTATCATACATAACAATTTCTTGTAGCTTGAAACGCTTCTTAGACCCTCAAGAGTCAAGATTCAAGAAAACCCACATTTTCAGGCTTCCGCCGGACTTTCTATCTGTTAAGGGCTAACTCAGGAGTTCCCAAGCTTTTTACAAGATGACCCCAAAGACAACTTTCAAGTGTCCAGTGCGACCCCATGTCAATATTATGTATACATTTTTTATAAAACTTCAGAGCTCCTTTCCCTGGATTTTTGAGTTTAGTCATGTGGTGGTATTGAGTGAAATAAGCTAAAACCAAACAGTGATGTCACAATGAGCACCTACATTTTCTATAGCATAAGCAAAAAGCAATGCCTATGGACCCGTTTTACAGTAAGCCATGGTTCAAACTGCTAAATTTAACATGGTTTGTCAAATCTTAGATGTTTTGTACATCCATCCTCTACCATACCTCAGCGACCCCACCGATCCCATGACTCGTTCGCTACCCTACCTACTCATCACTCCGACCCAATTTGGGGTCGCGACCCATAGTTTGGGAACCCCTGTGTTAAGGTCTGACTTGACAATTACAAATTTCAGAACACCCCCTCCCATTTAAAAATTCCTGACTACGCCCCCAAGAGGCCAGCTTCATATTACGTCATTATACAAAAAAACTTTGGAACCATTGTTCCCTCTAAGGTGTGCGCGTGTGCGCGCGCACACAGCTTTCAGAGGCTGCGCACACGAATAAATTTACTGCGCACAGACGTATTTCAATGTAATGTAACAATGTGCTCGGTTGGCAGGCTGAGAAAGTTTGTTGTTGGCCCACTTATTACCCTGTTAGAACGCCAAACTTTCTTTATTGGTTTTTGCACAAATATTAGTCATTTCCAAAAAAGTGCGCACACACCAAAATTTCTGCGCACACATACTACAAAAAATTAGAGGGAACATTGCTTGGAACCCTCCCCTACGGTCTTGAATAAAAATGAAAAATATTTCACTTACCCCCGGCTGCATTTACGGTTGAGTTTCCTTGCTCGAAACCAACAGGGACGTTGTTTAGGAAAGCGAAAATAAACGAGAGGAGAAAAACTAAAACTCCAATCACTGTAAATGCAATTTTTACTCCTCGAGAAGCCTCCTTCATTTTTATGAGTCCAATTCAAGAATAATATTTTTATTTAATTAGGAGTAATCTAAATGAAAAACATGTGATCAGAATTGAGGTAAATTCAGTAAGAAAGACAAGGGAATATTTTTTGAGGATTTGATAAAAATTGAATGAAAAGAGTAGATGAGACCAAAAATTGAATGAAACAACCGGTATTATAGGCCACAAAAAATTATTTATAGTCTATGAGTATTGGCTTAAAGAGAAAAATATTGGGTACACACTATTGAAATGGGGTACAAATGGGAGGGGGGGGTGAAAAAAAAGGGGACGGAAGAAAAAGAAGGCAAAATCGAATTAAAAAATAACTGATAGCAACAATAATAATTAGAGGTAGTCTGGAATGAAAAAAATGTGATCAAAATTGAGGTAAATTCAGAAAGGCAGAAAAATTCAAATAACAAAATTTTAGGGGGGAGGGGGCAGGGAATGGGGACAAAAATTAAATGAACGAGAAGATGAGACCAAAAATTGAATGAAAAATCTGGTATTATAGGCCACAAAAACTTATCAGAAAAAATTCTAGTTTATCAGTATTGGCTTAAAGAGAAAAATATTGGGTACACACTATTGAAATGGGGTACAAATGGGAGGGGGGGGGTGAAAAAAAAGGGGACAGAAGAAAAAGAAGGCAAAATCAAATTAAAAAATAACTGATAGCAACAATAATAATTAGAGGTAGTCTGGAATGAAAAAAATGTGATCAAAATTGAGGTAAATTCAGAAAGGCAGAAAATGGGGACAAAAATTAAATGAACGAGAAGATGAAACCAAACATTGAATGAAAAATCTGGTATCATAGGCCACAAAAACTTATCAGTATTGGCTTAATTAAAGAGAAAAATGTTTGGTACACATTATTGAAAAGGGGTACAAATGGGGGGGGGCAAGTAGACGAAAGAAAAAGTAGGCAAAATCGAATTAAAAAATAACTGATAACAATATTATTAATGAGGTGGTCTGAAATGAAAAACCTGTGATCAAAATTGAGGTAAATTCAGGAAGGCAGAAAAATTCAAATAAAAAATTTTCGGGAGGAGGGGGGGGGGATGGGGACAGAAATTAAATGAACGAGTAGATGAAACCAAACATTGATAAAAAATCTGGTATCATAGGTCACAAAAACTTATCAGAAAAAATTCTAGTTTAGTAGTATTGGCGTAAGGAGAAAAAAGAGAAAAAGATTGGGTACACACTATTGAAATGGAGTACAAATGGGAGGGGGGGGAAAAGGGGACATAAGAAAAAGTAGGCAAAATCTAATTAAAAAATAACTGATAACAATATTATTAATTAGAGGTCGTCTGAAATGAAAAACATGTGATCAAAATTGAGGTAAATTCAGAAAGGCAGAAAATTTCAAATAAAAAATTTTCAGGGGGAGGGAATGGGGACAAAAATTAAATGAACGAGTAGATGAAACCCAAAATTGAACAAAAATTCTGGTCTCAAAAGCCTTATTACCTTCAGAAGAAATGATAGTGTATCAGTATTAGCAAAAGAAATATATAGGATAAACATTATTGAAAAGGGAATACATGGGGGGGGGGGGGTGGAATAAAAAAGGGTGGATAGAAAAAATAGTAGGCAAAATCTAAGTTATCTGTATCTGTTAAATTCTAAAATAAAATGAAAAATTGGGAAACAATTTTAGAATAAAATTTGGTTAAAAATCAAGTTGAAATAGCAACATATACCACGAAACAAATCGACAATATAATGGAAAAACGTACTTCAGAAAGTCGCTTATCAGGAAAACCTTTTATCAATTTCGGTTACAAGAATTATAAAGATAACAAGCAGGTATACAAAAAAATTTTGAGTAAAATTGATAATGTTGGTTTCAAAGTATCAACTAACACCAAAAAAATTCGGGTAAACTTTAGAAAATATTGCCAGATAGAGGAAACATATAGGCGCTCCAGAAGTGTGTGTACCAATATAGAGGTAACTAATTTTGTTTGCCTACTTTACATCAAGTTGTGTAAAGGGACTGAAACCTATGGGCATGGAGGATATTCACTTGGCTAACACAGACAGTCTCCGAACTTGTAATAGAACTAAAATAGGGAAAATCGGAATAAAATTATGGCTCAACCCTAACTTGGTACACACACTATGGGAGTACCAATATTTCGCCCCGAAAGAAATATACACAATTCATCACTATTTTTAACACAGGCACTTTAGGTAAAAGTTAGAGAAAATAGAGAAAAATTTAGGTTAAAGATTTATTAAAATAAAAAATGGCACGATTGAGGGAAAGGTATTCATTGCAAAAAAAAATCATGGAAAATTCATATAAAAATCCCACTGTTTAAAATATGATTGCATTGAAAAAGAAGGATCAGAAGATGTACTGTGTCATGTAAAGTAATATAAAATGAATGCAATATATAAGAAAGCATAACACAACTGGCAAATGATTAAAGTCTGTCGGATAAGATCAGGATTTCTCAAACGCGTCAGATGGAATGATTCTCAGGGGGCCAAAATTGACAGTATATAATTACCTGGTGGTGGTTATCATTAAACATGACGCTTATAATATCTGATAGAAATATCCTAAAAATGCTAAACTAGGTAACTCATTTATTAAGCTCTACAAAATTATTCAAGCAAATTTTGGTCTATTTCTATGTCTGTATATCACCAGCCCAACTCTTGCGAAAAACGCTAAAATGACCAAAATCAAGCCCACAAGAGCTAGAATTAAATTACGTGAGAATGGTGTGACATACATTCCCGTAACGACGCCAGAAAACGCAAAAATCAGGGTAGGGTAGATCGAAAGGGTGTAACGGCAGTATCGCTCGAAAACGAAGTTTTCCAAAATAAACCAAACTATGATTTCAACCAGTAGGATAGAAAGTGAGATTGTCCCGGCATCTTCTGAAGTCAGTGAACCTGAAAAATAAAAGTTCATTCAGGATCTGCATTGAGAAATCTCCATGGTTATGGAAACCAGTGCTGGAGGGCTTGACTCGACGCGAGACTATAAGTGACTCGATTTACCTAATTCAGGGGTTGCAACAGGTGGCCCGTGGGTCTCAACCCATCCCTTGTCAACACTTAGATTTTCCCCATTAAACATAAAATCCAAATTATGTTGAAAAGGGCGCTCGTATGGATTGCTACAAGTACTGTTAAAGCTGATGTTAACAAACAATGCAGGGATTTGAAATTCCAAGTGCTAAACTAAAATTTTGGAAAATAGATTTCACATTGTGAGAATTCTTTAATTTGTTGTGTTAGAGTGTACATAAAAAACTAATGTTTTGGTCTGGGCCAGCTACATGTCTGAAGTTAGTCATATGGCCCAACGACAAAAATGACGTAAGTACTTCTATTTGGCTTGTCACAGCCATTTTTGCATATGTTATTCCTAAACCCCACATGGCTCCGTCATCCAAAGATGACGTCAGCGCATCACCTCTCTCACAATCACGTCAAAGTATAGCTACGGCGCCCGAAATGGCATCTTCAGTCATCTCTCATATCGGGATCGCTATGACGAGAAATAGCTTGCTCGATTTCGGGTGAACGTCATGGGTGATAGTGAGTATGGTTTGGAGGGCCTTAATACGCTACTGTGACATAGTAGTAGTAGTAGTGAAGTTTTGAATGACGTACTCAGGTGAGGGTTAGGAATAACCTATGCAAAAATGATTGCACCAATTCCTCTAGAAGTACGTCGTGTCTAGAAGTCGTGTTGTGAACATGGCTTAAGGATGGGATTTTATCCTGAGCAAAGTGGAAAGCTACAGGACCAAGATAAATCTGAAAATCCTATCCTATCCCCTTCCCTAAGGATGGGATTTTATCCTGAGCAAAGTGGAAAGCTACAGGACCAAGATAAATCTGAAAATCCTATCCTATCCCCTTCCCTAAGATACTGCATCTACATAGCTGAATATCTTACCATTCAGTTTAGCAGGGTAATTATCCGTTCCTCTGCTGTCTTCATAAGTAATGGTGGTTGCCAACATCAGCTTCCAAGCGCAAGTTGTCCAGGCAGCAAGAATACCATATCCGTTGTGTATAATTATTCTGACCAACCAAAGCATTTCTGATGAGAATAAAACTTGGATAAATATCAGATATAATAGGGCGCGGCGGTGTGGCTCATCGTGCTAAGCGTTAGGAATACGCTCGCCACCGCATCTCTTGCCATCGATTACCTTGCCTGGGTTCGCAGGTTCGAATCCCATGCGGGATAGTTAATTGCGAGAGGATTGCTGTACTCTTCACCGTTGTACAGTCGTTGGGTGGTTCCCATAACCACTGGTAGGTTACGGCTTCCTCCACCATCAAGTCCATGCTTCCGAAAACAAATAACTAAAACTAATCCCATACCCGACATGGACTGGTAACCGGACGAGAGGTCGTGGTTCGCCATATGGTTAAGTTGTCTCATCGTCTTTCCTCTCCCCCAAGATAAATATGCCTACCCCCCGTATATATAGTCATGGAGGCTCCCCATCCCTCAAATTTCAACCTCCAAATTGATAAATAGTTTTATGACTTACAGCAAAATAATTACCACCCGCTGAATTTTGAAATACCCAAAAATAAAAAGTTGCGTAACATAATGAGTATCGTACCTATCAACGGACCATTAGATACACATTCAATAAATTGATCAGATTGAGGTTTTGTCCATGGTTCTATAAGCAACAACAGGTTTTAACGAGTATAGGGTTACTGTTCAAAGTTCATTAAGCAAAGGAACTAAATATTCTTATGGTTATTGTATTTTATGAAATGATAACATAAAACGGCAGATTGTGAATAAAACATGAACACCGGTAATGGTTGTGAGTGTTGTAGGCAATAAAGCGTAAAGGACCACCTGATCCATACCGGTACATTCGGCGGACTGGCTTACAATCGATCTTAATTAAGACAAATTGGTTATTGTATTTTATTCAAAGAAAACGTGAAACGCCGGTTTATTCATAAAACAATAGTAGGCTACCGGTACTGGTTTGGAGTGTGGGCAATGAAGAATGAAGCGCCACCTGATCCATAGATTAGGCACACAATCGATTTTAGGAAAAAATTGATCTAAAGTGCGGTAAACTACGATATATGAAAAAAGAACATATTATATTAGATTAGGATAAGTTAAAAGCTGTCGCAGCAACCTTAGCTATACTTCCCTGCTCTAACAAAACTTAAAGACGGACAGAATCAAACAAAACAGTCCATAAAATTAGTACAACTCCAAAAGAGTCATCTCTTATCTATCTGAAGATTTGAAATCACAGTTGGTAATATAATTTCGAGTTTTCATTATGACATCACAGATTTGTATTGTGATGTCAATTTCACATTATGACATCACAGATTTGTATTTTTTATTTCTATTAAAAAATCGTATTTTGTATTATTATATCAACTTTTCTGTATCATGACATCACAATTTTGTATTGTGACTTCACATTGTTGGCGTAATATGATTCCTTATCTTTAAAAATAAAATATTATGGTTGTGCGACATTTTATTATTGAATAACGTTAGGGTAAACACGGGCAGCGATTCTCTCTTTCTTAGGCCAGATGAGTTGTTAGGTGATTGCTTCATTTCCTAACATAACTTGGTACGTTTTTCTAACGTTTGAGATAATCAGAATAAAAATTACTGGTGGTGGTATTAGTAAGCCAGTTTAGTCGTTTCGTAGACGTGGACGAATGAAAGCAAGAAACGAATACTTACGGTTACTATTCTCTTCCAGTGTCTGAATATCTTTATAATAACTTCTGTAAGAGAGACCCAGGGCCACGTACGTACTCCAACACCCAGTAAGAATGAAGAACATTGCCAACCCTAAGATTTCACGATCGTTAGCAAATATCCACGACAGAGCTAACGCCCAACCCAGTGTCCAGAATATGATGGAACCCTAAACAACAAGACAAATACTGCATTGAAAGCAGGGTTTTTCATATTAGCCTTTGACTTGCCGATATCCGGGACAAGATTAAAGGCCTTTACAAGATACCATTTGTGATGATATTAATTTCTAATATCGCATTTCTCCCTGCATAACACGCATCAATATGTAATATATAGGTATATTTTAGCACCTGGATCGCCAGAAATTTTTCACTTTTTATACATACCGTAATACGCATAGCGGGTTTCGTTTCTTCCATGGGTTGTGGAGTTTTTTTCGCGTAAGCGTTTCAGACATTCTTGTCTGTATACCCATATCTCTGAATTATTATGATATTTAATTCAGAGTGGTCCAAGATTGGCACAAAATTACTTTTGCATTGTTCGCGGGCCACAATAAGGCCAAAAACTTCGCTCGTTTAACTTTGCTAGTTGCCTTAGCAAGCCATAACACTAGTCAATTCAGTGACAATAGTGATGTGACAACATGTCAAAAGCTTTTTGGTTAATTTTATGACAAAACAATACGAAATGCGATATTTTAATTCCTCTGCGAATGCGACGCGGGCCACAGATAATAAAGCGGCGGGCCACAGATAATGGAGCGGCGGGCAACATGTGGCCCGCGGGCCCGGGTTTGGACCACCCTGATTCAATTATTTGCCGCCTTACGGTATGCCAATCATACCATGCTGTTATTTGACGCCTCCGATTTTTTTAAAAGATGATAAAGCCAACATCAAAGCGTGTTTTGAGACGATGCACTTTGATGAGAAACCGCAGGTCACTAATTGACTGACATACAGTGGCGTATCTAGGGTGTGGGAGCTATGGCTCGTGCCATGGGCGCCGTTTGAACAGGGGCGCAAAAAGTATTAATTATAAAAAGTTTCAATGAAATAATTTGAAATTGGGAATACTAAAACTCGTATTTTCACTCAAATAATAACGTACGTCGTACAAGTACTTCAATTCAATAAGAGTCATTATAAATTGTCAAACAACCATCAGGGGGCGCATTTTTAGACTTTGTCATGGGCGCCATTTTACGTAGATACGCCACTGTTGACATATAGTGATTTTCTCCTTTATCACTCAACGTGATGGACAAAGTAATTGATAGAAACTCGCTAAAAGCAAATCCAAGTATTTTTCATTGAAAAACGAGGGCCAGGAGCTTCCCCAAATTTAAAAAGAAACTTTTCTGTATCATACATAGTAATTTTTCGTTATCATTGAAAATTTTTGAAGACTTAAAATTTTTTCTCTAGGCCCCCTGAGACTTACCACTGGCATCAATGCAGGCTCTCTCATAATTGGGCTTTTATCCTTAGGAAGGCACAGAGAGACCAGCATGTAGATAACGCTGACGAAATTGTAAAGGAAAATGACAGGCCATATGATGTTGAATGTCCATGATGCTGCATTGAGATTGCTTGGGTATCTCGCACTCAGGTCCGGTATGGTGTTGATAAAAACCCCTAGAAAAGGAATTTTATTTAATCAATATTTTAGAGACCACTTTAAATCATTGTTTTACCTCAAAATCGAGGAGAACGGTAGAACGGCCTAATCATATGGCGAACCACCGCCCCTATTCTGGTTACCAGTCCATGTCGGGTTTGGTTAGCCAGATATTTATCTTCAGATTCATGGGCAAAGGTGCGGTGACGAGCGTATTCCTAACGCTTAGCACGATGCGCCACAACGCCGAGCCGAACTATTAGTGATATTAAAATATTAACCAGAATAGCATGTCCTCGAGATGGCGCTGTGTGACTGTTGGCAAGAAATTGTCAGGTTGGACCGTGTGTCAGCTATAGGGTTTGGTCAGAGTATGATACAGAAAATGCGTTTTTATACATATTAGTTGGGTTGAGATTAGAAATGATTTGAAAATAATTTTTTTAGCGCAATCTGCATTCGTCATCTTCACTGGATAATTAATATTAATATGACGGGGGTGTTTCTTGGTGTAGGCTTTGTGAATAAAGATAAGATCCCATATTTTAAGCTAACATTTGATTAACAAAACAAATGGCGTGGTGTCCATGGCAACGTTTAAAATCTTGATAGTTGGTTAGCAATTTATACGGACTGTTATTAAAGTTACTGATACGTTATTATTTGAGTAAAAATACGAATTTTAGTTTATTCAATTAGAAATTATTTTATCGAACCATTTTACGAATAAGACTTCTCACACTATTCAAACGTCGCCCATGGCTGCCATGTCCTGTCGGGTACGGCACTGGCGATAAAACAAAAACGGGAATTCACTTATAAGTATACTAACCTCCTAGTATGTTCTCCGTCGAGTTTTCATCCCCGACTCCAATAGGAACGTTTCCAAGGAAAGATAAAATAAGAGTGAGAATGAACACTATAAACGCAATGATAGTTACTGCTATCCTAATCGCTGGATGAGTCGGCCCTTTCATGGTACGAAATGTCCGTTTTTAGATCTGTTTCAGCTAATAAGCTAAAACTGGAAACAAGTAAATAAATGTGAGTGTACACTATATATCGGACCAAATTAACTGCAAACTCAATTGGTTGAGGATTTAACACGTTCACAGGACGAGCTGTACGTTTCTGTATGTTAACTAAAAAGCTGTATACAATACTACAAGAGAGCTGTGCTCAAATATATGACCACGTCACAAGGTGTCGCTATTTTTTATTCTGACACATAAAAAACGGTTCCATTACATTTGAACCCACGTACATTTGAACCCATGACAATTGCACCTGTATGCTATTGCACCTATGGAATTTTTTTTGTTTCACGGATAGTTAAACCCATACTAACCCTAACCCATGGGTTTTAGCACCCGCATATAGATTGAACCCGTGGATATACGCATGGGTTCAAATGTACATGGGTTCAAATGTATGGTCACCATAAAAAACATATCTTTTGAAGTCCACAGAAATTTTTGAAATGAGTAAAATTAATAGCCTTCTGGCAAAAAAATCAATCTTTAACCACTGAAAATTTCAAAGCAATTGGTCCAGTATTCGAAGAAAAAAGCGATTTCATCATGACGAAAGAGAAGAATAATACCAACAAGAACAATAACATAATATTGAAACGATCGTTATGTACACTGACGTGTCCAACAAAACGAAACCTATAGACAGGTTTACAACGAATTCTGTAACCAGCGCTTGTTCACATTAACCCACATTTCCAAGAAAATACAGGTGTTTGTGAACATTGAACACTCTAATTGCGAGGATTTCTGGAGTCCATGTTCATTATTTATACTCCCATCCAACACCTTCCACGCAGAAAAATAGGTCTTATCGGTTTTCCTTTTCCTCCGAGAGAATTAATAAATCCTATTCTATACTCCTGTCCACGCAAAGGTCAAAGAAACGCTCGAAAAACGTAATATAATAACACGCTTCGGTTGTGATTTGGGGGGAAGTAGACAGAATTACAATTTTCGTTTCATTTCCGGGTTCAAATGAGTTCAATTCGTATCAATATGCTTTTGTTACTTTTAAATTTAATATTGCGTCATAACACAAAAATGACGTCACAGTTCTGATTACGTCATTTACGGCCAAAGACGGTCTACCATTTATTTACAATGGCTACATAAGATACAGAGAACCCATCGGCCACCAACACATTAGAACCATATTTACTAAATATTTCGGCGCTTCAGAATTATGTGTACTAAGATGTCACACAACCTGATAACCCTAACCTAGTACACATTCTATGTTCAGGTTGTGCGCCATCTTGGTGTGCATACTTCTGGAGTACCAATATTTCGATCGATTGACCCGCGCTGAATTGTATTGCCCAACAGCATTTCTATCGCCAATTACGCTCGCGTCACGGCATATTTTTACTATTTATCATTACTGCTGACATCTAAATAATTCAGAAAAAACATGTGTTAAACGTAACCGAAATTGATCAACTGTCGGACTTGTCGAACCGCTATAATAATGAATCTGTTGCAATTCCATGACCTTATATAGACATACAAACACATTTAATAGCATGAAAAAGACTCGAAATAAGCGTGTACCGTCGAGAAACTTTTGAACATATTGTATCACAAGCTCCCAGTTAAAAACTTCTAACTTCGCTTTCCGAATACACCGATGTGATTTGTTCATTCTCGCATTTCGAAACTGATTCTTCCTGTCTGAGCGGCGCGTCTGCAATTTCAAAATATTTGAAAAAAAAATGTGACCAGATTTTTAAAATCGTCAATGAGTCTCGTTTGAACTTTTTTCCTCTTAAACAAACAATTACGTTCTTTTCAATCTCATGTTTTCAAACCTTTTCGCCAAAATGTGCATTGACTTAGACTGGGTACATTCAAAAAAATTAATCCCATCACGTATTACAGTATCTAAATCTCTAATTTTCTAACACTTCGAATACACCAATACTCTCTTTTCAGTCTTGTTATCTAAAATATAAGAAAATGTTCACCAACGCCCACTTTCTGCTCATGATGTTTCATAGCATTTCTACCACAAATTAAACTTGCCTTAAACCGTGGGGCTCCGTATGAATCATTCCCAGAACCTAAGCTCTAACTTATATATTTAAATAAAACTAGAAACACCATCTAATATGACATACACATTGCGACCAGCAATACATATCCACCGTTATTGGCAATTAATTTTTTTGTTGTATAATCCAACAGCCGAAACGCACGTTTTGCTATATTGCTAATAACGTATTTGAGATATTTACTTTACTAACTCCTCATTTCGAATACACCAATTTGATCTGCTGAATGACGCGTCTCAACGCCGATTGTTTCTGTCTGAGCGGCGTGTCTGCAACTTCAAAATATTGAAAATGACAAGAAAAACGAAAATTTTGAAACCGTAACAGGAATTCATGAACACTCTGTGTCAAAAGGTGAAGCAAGACTTTTGAAGCCCTACATTTCTAAATTCGTCTAATATTAAATCTGATGTCTATATGACAAATAGAACGGCGCCATATTCCACGACTTACTTCTAGCGAAATACCCGTCTTAAGTCCTAAACTTTCAATACGCTCTGTTCAATCTCGCGTTCCAATACTAATTCTTCCTGTCTGAGGGACTCTTTATATACGTGTCTATATTTTGGAACGATTTGAAATGACCTAAACCAAAATTTTGAAACCGTAAGTCGTAAGAGGACTTTTTGAAAATCCCGTATTGTTATTCTTATTTGAAACAAGACATTTAAAGCTATAAATACAATACGCTTTGTTCATTCTCACGTTTACAACTCATTTTGCCGAAACGGGTATTGACTTAGTCTGGAGACATTAAAACAAATTTAAATACTTCACGTATTACTGTATCTAAATCCCTAATTTTTAAAGTTTTCGAATACTTTCTGCTTAGTCCGAATTTATACCGAATTAACTTGCATATTTGTAGATATTTTATTGTATCATTGCTTGTTATTTATCGATCTTGATCGGTAAGTATGTTGATAGGTATTTGTCTGTTTGTATGTTTGTTTGTTAGACACTTTCGTATGTTACACGATATCTCACGAAAGCGAGGTTGAAGTAATGGAGTAAGAGCGGGTGAATCGAAACCGCAGTTTTTTTTTGGAAGGGGGAGGGGGGTATCTCCTCACTTTCGATCGATAAGACTGCGGTCTCTGACCGATATTCTCGTTTACTAGTTGACGAAATAATATATCTTTCTCTCTCTTCTAGTCTTGCGTTTCAAAATGGATGCTTGCTATGTCTTCGACAACTTGAGATTTCGAAAAAACATGAAACTAAAGCTTCGAATCCGTTGAGGATTTAAAATAAATAAAAATGTTAACCATTTCGTTACTTTCTTTTCAGAATGTTTTACAACATTTCTACCAAAAATTTAACCCGACCCGAAATATTTGAAATGATATGACCAAAATTTTAAAACCGTATAAGGAACTTATTATTGTTCTCACTTGAAACATAAAATGCTTGTCTGGGAGAGTTTTGACAAAACGCTACAGAAATACATTCATGTTAGTGTTCAGCAAGGCTACAAAACTCATGATTTAAACCTAATTCCTAAGTTTGCTTTTAACATACCAATACGCTTTGTGTAGCCTCGCTTATCTAAACCAGTGGTCGTCAAACTTTTTGAGACGCGACCCCATTTCAAAAATTATGACGTATGATAAGCTTGTGACGCCTAGGTATGGCAAAGAAAAAAAAAATATTTCAAACCACTAAAAACTAATCACAGTAAAATCTCATTCCCAAAAACTCTATCACACGCTTTAGATTTCGTGCTACAATTTAATTATTGTCGTCACACAATTGCCTTATTATAAAATATATCACTGTAATTCAGAATACCCAAACTTGCTATGTAGTGCTAGTCAGCTCAGTCTAGAATGCACGCAATAGAATAATGAAAAATATAACAAGAATACAACGCCAGACACTCGGCGACCCCCGAAATATTCAAGGCGACCCAACTTGGGGTCGCGACCCACACTTTGGTGACCACTGATCTAAACTAATGTTTCCTATGTGATCGACGACTTTCGTACGGTATATAATTTTAAAATATCAAACTACACTTCTAAATCTTTTCACAATTTGAACTTCGGCAATATCACCGCCACAGTTGATCAATTAATGTTTTACAAAATTTCTATGACAGCTTTAATTTGACTCAAGCTGCGTGAAGAATTGAAAATAGTACGAGTCCTAAATGCTTAGAATCGATTTGCAGTTATGCATATTATCCATTGCATATTACTAAACCTGTCTATGTGAAATTCAAAGCAGAACTATATGCTGTCAATGAAGTCTTAACATTTTTTAAAATTGCAAAGGGAATAATTTATCGATACCTTATATAATTGTGGCCTCCGCAGATGTATCATATGAAGTCAAAATACTTGAACAATTCCTGATTAAAAATAACAAACCTGTTTAAGATATATATATTGAGAACTGACTTCATAATAAAATTGAAATGAACTTCCAAGACACTCTGTATATTATATATAAATCCATAATTCTAGCAGATATCTGTCTTAAACTTTCAATACGCTCTGTTTGATCTCGCGTTTCAAAACTGATCCTTCCTGTCTGAGCGACTCTTTATATACGTGTCTCGATCAGCACAGACGGCCAAACAAGGGCGATGGATCAATCGAGTCTCAGACTAACAATATTTAGAACGGCCATACAAGATTAACGATAAATACCGCAAAGAAATAGAACATTCGTTCGACTGTTATTGTGTCACGCTTCAGTGGCGTTCTAAACGATAGTTACGTAACAATCAATTTTACTACTAACCACACCCCGAGGCAGAAATTTTCGCATTGCATAAGCTAAGCAAATTTTTTTTTTTTGAATTGGTTTAGTCATAGCGTGTTATGTAATTATAAAACTTAAATTTCCGGTTCAAAGTAAGCAGCGCGGTCGCGAGTTTGGTTATGTAAGATTTTAATCATGATGTAAATTATTTTATGTAGGTGAAAATTCACGAGACGTTTA